TACAAAATAAATTTGAACCTCTCTTTTTTGTTAATCAGTTGATTTTAGTCACCCTTTATATATATATATATATATATATATATATATATATATATTTGATAAAAGGTATTTTTTATATGATTAAATGATATATTAATATTTATAAGTTATTCGAATTTGATTCGAATAAAATTTTAAATTTTATTTAATTATTATCTAGTTTAAGTAATTTAATTTATCGATCGAATTGAGTTAAATAATTTTTATATTTAATTTAAATAACTCGCGAGTCTAATTAAATTTTTATATTTTAATTAATAAAATATTTTAAATTTAAACTCAAAGTTCAAATATAAATAATTAAATTTTTATTAAATATAAAAATAAAAGTTAATCGAATAAATATAAGTAACTCATTTTTTATTTCAAATCAAACTCAATCTAAAAAAATCAAATTTAATCAAATTTAAATTAAATTCTGAATTTCAAATTAAACTTGAACTTAGATTAATTACATCTTTAATTAAGAGTATTTGACAAGTAGATAAAAAAAGAGAAAAAAAAAAAATAGAGCAAGCAAATGCCACAGATTCACGGCTTATTTTGCGCCACTTATTTCTCTTTCACACTAAAAATTGTCTTTTTCTTTTCCTCGAACCACGATAGGGTGTAAAATTAACCCCAAAAAATCAAATAGTCCGATCATCAGCCACTTGTATCTTATATTATTGGCGACGACTTCAAATCAAGTACCTCATGGTTGGAACACGCTTATTTGTCACTTTTATCTTATATTATTGGTTACGATTTTTTTATAAAAAAAAAATCATCTTCATTAAAAATTTATATTAATTTATTTAAAAATTAATAATGCACGTCTAAATCTATAATGATATTTAGGTAAGTGAACATGCATTATTAATCATTACATAAATTAATAAAAATTACTATTATTTTTTAAGTAGTGGAGAGAATGTTAATCATAGTACAGATTTTATTTTTTATGAATCAAATGCAATCTTTACTTTTTAACTGAATTTGACTATTAAAGGTTGCAATGTTTCTACGTTAATACCCTTATTTTTAACTTAATATTTCAAATTCTATCTTAATTACAATAATAATTAACATTTATTTTTAATTAATTCAATTTTCGAAATGTATAATTTACGTGAATAAAATATAAAATATAATGATTAAATTAAACAAATATAAATTATATAAAATAATTAATTTTACATTAATGTAAGTAAATTTTTTTTACAGCATGTGTTGGGATGTTTTGTTAAGAAGGAGAAAAGTGAAATTCACCTTTTACAGACGCAACCAAAAAGATTTTTAATTAATTTTGAATTTTTTAGTCAGGAAAAGAAATGGATAAACGAATAAAATTAATTCAGATTTAGAATTTTTTTATGACAACTTCAGCATATTTATCTTATACTGTTTGATGAACACCTCTTTGATTCTATCCAAATAATATTCATTTGTATAAATTTCCGAATATTTCACATATGAAAACAAAAATTGCCTAAGTACTAAAAAATAATATATTTTTATTTTTTAATATATATAAATAAGAGACATGTATTATCTCATTAATTTTACTTGAGAAATCTAATTTTAAAAAAAAATCGATGAAATGTATTGAATACGAAAAATATATAAATAAATTTCTTAATAATTACTTTTAAAAAAATTATTATAGATTCTTAATGAAATTGCTTAATTTCTACTACATGAGGTTGATTCCTTGTCATGGCATGTATCGTACAAGCTAAATCTATGTGTTGGAATTTCCTACTGAAAACAATTAAAATTGCTTTTTAAGTACGGCAGATTAAAGGTCGCTATAACCCTAGCTTTTAGAATACGGCAAATTAAAGCATTGCTGCGTGTGACCACTTTGACATACAATATAAGAAATAAACAAATTTGATAAGTTCATATATTTAATAGCGTTTGACAACATTAATTAAGCTTATTAAAAAAAAAAAACCAACACATCGATTAAGATACATAAAAACCAGATTTTAATTATTCACTGAATTTTTTAAAAAAAATCCATAGATTTTTAAAAAGGTCACCATAAATTTTGATTTGTTTGTTGCACCCTAAATTTTTTATAGGGAAAAACTTTTCACTCAAACTTAAATCCCTTTTTATTTCACATATATTTCAAGAAAAATTTTTGGGTAAAAAATTTAAGAATAAATAAATTATTTAGTCTCTAAATTATGACAAAATATGTTATATTTAATAATTTGAAAATAATAATTGAAAATCATGATTCAAAATGATTATTTGTTGAACTCGAACCAAAAACTTTTATGTGAAGGTGAACAATCTTTGCACTAAAAATAAAGTCACAATTTAAAAATTAAAAAAAATTGTAAATGTTAAGGTTTAAATTTCAAAATTGTTAAATATTACATTTTAAAAATATAATTATATAAATTAATTGAATTAAACGTTCTGATCCTTGGATTCTCAAGACTGTTTTTTTTTTTTAATTATTACTAGTAAAATCTAATTAAGTACTCCATGGATTGAGCTATGGTGTCTAATATTTCAGATAAATATTAGCACATTCAAAAATTGATAGACATATATTGATAAGGCTGTTATCGGTTGGAGATAAGCATATTAATGGATAATAAATAAATAGATAATTGTTATTATTCAATTTGTTTATATTAGATTTGGATAATTAAAAATAAATAATTAATAGATTCGGATAAGAGATTTACTATCTGTGATAGATTTAAAGTTGATACAGATAATATCTTTTGAATATGTAATATCTGAATTTATTTAAGTTTTAATGAATAGTAATAGATATTTAAATTCATATTCAAATCCATATTCGAATTCATTACATGTTTATATATGTAAAAGATATAAAATTTTATATTTATGAAAGGTTTTAGACATTAAAAGATAACTTTTATTTATTATTAATTAAGAGTGAATTTAAAATTTAAAATTTAAATTTAAATTTTATTTTTTATGTTTTGATGAAAATTTTAAATAAACAAATATTTTAACAGATTCAAATTTGAATGATAATATTCAACTTAAATAAATATTTAAACAGATTCAAATATTATAAATATTAAATAAATTCTAATATCTAAAAAATATGATACCCACTCCATTGTCATTCCTAATTAGAGACCGTCCCATCCTTCCATTCAGTCGACTACACGTACCAAACCATTTGCCATCAACTTGATTTAGAAGAGGAGATAAAAGATTAGTTCAAACATGTGATGCATAATCAATGAAGGAACCAATGTTTTTGCCCAACAAATTGGACTCGCTTTTCCTAAGTTCTAGCAGGTTTCCTTTATCATCATTTCCCTTTTGGTGGGAGTTACAGAAATTCCATTGAAGAAAGCAATCATCACATACTTTAGCACTAGCAGCAGAAGCCAGATTTTTTTTTCTTTCAAGGCTGCTACCAATGAATTAAGAACATAATTTTGGTTTATAGATACTTTGAGATTCTACTTTGTTATTCCATCACATGCCAAATTAAATCAAAGAAATTGGAAGAAAAAGGTGACAAAATATCTTCATATTTTGAATATATGAAATGGATGTAATCAATAAATGCACTGAAATCTATCATAGTGGATTAATGCTTGAATTTTCAAAAATTCTGGTAATACAACATAATAAAAAAGTACGTGGTGCTTTTATGATTACCCTTGGTGAAGACTTTGCAAGAGTTGTAGCACTTCAAATTTACAGGAAAAGTAAAAAATATCTCATAAATTAGTATGAGCTTTTATAAATGATATTAAAGTAATCATTAATTAAATAAAAGTTACGTATTATGTCATTGAAATTATTTTTAAAATTTTATAAGAGTTATGTATAAATTATTTTTAAAATTTTAACGTATGGTATGATTCTGATTATGTAATTTTATATATGTGTTATATTAAATTTGATGAAAATATCAAATTTTAACAAAAAAAATTATGGTACTCTCAATCTCAAATTAAAAAAATATAAATTTATACTTATAAAATATTTTTTATAAAATAAAAATATAAAATTTTTAAATCAAAATAAATATTATCTCACAATTGAGCATAGATCTTGACACATTCCCCACAATGGCTGCTTACAAAATGAAGAGAAAACCTACCTAGCTGCTGGAGGCGTTGAATACATGGTATTTTGAAATGAAAACAAAAGCACTGGTCCTAGACCCAGAGCTAACAGTACGATACAGCTTAACCATTTTTGTGTGAAGGGGATTTGTGCATTTGGCAAAATATCTTATATTGGCAAATTAAGTATGAAAATCCATGTGAGATGCAAGCTAAATGGGAGAGAAGAATTGGAGTAATTGTAAACATATAGAGATGGTGAAATGAATGTATGTGAAAAGCCATAAGAATGTTGAATTCCAAGCTTGTTTCAATGTATATGAGTAATTAATTAAATGAATGAAAACTCTTAAATTTGGAATTATTTTTTTTAATGCAAATTACTAAATATACAATCATCATCGTATTATATTGATATCGTAAAATCAATGTTTTAAGATTTAAAAAAAAAAAATTAGAGAAAGAGAATAATAACAACTTTTATACGAGAAATATTTGAAATTAATTTTGATAATAAATTAAAAAATTTTATTATTAGTATTAAAAATGAAATATTTTTTATTAAGTCAAAAATCTATCTAGGATTATTTTTATTGAAACAACCATTTAAGTTCATGTAAAATCAGTTTCATTTTTCAGTTTTGGAGCAACAATTGAATCAAATCTGTTCCTTATTTAAAGTAATTCAAGTAATGAAGCCAAATTATGCCTAATTTTTTCGTTTAGCCATTTAAATAATATTTTAATACATATTAAATACCCACATTTATTTCTATAATTAACTAATTCCTGGTGGTCTCAAGGTTCGTGGAATTTTCTTCAAAGACCTTGCACCAGCTAATAATCCAATGAATAAAAATTGGTTAGTTGAATTTATTAACAGTTCTTTGTCTGCATAAAGACTTTTTGAATCAAACAAAACCACCAAAAACGTCAGTTTCCAGAACTCTTGTAGCCACTTTTTTCTCCTTTTTTTAACTATTGGACTGGGATTTCTCCTTTATAAATACTAACCAAACCAGTTGGAAATTTCCAAGTTTCAATTTCTTTTGGTTTTGATCTCCTTTCCCTCCTTGCTTTGTCGTTTTTGCTGTGTTTCAGACATGGGAACTCAAGCTCCTTCTCACAAAGATTATGCCAGGAACAACAGTGTAAGTTAATTTCTCTAACCTCTCCTTTGTGCATGTAATTGCAGTGTTGTTTGTTTCGTCTTGCTTTTTCTTTTTAAAAAACAAAAAGTTAATAAAAAATTTTTGTTAAACAAAAAGTTAATAAAAAGCTATCCAAACTCATTGGAGTTTTGTCCTTTCAGCTTTATTCTCTTGTATCTCTATGATGTATTTTTTGTTTTTAGCTCTTATTGCTTTCTGTGAGGTCATGATTTTTGTTTTTCTTTTATGTAATTCTGCTTCCTCAAGAACCCTGATGGCTTAAAAGCCTCTAACGTTCATGAAAATATACGATAGCTCTTAAATCATTTACTCATCACAAGAACTTGGAAATGTAACCAGTTTTCAACACAAATCTCTACCTGTGATATATAATTTTGAATTTCTATCCATTTTTGCATCTCTGCAACTTTGATTTACTAAGGTTTAACTTAATCCTGATTCCTAAGTTGAACACATGATTCTGTTTCAATGGGTTCTTTTTTCCAACATCCCCGATATCTATGGTTTCATCACAAGCCAGTACTGTATAGTTTACTTCATATACTTGGCTGAAGAAACACCACCCTTAGAAATTTTATTTATTAATCTTTTAACCTTCTTCTCATGATACCATGCTTTCAACTTTGATTATTGAAGAAACCAGTTGTAAGAAGGAATATTAAATTTTGTTGACTGAAATTATTTGTTTATTTAGGAGCTCCAGATAATTTACAGTGATACCTTTTTTCATTGGTTACAGCTGGTCAATAAGTCTTAAGTCAATGCTTAACGTGTGGTTTAATTTTTGTCACAATCAAACCTTGTAATTATCAAACCATTTACATATATTCGTAACCAAATATCTCAGAAAAAATGTTCTGTATAGTCATGTTTACTGTTTATAGTTATCTTTAGTGATTTACAGAATGGATTCACATGTAAGCACATGGTTTATTGTTACTAATACTTTCAGACCAGCCAAAAGCATTTGACTTTTATTACTCTTACATTAGAGGGTTTTGTCTGTTTTCCAAGATAAAATAAAACATGTAAGTTCCCCCAATTAAATCAGTTTCAAGCTTTGCTTTGCCTTGATCACATGGATAGTTTTTTATATCAATGAAAATAGAAAAAGAGTTAATTCCTCCTAATCCTTGATGTTCAGACAATTACACAAATAAATGAAATAAGAAATATGTAGACTATTAGGAGTCGTCTTTCATGTTGGACCCCCCTTTCCTTTAGAATTGAATGGAGATAAACGTGCGAAGTGGGAACCAAGTTAGTGGCCGACATGTTCAAAATACATAGGTCAAGACAAAAGCAACTACCTATCTTCTACTAACTGAATCATTAACAAATGACAATTGATAACTGATATAGGCACTTTTTGCCTCTCCAAGAATTAGGGGATTCCAATCCATGTTGTTCACTTTTAACAATTATCAGAAGCACTAGGGGATTTTCGTTAAATGGTAAAGGGAAAGAAAAGGCATGTTTTGGTGGCTTTCACTAACATTAACTTTATCTAGTTGTCTGATTTGCTTTACTTTTTCAGTTTTTGTGTATACATATAGTTCTTTAGCATTCTTATGAATTTGTTGCTGTCAAAATTAAATGAGAGAACTGTAACATTGTCAATCACAGTTTGAAGAAAAATTAGCAAAGCAGAAAGCAATTGATGATTGGCTGCCCATTACGTCATCAAGAAATGCAAAATGGTGGTATTCAGCTTTCCACAATGTCACTGCTATGGTTGGAGCTGGTGTCCTCAGTCTCCCCTATGCCATGTCAGAGCTTGGATGGTATGCTCTCAGAGTTAACTGCAAACAATCTAATGAACAAGGAAATATTTCATATAATTATTTAATTACATAATGAAGTTAATTTGGGACACTGATATTTTAGCCAAGCAAGGCATATAGAAATCAAATTTGATAGTTTAATCTAACATGTTCATTTGGTTTCAGGGGTCCTGGTGTGGTTGTTCTGGTCCTATCATGGATTATTACCCTCTATACTCTATGGCAAATGGTTGAGATGCATGAGATGGTTCCAGGAAAACGTTTTGATAGATACCATGAACTGGGTCAATATGCCTTTGGTGAAAAACTTGGTCTCTATATTGTGGTGCCACAGCAAGTTGTTGTTGAAGTTGGTGTGTGCATAGTGTACATGGTTACCGGAGGCAAATCATTGAAGAAGTTCCATGACACTGTCTGCAGTACCTGCAAACAGATAAAACTAACCTATTTCATCATGATTTTTGCCTCTGTTCACTTTGTGCTATCTCACCTTCCCAACTTCAACTCCATTTCTGGTGTCTCCTTGGCAGCAGCAGTCATGTCCTTGAGGTATCACATCCTTTCATGTGCCATATCAGATAGATTAAACAAAATCTGAAAAATAAAGTAACAATGTTAATATTTGATATGCTAATGCAAGATTTGGTGATTGTCTTGTCATACAGTTACTCTACTATTGCTTGGGGAGCTTCAATATCTAAGGGTGTTCAGGACGATGTGCAATATGGCTACAAAGCTAAGACTGCAGCAGGAACAGTGTTCAACTTCTTCAGTGCCTTGGGTGATGTAGCTTTTGCCTATGCTGGGCACAATGTGGTCTTGGAGATCCAAGCTACAATCCCTTCTACACCTGAGAAGCCATCAAAAGTACCCATGTGGAGAGGTGTTATCGTTGCCTATATAGTTGTGGCCTTGTGCTACTTCCCGGTTGCCTTAATTGGTTACTGGGTGTTTGGCAATTCTGTTCAAGACAACATCCTCATCTCATTGGAGAAACCTGCATGGCTTATTGCAATGGCTAACATGTTTGTTGTTGTTCATGTTATTGGCAGCTACCAGGTTTGTATCAATCAATTTAATCTTCTTCAGATTTTATCATAATTTATATATCCATATTACAGATAACTGATTAGATTTTGGTTCAACTTTTGTCTATGTAGATCTACGCAATGCCAGTGTTTGACATGATAGAAACTGTACTAGTAAAGAAACTAAATTTCAAGCCCTCTAGAACACTTCGATTCTTTGTTCGCAATTTTTATGTCGGTAAGTAAAACTCTTCACTTATTTCAACTTACTTGCATTCAAATGAAGGCCATTATATCAACAAAAAAGGGGATTACAGGATTTTAATTTATGTGTCATATCTTTGTTGCAGCGTTGACAATGTTCATTGCCATTACCTTCCCTTTCTTCGGTGGCCTTCTTGGATTTTTCGGAGGATTTGCTTTTGCACCAACAACATACTTTGTAAGCCACAGTCTCCCTTCATGCCATATTTCTTCTTATTAGAAAAGTACCATTCTCTTTGAAGAATTTTTACATCATTACTCATGTTTACTTGCTTTTTATTCTTTAGCTTCCTTGCATCATGTGGCTTGCCGTCTATAAACCAAGAAGATTCGGTTTATCTTGGTGGACTAACTGGGTAAGAAAACTTGATTTAAATTCTATTAACCTCATTGTTTCAATGTGCTTCGAATCGGTGTTTAGTTGGTCTTACTTGGGTTTCCTTTTGTTTTCCCAGATCTGTATTGTATTTGGTGTTTTCTTGATGGTCCTATCACCAATTGGAGGGTTGAGGCAAATCATCCTTCAAGCCAAGCACTATCAATTTTACTCTTAAATAGTTGTCTTCCCACAGTAGGAGGAAGTGCGGTGCCACAAATTGAAGAGCAGGAACAAATGAAGAACATGATAGTTAAGTCAGTCTGATGGGGCATAAGGCCATCATCAATAGTTCATCGGATAACTGAACCTTCAATCAACGGGTGTCCATAGTATCGAATCATTGCTTTTTGTGAACAAGTGAACTCCAGTCATTGAGACCAAACCACAGGAGCATTAGTCTTCACTGTTTCTTCATTATTACTGGTGTATGAATATAAAATATACAGTTGTGAAATGGTTGCCATTTAATGTGTTTGCTTTCCAGGAGAGTTCTGAGTCTTAAGGTTTGTTTCAGGAGATTTACTGTATTACTAGTGTAACATTAATACAACTTACTAAGGATTGATGCTTTCTACAGAATGGTTCAATCTTTTTTTGTTACTCAATATTTTGTTGATTTAGTTTCTCCCTTAAAAGTATATATTTCTTGTTGGATCTTGCCACAGACACTATAAAGAAAATTATGTCAAAACTCCAAAGATTAACAGACGAACCTCAAACTGATATGCAAATCCAGGAGAATGAGATTCGAATCACAGCACCTGCAATCCCTTCTCTTATATTTTCATAAGAGGCAGGTGTGTTGGAAAAACAAAATTAAGTTAATAACCGTCTATGCCGAAAACAACATTTTAGACATGTAAATATGTAGCAATAGATACTCGAGTAATAAACTGTGTCTACCAAGTGGAATCGAAGCTTATACTGAGAAAACATTCATATGCTAAATGGAACCAACTGTTTACTCTTTTGCGGATTGCCAAAGCAGAACTTACCATAAAATATACATTGACTGGTGTGCTTGGATATTGCAGAAGGAGCAGAAACTTCTGAAACAAAATCCTAAATTTATGTTCCATTGCTTGGAAATGAAGATGAGAGAAGTCAGAGCTCAGGAATGATGAAACAGTGAATCGAATTGGAATTGGATACCTCTCAAATAATGGATATGGTTTGTAAGTTACCAGAATACAAACCAACTGTTCTGGTCACTGACTCCCTGGAGCCACCAGGTCTTAAGGGTAATGATCAGCTTCAAGGGGCCTGCAGTAGAAAAGGATGCTTTATGTCATAAAATCTGTATAACTTAGACAAATGATTCAGTCTAAGTACTTATTTGAAAGCATAATGTGAACAAAATCTTATCAAATGGAAAAGAATATGAAGAATAAACTAATCAGTTAACACTTGGTAACACCAATAAAATTACAAATGCAAGGTTTATCCTGTTAAATGCCGGCCATATTCACCATTTCCATATGGTTTAACTATGATGTGACAAGCCTGCAATCAAATAAGGAGAACCAACTTTCTATTCCCTTTCATAGCAAGTATTTATCAGAAAACAAATGGATTATGCAATATGCAAAGCATATGAAAAATATCTATACATTCCACAGAATATCAATGGTATCAAATCAAAGAAAGGATTTGCGGAACTTAAATGTTCCATTCTATGGAACTGATTTCAATTACCAAATATATTTGTACTATCATATATGTACCATATGCTCTATCCGGCAATGATTCCACATCTTATACCCTTAACATTATTCTAGAGTAGGTGGAAAATATGTAAAGAAAAGATACGAATTTGAAGCAGTGCAGCTAATATCCTTCATATTGGCCATACTCAAATCTGGAAAGGTAAATCTTCATAATAAGTGGGAAAACAAGGAAGGAAATAAAACAGGTTACAGCCTGTAACACATCATATACCAAATTACCATATGGTTGTAGCTATATATCACCAAGAAAGCATTAAAAAGTTTTTCAAATAAATGAAAATTCAAAATCATTAGCCTTTTGCAATTCAAACTATGTTTGGTAGGAGGGAATATGGGAAGGAAAGATTTTAAATTATGCATTTTTTTCATACTTATGATATTCAAGACCCTTTGATATTTGTCTCCCTAAAAGGAATAACAGCTGTCTCACTAAAAAGAATCTTTTACTAATTTTCAAATTTTCACTAATTTTTTTCCATTTTTGTAATTTCCTTCCTGTCATTTTCCTTTTCTGCTTCCCTCTGCATATCCCTGAATATACCATGGTCATGAATGTTAATGAAGAATGCCTTGACATGAACCAGGATTTTCTACCATTTTAAGACAATAACATTTGAAAATGGACCCTTTTTTCCCTTAAAAAACATTTTAATGAGAACAAAACAGTCATGGTCAAAAGTTGTCTTTCCTAATATATTCAGAATTTGTCTAGGCGAAGTTTGTTTTAAATATGTAGTCATTTTCAAGATTGCCTTCTTTGAAACTGTCAATCAATATATATTTCTTTGCTTCCTTGTTCTTGATTGCTTCATATCTTCTCCTCTTCCTACATAGTTTTTGCAGTGTGTAAACTTTGGTAACTATGGGGACTCAAGCTCCTTCTCATGAAAAGCTCGAAAGCAATACCCCAAGCACTGTAATTAGCCTTTGCTAGACCTCATGCATTTTTTTTTTATTATGCAACTACTATTTCATTATGAACAATTTTTGTTTTCCCGTTTTTTATTCACCTTTTGAGGAGGGGTTACTTGAAAATTGAAACCATGTTTTGCTACTTGACTTGACAGACTGATCAATGATTTATTATGAAATTTCAGGTAGATGAAACAAGGCTCAAGAAGCAGAAGGAGATTAATGATTGGCTTCCAATTACTTCTTCAAGAAATGCCAAATGGTGGTATGCAGCATTCCACAATGTTACTGCTATGGTTGGCGCTGGAGTCCTCAGTCTTCCTTCCGCCATGGCACATCTGGGATGGTACGTCAAATATAATACAATTAAAGCTTTTTTTCTCCCTCAAAAGTCATGTAGGCCTCTGATCCCATCCCTTTTTCCACCATCCCAAAACTCGACCTCAAGGCCTTTAGTTTATTAAGAAAGAAATTTTCACCAGGCTACATGATCATCGGCCACAGTATTCATAATTGGAAACTATTTGGTTTTTATGCATATACTTCAAAGAAAGACTAATATTTGAATAAGCTTTCGTTCTCTAATTCAGGGGTCCCGGAGTTGTAATTCTGATCCTGTCATGGGTCATCACTCTGTACACTCTCTGGCAAATGGTTGAGATGCATGAGATGGTTCCTGGGAAAAGGTTTGATCGATACCATGAGCTGGGGCAGCATGCCTTTGGGGAGAAGCTCGGTCTTTATATAGTGGTGCCTCAGCAACTGATCTGTGAAGTTGGTGTTGACATAGTCTACATGGTTACTGGTGGAAAATCACTGCAGAAAATCCATAATCTAGTCCGCAACAAACCCTACAAAGATATCAAAACGTCATATTTTATCATGATGTTTGCCTCCGTTCATTTTGTACTTGCCCACCTCCCCAACTTTAACTCCATCTCAGCGGTCTCTTTGGCTGCAGCAATCATGTCTCTGACGTATGTTCCTTGTATTCATCAGCTTACATGCTCTTCTAAGTCTGAATCTGAAACTTTAGGGGATATACTACAAATTCGAGCTATATGATGGTCATTACCGAATTATAATCCTCTATAACTATATCTTAATAAGCAGTGATGTAAAATGTTAAGTTGTTTATATTTCTCAAGTCCCAAAAAGAAATCATGTCTGATGTTTATTTTGTTATGCAGTTACTCTACCATAGCCTGGACTGCTTCTGTCCACAAGGGTGTCCAGCCAGATGTGCAACATGGCTACAAAGCCAGCACAGCATCAGGAACAGTCTTTGGTTTTTTTACTGCATTAGGAGATGTGGCTTTTGCCTATGCTGGACACAACGTGGTCTTGGAGATACAAGCAACAGTCCGTTCTACACCAGAGAAGCCTTCCAAGGGTCCAATGTGGAGAGGAGTGCTCATTGCCTACTTCGTTGTGGCCTTCTGCTACTTCCCTGTTGCTCTCATTGGATACTATATATTTGGCAACAATGTTGAGGACAATATCCTCATCTCATTGGAGAAACCAACATGGCTTATTGTTGCAGCTAACGTGTTTGTTGTGATCCATGTGATTGGAAGCTATCAGGTTTGAATTTTTGGTCTGTTTCAGCTTGTGTTCATCCGGATCAACTAGAATAGACTTTGTATACTGTTGTTTCTTTGTTTCTGTAAATGCAGCTATATGCCATGCCTGTTTTTGACATGATAGAAACTGTGATGGTAAAAAAATTGCGTTTTAGACCCACTAGAAAGCTTCGATTTATCGTACGCAATTTTTATGTTGGTAAGTAAAGTAATTTCCATTTTCAAGTTTAAATAAACAAAGCAAATCTTGTCCGGGGTGTATATTCTGAAATGAAAAACTATATGTTCTTTGTTTCAGCTGCAACTATGTTTGTAGCCATTACTTTTCCTTTCTTTGGTGGTCTTCTTGGATTCTTTGGAGGATTTGCTTTTGCACCAACAACCTATTTTGTAAGTTCCCATCCATTCTTCATTCATTTGGATTGCTACTGGCAAATTCTGACAGAGATTTCAAGCTGATATATATTAATTTTTGCTGCCATTCTTCAGCTTCCTTGCATCATATGGCTTGCTCTATACAAACCGAAGAGGTTCAGCTTATCTTGGTGTATCAACTGGGTATATTTTCAACTTAAATCATGCCCAAGTTTCTTCTTCATATTCTCATCTGCCTGTTGACACTAAATCTGATTTTTGGCCTGTTTTTTTTTTAATTTCAGATCTGTATCATACTCGGCCTTCTGCTAATGACTCTATCACCCATTGGAGGTTTGAGGAACATCATTCTTAGTGCCAAACGTTACCATTTCTACTCTTGAATGTTTCTGGAAATGGCAAGCAAGTAATTAGAGAGATAATATATGTTTATGTAAAATAAGACGGTATGGTCGAAATCAGCTCTTATAGAGAACTGGTAGGTAATAGGTTTATCTATTCAATGGGAAAGAGGCCGATGGAACCATCAATGTATTTATCCCATGCACCTGTTCTGCAGCTCTCTTTGTGTTGGTTATTGAATTGTAAGCCACATGTGTGAACTGTTCTTGCAGTTTAATTTATCAACATTTAGCCATTTGAGTTTTTGAATGCTAGTTTTATAGCAGAAGCATGTGACGGACAATTTGCAGTTGCCTTTTAAGGTTGTCCAATGTTGGTATGAAAAGATTCTATTTTAAGAACAAATTTTCCCAGCAGGAGACTTGCTTCTGGACAACAGTTTTCAGATAACTGTAAAAACGTTCATAAGTAATGGTGTCATTGACATTGGCTACATCTGGGAACTGAAAATTTATTCTGAAACTGGTATGCTCACTTTTTGGTATCATCATTCACACAATCTCTTGTACATTCCAGCAAAACCATCTTTGAATCCAATGGCAAACCAATTAAAGTGTGACAATTTTATTCACCAGGGATCCACTGCTATATCCTTGTATTTATCAGAGAAACAGATGTCAAAGTAACAATAATATCAACATATCACTAGCTGTCATTGCTATGTTTCCAGATGCAAGTCAATGTCTACATTCTAGAGGAAATGGTGGCTAAACCGGAGTTTTGGACATTGGAAACTACCTACAAGAATAGGCTGTCTGTCAACCGGCAGTGCCGAATCTTATTACATCATAGCCATCATTCTCACCTAAAACTTGTTCCATTGAATTTAATTCTTAGTAACTATTTAAGGGATCAAGCCAAAGCTATAGATATTTGGTTGAGTTCCTTCAAATTGGTTATGAATTGCAAAAGTTCTTAACCATAATAGGAGCAAAGATAGAACATGTTGGAAATTAAAGCAATGTTAACCAGCCAGCAAAGAAATGACAAAACTGAAAGAAGACATTTGAGACTTATGCACCATTTATGTCATTTAAACAAACATAAGAAATTGACAGACAGACACATTTAATTAGTATAAATTGGGGAAACATTTCCTGTGAATTGTATGAGCTAACTCAACCAAACAGACAATAGTAGACTAATGAGCATAAATTAAGAGCAGATTCCACTTGTACAGAAAAATATATCTTCTGGTTGGACTATTCCAACAAGACAGGAGACCACAAACAGTTTATCCTTTAGTTGGTTGAGATCAGAGGTTTTTGTTTGCTCTTCAGATAGCCAAAACAAACCAGAACCTTGAAAACATCAAAGACAAACAACAACGGTAATTAAAACTAAACAATAAACTTTAGGTGGTGATCTACTATGCCCAAGTAGTAGCCTAATGCTCAAACAGATACAATGAGAGGACATCTCCAACTAGATGTTTATGGTGCAATTTTGCAGAAGAAACTACAAAAGCATGCATTTAAATGCAAAAGAATCAATCAAAGAGAACCAATATAACTCCTAAAGCACTCATTTCCTTCATAATAGAGTTGCATTTTCAAATAATTTGTGGCATTGACAAACTATAAAAGCATGCATTCAAGTGCAAAAGTATTCAATGAGGAAAACCAAAAAAATTGTTCTAAAAGTAGTCATTTCATCTCAAGAGTTCATCAAAGACACAAACTTTAAGCGTATGTTACACATCATCATATTCCTCATCCCGTCTGTTATTCTAATTCTTGACCTTGATTGTTATACAGAACAAGAAATATAAAATTAAATCCCCCCCTCCCCCTTTACCTCTCTCAAAAGATCACCATTATCATAATATCTTCTCCAATTTAGACTTTTTCTCTTTAAACAACTCAATCCACAAATTAGAAATCCACAGCATACTAACACCAATAGCTGTAACAACAACAAACATCCAAGAAATCCAAATCCATCTGGGAATCACTTTATCAGCTCTCCCACTTATATAAAACACTCCCATCTGGTACACGAAAAAAACACCAAAAATCCCTCTAGCAACACTATAAAAGGCATAAAAATAGGGAGACAAAGAGGCATAGACCTTTGCAGCCAACTCATCATCGTTCCTCCTAACAGTTGCCAAAGTCCAAACATTCTGGCAAAAGCTGGTAATTTCAGCTAAAATCAAAAGAGAGAGTATAGCATACGCGCCATGGAAGACAACGTAGCGGCAGGTGATGAAAACAAAGAGAGTAGCCAAATGATGGCCAATGAAAAGGATGTCTGAAGGGATGAAAATAATGTAGTGAAGGAGATCTGCAAGAAAATAAGCAATGCTATAATCCAAAACTAAATTCTGGGTTTTTGTGTTTGATGAAGAAAAGCCACGGTTTTGGTCTGAAAAGATTGCAAAAGTGGCTAAGAAAACAGCTGGGGTACCATGGAAAAGAGACATTAAGCAAGAAGAAGCCTCAGGGCGGATCTTGGAACTCCAGCTACGGAAAACAATGAAGTAAGCAATTAAATATGTGGTAAAAAACACAGAGAAAAACAAAGGGAGATTTGGGATTGGGAAGAAAAGGGTAGTTTCCATTGATTTTTTTTTTCTTTTTCTTAGGCGTTGACTGGAGAAAAAAGTATGAGAATTCTGGAGTTGGGTTGGGTTAGACTTTGTGATGTTGGTTTGCTTGAAGAGTTTCTGGAAAAAGGAGATGGGCTGTCAGAAGACAAACAGGCGACACGTTTTTAAGGAATCAATGTTTCATCTTTCATGATTTAGCGCTTACAAAGGACGCTTTTGGCTGCGTTTATATTACGAGCTTATTATAGATTTACCGTACCAGGTCTGGTTCCCATTCATTTCTGTTTGTCTTAGTGACGCAGGGAATGAAAGCATGGTTGGAAGGGAAATCTAGTTTATCAGAAAATCTGTTATCTGTCCTTTGAGTGTTTGATTTTCAATGTGATTTTATAAATGCTTGTGAATTAATAACAATGGAATTATTAATCCAATTATAACCAAGTCTCAATTAATTTTTACATCCAAAAATATAAAGAAGATGGTTGACGTTCATAAGGAAAATCAGCTTCTCTTGGTTTATTTCTAGATCATTTTGTGATGGCTTTCAAGCCAAGTTTGAGCTAACTTGGCATAAGATGTGCAAATCCTTGATTAATGGAGGTTCAAATTTATCATTCTATTTAAATCCATGAATTAAATTTTCCCAAACATTTTTTAGTAAATACTACAAATAGATTTAAAATTTCAGCGAGGGGTTGACCCCGTTGCCCCATTGTGAATCCAAGATAGGAAGTTTAATCCCCAAAAACCGAGGCAAAATTTTTATAGCATCAATGTATTCTCTTTTCTATTCTTTTCCCTAAAGTAGTTTCACATAGACTGGCAGAGTTCAATCTATTTCTCCCTCCTCGGCATCATTTACAGGATTTGGAACACTAGGCGGCTCACCTTCTTCTTCTTCCTCATCATCCTTCATGTACAAACCCAGTTGTTCCAAAGGGTTGCTGCTTCCAAACTTGAAACTACCCAGGCCATCCTGAGAATGATCTGGGCTTGTTTCATCCACCGAGCTTGGCAAATGCTCGGCAGGGGCAGCTCTAAGCATTTCCAAGTCCTCAAGAAATCTAGAATTCTCATTGATTTCAACAGTCTTTTCCATCTACAAAACACCAGAAAAAGTAGATATTAAGTCCAGAACAAGACAACAGAGCCAAATTATGAAAATGTCAATGCAATGCATTCCTCTACCTTCAGCAATGCCTGCCGTGCCTTATCCCTCTCAAGCTCCCTCTTCCGTCTAGCCTCAGCTGCAGCTTCTGCTTCAGCTCGTCTTCGAGCATCTTCGGCAGCCTTGGCTTCTGCTTGCAACCGTGCCTTTTCTGGCCGACATCAACAAAATCGTTGCTTAGACATGCAAGATATTAATACACGAACTTCTCCATCTTGAAAACATATATATTAACTTGGGCATAACTGCGTTTTGAAAACCCAGAAACACTAGATTAAAGTTCAAACCTTTCTTCCTTTGCTGTTCAAGTTCCTCTCTCTCCCGGCGCAATTTCTCAGGATCCCCCTTTTCACCCTGATCCAGAATCAAAAACGCTCAAATAAGGTATAGGCATTAGGTACGCTTCAGGAACCCAAGTTTACAACTAACCTGTGTAGTAAGTGTCTTCTCTCGAGCCTTTAGTATGGTATCAGCAAATCGATTCTTCAATAAAGCAGCCCTGTAGAGTTTCTCAGGAGAAATCTGTCTCTCAGTTGGAGCACTGTCCCCTATATTTTAAATTCGATAAACAGTGAGATACAACTTTACATAAAAAAACAAAAAAAAATTCCTTCCATAATCTTCATTGATCTTACCGTCTTGGTGACTATCTGACTCAACAGAACTAAGCTTTGGCTGAGAAGTCTGCTCAAGCTGATCGAACCCACTAACAAATTCTGCAAGAGACCATGGATTAACAACCTCACATGTAAAGAAGAATTGACCATTTCAAGGCTTTGCCATTCAAGTAAGAACAAAAGTACAAGAACATTTCTCTCCTGACACTTGTGAAAATTCAAATATTATAAATTTAGACACTCACGATTCCTATCAATAGAATCATCAACACTTGTCTTTTCATCTAATTGAGCCCCGGAATCTACAACTTCCAGTACCTGAAGGATAATGCAAAGTAAGATGCTGGTTAAAAAGCAATCCAGCCCATTTGAAACCCCTTGGGGATAGAATAAAACTTTAAAGTGGATCAAACATACAATTATGGGGTCAAAGAACTCAGTATTATTATTTAAAACCAAATAGAACCAGCACACACCTTCAGTGCATCCACGGGACTTGATGCTTTAGCACCACCAGATTCACTGTCAGAACTGCCAGAGTCTGAATCTGTAAAGAAAACAAAAGAAAGCAGTCAAAAGACATGCTTGCACCAAACAAAATTTGGGAAAAATAACTAGTAAACAGCAGGAGAAAGTAAAGAAATCAACTTGAGTAATACTAGCAGTATCCAAAGAAAAGAGAAGTGAATAAACAGACGCACTTAATTTATGATGTCGGGGTCAAAAAAGAGTTATTATCCTAAACAAGTTTTTGTATCCCTTAACCAGTTTAAAACACATAGCCAAAAGTAACTGGATTAACAGGTATGGTATGGAAGCATAAATGTGAACAACCCCGTTCTTGGCCGTACAGTTTCCAAAAGTCTAATTATAGTGAAAAATTAAGTAAGCATGCTTACCAAATGTGGGCTGGTAGGTAAATGAGTAGCATAGAAAACTGATAAATTGAATCCAAAAGAAAATAGGCAACTGCAGATTCATCATTTAAGAAAAACAGAATGAAGGATGCATACAAAAAAAAAAAAAAAGAGCAAGGAAAATGCAATTACCTCTAGAGCTGCCTGAACTGACAGACTTTATGCTTCTATAGCCTGCATCCTTCTCTATCTCCATAGGTGGATTACTTGACACAGGAGGCTCATTTCCCCCAATGTCAACATCCTCATCAGCCAGGTCATTCCCTGCAAATGCAAAACACAAACGGAGAAAGTCAGAAGGAATTCTTCGAATGTAGCTCAGAAGGTAGGATATTAAGCACAAGGATTTGAAAGACTACCTTTGGCTTGTTGCATGGATGAATAACTCAGTCCAGATTTATTCAATAACTGTATCAGAAAAAATTTCCCCAAAAGAAAAAAAATAGGTTTAGAAGTAGGTAACCACTTTGCATCTATATATTACTTTGAAGCATCAAAAGCAAGCAATTATACTGATTTTTCAGCCATTACATGGTGTAGATAAGTACCTGAATTTCACAAGGTTCAGCTCTTGATTGGTTATTATGTTTCTCTTGCAAATACTCATCTAAAAGCTTCCGCAATGTGAACAAGGTATCATCACTGAGGTCGTCAATATCAATCTCAATTTCTTCCTCTCCAGATTCCCTTCCATTTGAACTGTGCTCCCTCAAGAAATCAATGATATGCATGGGAATTTCCGCAAGTAAAGATTCCAGTTCTCTGCCAAGATTGTGCTTTTCCTCATCCGTCATTCTCCTTACAGGCTCCGGTATAACCTGTTGGGTCACTGAGGTTGTCTTTCTCTTTTTTGCAGGAGGCATTACCTTAGAAATTTCTATGTTCTCGGGAGGAGCTTTACTTTGTACCAACTGGGCACCGATAACAGGTAACTTCTTCTCAATATTTTTCCACCTCACTTCAAAAAACTTGTTAAGTGTATCAGCCATAACATGGACATCATTTCCAGGGGGATTATAGGTCATTGCATTGCTGAAAGTAAGCCTCACATCAGCACAAAACTCCAAGGGGCTTGCATATCCACCTGAAGCTATCTTCCTTTTAATTGTTCCTAGATCCATCGGGTGCTTTATAACAGTAAAGTAATCTGGAATATTCAACTTCACTACATCTACAGGTTGGTTGAAGACCCACCCATACTGATGCCCCATCAATCGCTTTAGCAGGCCCTCACACTGCTTCATCAAGATAATATTTGTGGTGTTTGCTTCTGAAGCATGTTTTGCAGACTTAAATTTTCCTGAAGAACTCCGAATCCACCCACACGCCTTGCCACTCAGAGGATTTCCTTTCTTCCCTGGACCAGAAGCCATCACAGACTTCTGAATATCCTGTACATGAGGTAAAACCTGCCCATTGCTACAACTAAGAATATCACTGGAAGATGATACGGTAACCCCATTTGTCCTTGGCAACTCAACTTTCTTCTGAAGCATCCGTATCTGCTCCAGTTCATGTCTCAAACTATGTATCAAATCGTTTCTTTTAGACTGTGACATGTTTGACAGGGAAAGCACTTGTATAGGGACACCAAAAGTGTCACGTTTATCAGGGTTCAAACTGATACATTTCCTTGTTGGGGCACTTGAATCTTCTGAAGCAGTAATCTCAGTATCAACTCGTCCCGAGCTACCAGAGCCCTCTGATTCACCAGGAGGCTCATATGGTCCACAATAATACCCTCCTGCAAACCTATCAGTCTTTGCCAACATCTTAGCCAAAACACCCTTTTTCTTACTTCCCTTTTTCAATGTAAAGCAGTTATTTGTTTAATCACCATACTCTGCATATATCAACCATGGGAGCAAAATTATCCCATTGGATTTCTAAAGTAACTTTATACACCACCCTTAAACACAACTCTTAAAGTAAACTTTGATATTTGTTTTAAGCTAATATAGTTTCTATCTATTGTAGAGTCATAAAGGAGCGAGAAAATGGGTGAATAAAGAGTTCAACTACTTTAAAAGGTTAGGCCTTTTATTTGGAAAGGTCCGTGCTACTGGAAAAGGAGTGGAAGCATTGGCAGAAGCTGTAAAAAAGCTTGATTGTGAAGGAAATGGCGAAGGAAATGATGAAAGTGATGGTGGAGACCTAAAAAAAATTCTGTGAATCAAAATGCTTATGTTGAGAAGAATGTTGAAAGCTCTGATAAAAAGTATTCTGAAGGTGGTGAAGCATTAGCTGATTGCTTGGTAGAGGCGGTTCACATCTTTAGCTCCTACTTTTGGAACTACCCCATCTTTTGAAATACACCAGATTAAACCCAACAGAACATTAATAAGAATCCAGTCTCCCTTTCCACATTGAATATACCCAGATTTAAATCTTTTCCAACGATGCAAAAGAAATTAAATTGCATGACAATTAATTGAACTTATTTATTGTTAAATTAAATCCTTTAACATGCATTTACCAGGATCCTGAAATTTTTAACCTTTTTTTTTTTTTACTTCTTTTAAACAACCCATCTTTAAAAACCTCATTCACCAGATTAAACCCTATAAAACACTAAAAATAACCCAAAATTCACATTTAATCATTTTCAGGCATGCATGGGAAATTAAAATTACAAGATAAAGAGAAGCTAGATGAACTGATTTGTATTTGAAAATTCATAGTAACATTTACTAGTTCAAAGCTCAAATCTTTACACCAGAAGAGGTTTGATACAACAAAACCCTAACCCAATACCAAACTCCAAACTCCCAAAAAACCCAAACCCGGATTCAAAAGAATGAACTCTAAAACCTAATAGAACTTACCAGTCCGCCACTTCTCCTTCGCTGTTCCTCGAATCTCGAAAACCCTTTCTTCAATTCCCTAATCTTTTCAGCGACGAATTAGAGGATATAAACAAAAATAAACTAGATAAACCCTAGATCAAGAAACCCTAGAGCAATTAATGATTAATTTTTTTAATAATAAAAATTGATTAATCTTTTTATTGGAATTTTTGTAAATTTGGATCGCTAAAAATTATTAGCGAAAAGCTTAAAAAACCTAAAAAAAAAAAAAAGGAGAGAGAAAATACGAAAAGAGTTGGCCTTCGAAAGATTTAAAAAAAAAGGGCTTTTGCTTACTTTCGAGGAACTATGACCATTGGATTCAAGATGAAGAGTGATCGGACGGTTACAGTTATCTACGATCTCAGCCGTCGGATTTTGACATGTTGATTTAGAAAAATCGATCTGTCAAACTTTTTGTCTTTGTGGAGTTGATTAAGTAAATTAATAACGCGGGTTTTCGGTGACCGATGATAAAGGGACAGCCAAGGGAGGAAAGTACGGTCACAGTTCGATCTTATTGGAAGAAGTTTTTATGGAGAGTTAAATTTATGACGTGGTGGAATGGTATTGGATGAGATAAGCTGAGTTCAGTGAACATGGGTTTGACTTTGGTTTGTTCCGGAAGGTACTAGAGAAATCCATCAATCATATGTAGATTTTAAGGCATTCTTTAAAATTAGTATAAATAGTAATATTTTCATTTAATGCATTAAAAATCACGAATAAAATTATCAATTATTATATTAACACAAAATTATTACTATAAATTGTATATTCATGAACTTTAAACAGTATTTAAAGATACTCGTCGACAAAATCTTATATGTAAATAAGTTTAAATTAAATTTGATAATTTAAAATACAAATATGATAAAAATAAAATATATTAAAATAACATAATTTAAAATTTTAATAATTATTATATATTAATTAATTAAAATTAAATATATATTTTTTATATTTTTATATTTATATAAATTTTATGTAAAATATAATTTGAATATATAAATTATAATTTTTAATCCGATGTATAATTCAAGATTTTATAAGATCTTAGCCCGTTTCCATTAAAGCCACTTGCCCATTTATATTTGAGCCCAAATATAAAAAAAAAAAACTGGGCTTTGGGGCCCTTTTGAGTTCTAAACCTGTCAGATCTACGCCCAGTGCCCATGTCTAAGTGTAGTTGTCAACCATTTTCCCATATGCTCGACCTCATTTTCAACTTTAAAAAATGTCATGGTCTCACTTAAACAATGAAATCTCATGAAAGTTAGGTCACTGTTGAAGTGATTAGTAGTTCTGAATTATTGGTATTGAATGCTTATCCATCCTTATTGGAATAATAGTTTCATATAATGACGTAAAGGTAAATGAAGTGAAACCCAATCCATTTGTTGGTATCAAGTCACTTTGATTGCCAATAATAATAATAATATTTAATAATATATAATGCTTGAAAATGTAATTTTCACTTTTAAACTAAAAAAATTATATGAAGATAGAAAAAAATATATATAGCCAAGGTATTTTTAAAAGTAATTTCAAATCAATTACCCAAAAAATTTTCTCCATGCTCCAACTTTTGTCATTTAGCTGTTTAATTTTGGTACTAACGAAATTTTGGCAGCAAGCCAGAATAATATCCACCAATAATAAGGCGGTTCAATTGATAAAAATTATTTGTTTTAATGTAAATATTTTGGATTTAAATCTAATAATTTATTATTAAAATTATTTTAAATATATGATTTTTAATTATTATTTTTAAATTATTAAATATAATAAATTTTATGAAAGATTGAAGAATTTATCAATCTTTAAATTTTCGTAAAATATATATATTTTAGAATAATATCCATCGATGATGCCATGTTTGACCTGAAAAAGATTAAGACTGACACAGACACTCCCAATCTCTCGACCCTCATTGGACGACACCGCAGCTGAGTAACAGGAGGCGGGGACCCTTCGAACCCCTTATTTTCATCCAATGGGATTCGTCCGCGTCACTTCAGAAATCTATCCCAAGATCCGCCACCCTCTCACACCAGCCACGCGTCCTCCGTTGTACAATTATCACTTCCAGCAGTTGTCACCTTTCCCCACTCTCAACCCCACGCGTGCTAGCACTCTAATCACATAATAATTCAGTAATTCATGCATATGGTATTTGATTCATTAGCGGTGCATGTCACTCTAAATTTTTTTGTTATAATTTTACAATTCTCTGATTTTATAAATAAAAAATATATAAGTGTTTATCAGTTATAAATATTGATAAATCTTGTATAATTATAAATTATATTTAATTATAATATAATAACTATAAATTATATTCTTCCATTAATTAAAGGTCTGGCATTGATTTTTTTTTCAAATATTAATATAATTTTTAAATTGACGATAAAAAAACCGTGAAAGATAAGATCGAAAGCATTATAGAGAAAAGAATATGATATATGTCTAGTTTAATTTTCATTTTATATTTCAATAATGATAACGTAATTAATTAAATTATTATTAATAAGTTTTGATGACTTAATAATCAGAATATTGCTGATGCGTCATTAAAATATAACAAATATTAATATATTTATTATCTCTATTTTTATATGTAAGATTTACTCACAGTGAAAGCCATACTTTTAAATAATTATTAAAATTCTGTTTGTTTTGTAAAGAAAATTAAAATAATTTGTGTATTTTTATATTTATTGGATAAAAAATTAATTTATCATTCGAAAATAATTTATTAATCAATAAAAAATAATATTTTTAAAATTATTTTCCTCTTTTCATAAAATTATTTTTTAAAAATATTTTTTAAATCAAATAAGCACATTAACCAAAATTTTTTAAAATAAATTAAGCACTTGTTTTTATTAACTCGGAAGGAATTGAGTCAGCTTTGCAGCGAACATGGATTCAGTTGAAGAAGATATCAACGTTTGCCTTCACGCGCTTCAGTGCAGGAAATGTCGATATGACCTTCAACCCAACATGCTCGTTCAAAACAAATGACAAAGCACCACGTGTTCGGTAATCTGGAACCAACCCATAAACTTTCTCCAAATAACCCAAAAAAAAAATCAAAAGCCGAAAAAAAGCCACTCCACTTCAAGACAGAATATTGATGCCAACTCCCGAGGTACGGCCACGTGTTGCCTACTTTTACGTTATTTGAGACACGTAATCGATTTTCATTTGCAGTAAATGGGCCAATCAGAAGCTTCGAACAGGCCAAAACAGGGAACTTTTTTAATGGGACCCATTGGGTTTCAACCAATTAAGTATAGTCACTGTTTTAAGTGTCTCCTCAGACACGTGGCTTTCTCATATCTTGGCCACGATTGCTGCCCTATGATTATCGCTCAGCTCCCTTAAAGCCTTATTGGAAAAAAAAAAAAACAAAACAAAAAAGGAAAGAGAAAATAAAACGATAAACCAAAGAGAGAGAAAGAGAGAGGGATTGTTGGGTTTCTTTTTGGAAGAAGAAATGAAGGGTGGTGATCCATGGAGCAGGCTAAAATGCGCCGGGGGTGTACAAGATAAGACGATAATCAACCGGATAATGCTCAGATTCCGGCCGATTGCTCCCAAACCGGTGACCGGATGCTCAGTTTCCGGCGACTATATGTTTAGTAACAAGAACTTGTTTGTTAGTAGCAAGAGAGCAAAGAAAAAATACGTTAGGGTTTGTAAGAAAAATAATAGGAAAAGAACAATCTTGGGTGAAGCTAAAGAAGATAAGGATGAGAAGAAGAGTTTCGTTACTCTACAGCTCATGCCAGAGAAAGCTGATCTAGAGAAATCAATGGTTATTGAAAGGTCATGGGGTGGTGTTGATGATGATCCAGATCGAACGGTAGGTAATAACTATCATTTTCATGAGGACCCACCATCGCTGTGCTTGATGTTGAAGAAAATGGTAGCAGCAGATAACGTGGCGAAAATTGGGTTCTTGGATCAGACGGCGTTGATAACCTCCTCCAAGAGGAGGGTGACGGTGGTGGAGTCGTGTGTGACGGTAGAGAGCGTGACGGACACTTGCATGGATGAAGGAGAGATGGGGAAATGTACGGACGTCGAGAAAATGAAGAATCTTGAGAAGGACACGTGTCCTGGTTTTGTATCAGATAGGTTGAATCGGGTTTTCTGGGTTAACCAAGCTTATAAAAACATGGTAGGCTTGGACGGCGGGCAACAGGCTGAAATCGCCGTGGGGTTGCTAGTAAAAGACGGGTTCATGCTTCCGAACGGTGGTGCATTTTCATGCCGTGTAGGGTTGCAGTACGGCGATGGAAAGGGTAAGAAGTACTCGAAAGTGGTTCCATGCGATGTGTGGAAGATGAGCTACGGTGGATTTGCGTGGAGGCTCGATGTTAAGGCTGCTCTCAGCTTGGGACTCTAACAAAAGGAAAAATCAAAGAAATGATTATTTCCATGGTTTTGCAGGTAATTTAAAGTTTTTTGTTTGCTTAAAAATTTGTGAAGAAAACAAGAAAAATAGTATATACAAAACAATGGTTAAAAAAATAAATATGTAGGTTTGTGTTTGTATGTGTTGGATTATGAGATTTATAGTGTATTGGGAAAGGAAGATTATATTTAGAGGAAAAAATAAAGAGAAAAAAATAATTTGAAATAGTGTTTAAATCAAAACAAGTATATAGAATAACTGAAATAAAAAGGCCATCACAAAAAAAATTAATAAATAAATTAAATTAATAAAAACTAAAAGCCAAACATGATTTTGTGCTATTAATGTTAATTAACATTCATGTATAAAGTTTTTAAATTAATATTTTAGCTATATATGCTAATTTTACTCATATTTAATGAGAAACTAAATTTTTTATTTGATCGAAGATAAAAACAAATATTAAATTTTAAGAATAAGGATGGATATGATTTTAAATTTTTTATCAAATATAAAGATGAGCAATAGAGTCCTCACCTGGGTTTTGTACACGTATCTTATATATATTTATGTATATTTAATAAATAGTTTTTTATTAAATAATGTAAAATTTTATTTTAGATTAATTAAAATGAATATATTTCTATTAAAAATATATTAAAATATATTTATAAAAAATTATATAAATATGAAAAATAAAAATAAATAAAAAATTTTGGTTTTTATTTTTTATTTTTAATTAAGGATATAAGAATTATCTATATCTATTAAATATTAGCAAGAATGGGAATGAGGACATATTTGAAATACACATCAGGCATGAGTATAAGGATGTGTATAATATAAAAATCTAAGAATACAGATGAAAAATGTTTTATATGCTTAATACCATACTTATTAATATCTCTAATGTTAACTATCATTAATCGGTTATTGTATATATCCATTCATTAGGTCCTTTTAAAATTAACAATAGTGAGAGGACTTAGATATGTAATACTGTCATATATCTTCAGTAAATAAGTATTGAAAAGCTAAGTGTAGAGTAAGAATTAAAATCGATTATCTTTATAAGAAATTATCAAATATAAACAATCATAACTCATTAATAAACTATGATATTTTAGTCGGTGCTCCAAACTCAAGCTCTTTATTGGCATAAACATCGAGTAAGTGATTTGACTTTTATGAAACTATGCATCTTGCTACACTTGCTTGTTTCAACAAACCTTATTATAGCAACTTTTTCTTTGTGAATCAATGATATGTTTAACAATTTAATAAGATGTCTGATGCAGAAGATCCATTACTTTGAAAATTGCAAAGCATACTGTTTATGTCACTGCAAATCTAATATATATATTATATAACAACATACATAAACAAAGTTTACCACATAAGTACTTATGTGAACAATTCTCTTAAATGACACATAAGATAGTTTTTTAAAAGAATAAGATAATTTCTTTTAATTACAAATCAAATAATTTTAAATTTATTCAAATATCAAAATTATTCAAATTATAATTAAAAATTAAATTAATTTAGAGATACATATTCTAAAATTAAAAATATAAAATATGAAATTTATTTTTTTAATAAATAATTTTAGTTGTTTATCAAATAACTTTATTTAAAAAATTATTTAATTATAAAAAAATTTCAAACATGTTTAAAAATTACAAATATTAAATTTATACAAATATTTGAACAATTCTTTTTATCTTGATTAAAAAATTTTGATTTAAAAAATTATCTTTCAAAAAAAATTTCAATTTATTTTTTCTTTTTTCGCATATTTTCTAACATTTTTCATATTTTATATAATAATTTAGTCAAGATTACTAAAGTGAAAATGTGTCAATATATATTTTATTTAAGATTACAAATGTAATGTGTTATACAATAATTTTTTTACTTTTTCAGTAATTTTTTTAAGGTCTATTCTATTACTATTGTAATTTTTTTTGTTTATAAATTTTTTCTAAGATATATTTTATTGCTATTATAGTTTCATTCTTATGAAAATAAGTTTTTTTAATTTATTTTTTCACATATTTTTCATATTTTGTATAATAATTTAGTCAAAATTACTAAAGTGAAAGTATGCTAATACTTCTTTTATTATTTAATTTGTCATTCAATAATATATTTTTTTATTTTTTTAAAAAAGATATAATTTATTTTTATTTGATATAATTTTACAGGTATATAAATATTATTGTAAATAAAAATATGACAAAAAAATACATAATTTTTTTGTTGTTTTCAAAATGTTTATTTTTTAATGATAAGTCAATATATATGAATTATATATATATATATATTACGAGTTTTAAATATTTGAATATAATTTTAATAAGAAACTAATTTATATATATATTCATATTAAATAAATAAAATTCGTGCATCACGCGAGTTATAATTTAGTTATAATAATAAAATAATAGATTGATTAACTATTAGACTGAGAGAAATAAGATGGCCAAAATGAGAGAATTTATAAACTTTTAACTTATATTTCACACAATATTTTGCAAGGGAAATTGGAAATAAGATAGGATAGGATGTGATGCCTTTATAGTGAAATAGTTATACATATTTATATTCCAAAAAAGCTACATAGCACTATTACACAACATTATAATGACAATAACTATTGATGAATAATATGTAAAATGAATCATAGAGTCATTTTCCAATGCATCATAGAGTCATTTTCCTATTTTGTCATTCTATAGACCAAAATACTATTAGGTCAAATTATTTGTTGGAATACACAGCTCAGTTATATATAAACAGAAAAAGTTTATGAGAGTATTTTTAGATCTGTTGTCCAAGCCTTTTACATTAGAGAATGAATTTTATCTCAAAACTGTAATTGCTAAATCACTATATTGCTAAAACCTTTAATGAATGAGTTTCCACCCTATTAACAAAATTCCCAAGATTTTATTTGACATTGATGATCTTGATTTTAATTTAGATCAATGACTAAACAACTAATGTTATGAGCCCGCTTCAAGAGTAAATAACTCTCACTTAAACCTGTCATCAAATTATAATCCAATTCATAAGTGAAAAACTTTGATGCCTTATTCCTATCCAAGTTTCAACATATATAATTTAATATGCATGTCTAATTAGCTATGTTAGATAATTAACTTATTAGACTTGCATTTTTTTTATAAACGTGAAGCCTTATTAGCTCGATAAAAGTAAAAGTTATGTTATCATATCAACTTCATTAAAGTTATCTACTTTTATTAAAATTATTTATTTATTTTATAAAATTATTTGTCGTGTTATATAAAGTACTTAAAAAGATGTGTTAGTCTAATCATGTCCATTTATTAAGTCATTTTCACTATAATGTTGGGTAATATTGATGTCTAGCTTTTTAGGACTATAAATATGTGTAACTCTTTCACTATAAAGGCATCACTTCATATCCTATCTTATCTTCTTCCCAATTTCCTATGTGAAATATAAGTTTTAAGTTTCTAAAATTTTTTTTGGGCATCATTTTCTTTTTTAAATTAAACATCGGCTTAAAAGTTAATATGTTTAATTCCATAAGAATATGATAGCTAATGAGATTAAACTCAAATCTTTGAATTCCATATTTTACTACAAGTATTTCTTCCAGAGTATAATGTAGTGGATCTAAAAATCTTTTAACTTTTTGCATTTGTATCCATGTATATGTTGTTTTCCATTTTTTTCTGTTATTAGTTTAAAAATTCTTTTACCGTCATAGGGAATTTGAAGAGTTGGAAGTGACTTTGATTTTTGTTTGAGAATTTATACAAATTGTTTTTACTTTTAGGATTGTTGAAGGAGTTCTTTCTTCAACATCAGTAGATTGATGAATATAATGAGCTTAAAGTGTTTAAAACATAGTCATATACATAAAAAAAAATTTTAGAAGAAAGTATTTATAAACATACAAATATTTATGTTGGTTAAAACTCTTAAAGATTGCAAGTTTGATATAATTTATACATGTAATTTTTTTAGATAAATTAAATAAATAGGAGTCGAAAAGTAAATGATAGAGTAAAAATTTTTAAAATTTTCAACAAAATAGTGATTGATGATTGTGATGAGTATTAAGTATTTAAAGCATACTCGTACATTAAAGTTTTACAAAAAAAAATTTTTAAATTCAAATAATTATAATTAATAATTAATTTTTTTACTTGAAATTATAAATCTTTATCAATAGAAATTAAAAAATTTAAAATTTAAAAGATTTATTAACAGATCGTAAATTATTAATTATTTTATTTTTATTTTGACATACTACTAACTTTGTGGTGGCATATGTCTAGTGAATAGTTGTATTAATTTTAGTGAACAAACATTAGAACTAGTATCACAGTATAAATACGTTACTTTGAGTTAGATCCACATCTTTATCGAATCCGCCACGCGTCCCTCTTCATGCTGTCATGCTTCGTTTCATCAAATCACCTTTTCCACGCTCTAACTTGGTACGTGTGCATCACTCCCGAGTTTAGGTAATTATTTATTTTTTAGTTTTCTAAGTTTTGGAGTGATGTTTAGACAAATCAGTTGATTTAACATAAGTTTTTATCATATAAACCTTTAAAACATATAAAAAAAGGAACTGAATTTAATTTATCAGTCATGATTATATTTAAATTTGAGTTTATGATTTTTTAAAGAATTTAAAATGTTAAATAATTAAATTAAAAAATTTAACTTTCAACTTAAAATCATTAACGAAATATAATTATATACAAAATTTATTTTGTATCCGGTAATTAAATATATTTTACAATGAGTTTGTTTATTATATGTTATCAATAAAATTTTTAAATTTTACAAATAATATTATAATTTATTATAAATATTTTTTATTCTATTGAATTTTTATTTTTAAAATACATAAAAAATATGATAATTTTTTAATCTCGTTGATAGAATTTTAAAATTTTCTTTTTTTAATCATACTTCTAAAAATTTTATTAATGTAATTAGTTGTAAGGTGATGTACACGAGGGAAGAGGGCGAGTGGAAGAAAGTAAGACATGAAAGTATAGAAACCGAATTTAAAGGTCGAAAGCTAACAAGCAAAGACCACGTGTACACTTTCCTGAACCTTCCCCCGTCAAAAAGCCTTATTTGCGCTTTCCACTTCATTTTAGAGTACAGAAACTCTGGTCTCGAGACAATGCCCACGTGTCCCGCTCTTTCTGCAGTGCTGGACACAAGCCTTCTTGTCATTGGTCCTCATCGTGGGCCCATCTCCAACGCTCAATCACACGAGATTCGCTACCCTCACATTCTCTTGGGCCCCACACATAACTTTCAACCAATCAAATCCCCCACTGTTCCTTGTTACCCTAGCCACGTGTCACTTCTCTGTTGATTTGCCGCTATCATTATCACTTCTCATAAACAAAACCTTTCCCAAAAAAAAAAAAAAGCTCTGAAATTTAATGGAAAAGGTGGAGATTTTCAAGGGAGAAGGGAAGAGAGCTCTGATTTAGCTGGCGGCGGCGGAGAGATGAACGACGGTGAGAAATGGAGCATGGCTAGCTACACAGGGGGTTCACAAGACAAGACAGTGATCAATCCGATAATGCTAAGATTCCGACCGATAGCTCCAAAACCGGCCTCCGGAGAGTCAGGTTCTGGTGGGGTTCAGTTTGATAACAAAAGCTTGTTGCTTTGTAAGCCCCGAACTAAAAGAAAGTACGTTAGGGTTCGAAAGAATAATATCAAGACAAAGAAACGATCATCATCAGATCATCTTCATAATGAAGAAGCTTCAAAGAATCCTGAAAAGATTGTTACTTTGCAGTTATTACCAGAGAAATCCGAACCAAATGGATTGATTAACAAGCAAAACGGTGCAGTTTTGGAGCAAAATCAAGATCCACCTTTTTTATTTAACTTGAACTTCAACAGCCGTTGGGTTGATCATATCGGAGTTGTTGAAGAACCTGATCGGACGGTGGTGGAGTCGTGGGTGACGGTGGAGTGCGTGACAGACAGTTGCATGGAAGGAAGAGAGCTAGGGAGTACGGACATGGAAAGGATGAAGAATCTGGAAGCTGACACGTGTCCAGGCTTTATATCAGATGGTTTGAACAGGGTTCGGTGGGTTAACGAAGCTTACAAGAGGATGTTGAGGGTTGGGGAAGGGAATCAGGGGCTATCATCACCGCCGGAGATAATGGTTTGGCTTGTGATTAAACAAGAGTTGCCTAGGCTTTGCAGTGCATTTTCATGCAAGGTAAGGTTGCAGTACACGTTGAAGAAGGACAAGTGCTCGAGAACGTTGCCGTGTGATGCCTGGAAACTGGATGGTGGTGGTGGTTTTGCATGGCGGCTGGACATCGAGGCTGCTCTCAGTCTTGGCCGTTAAGGAAAATCACATATCTAAGGAGTAAATAAAGAGAAAAATGAAGCAAATCAGTAGAAAAATCAGGTAATTTAGACTTTTTTTTTACTTAGAAGAATGTACTCCTAGCTAGTTAAATAAAATTATAACAATGAAGACTAAAAATTATGTAAAAGAAGGAACTGGTATCGTGTTCTAGGTATTAACCAATCAAATCTCATATTCTTAGGAATCCTAAGCTCTGGGATTTTGCTTTTTTATATCTGCATTTTTTTAGTTTACCATATGATTTATTGAAATTTAGTTCAGTGGATCCAAACATTTAATAAATTAAAAGTTTAAATTTTAACATTTATAATATATTTTTGCTTATTTTTGAATCGTGATCTATTATTTAAAGATTAGTTTGAATACAAACGCATTCTCAGTAAGATTACTTATTGAAAACTGTATAAATTTTGCAAATATGCTATTTGGATTTCATCGTCAGACACGAATAATAGCTTTTTTTATTTTTCATTGGAGCTTTTAGGTGCTGTCAAGAAACACAATATTCTCCTTTTTTTAATATATCTTTATCCTTTCAATTATATTATAAAAAAATCCTTACATTTTAATCTTTTCTTTTCTTTATTTTTATTTTTTTATTTAAAATTTTAAAATAATTTTGCTAATTTAATATAATAAAAATACTATTTAATATATTTTTAATTTTTAATTATTATTTGATATAAAAATAATTTGATAATTTTTAATAATTTATTAATTATATATATTAAATAATTTAAAATTTTATTATATATAATTTTTAACTTAACATTTTTAATATATTTTTTATTATATTTTATTTCGTCATTATACTTACAGTTGCATATAAATATATATTATTATTTATTATAATAATTAATTTTATTTTTATTATTATTTTTAATTTTATCAAAATTAATTTTATTGAATTAATAAAATAAATTTTCTGGCAGCTGCATGTGCCACTGCCAATATTAGTTTTTTTATTTGCCAGGAGTTTTTTATAGGGACAAAAATGGGACAGGTGGATGATGCTCTTCTTGGTAGAATGAAAACCACCAGCAACATAGTACAACTTTTTTTTTCTAAAAAAATTTAGTGACATGACAAAACTAACTAGCCATAGCTAAGGTAATTCAATTTAACATAATTTACTGATATGCTGGTCCGGTCCGAACTGATTTATTTATATTGGATCAAATTTAAATATTAAATATATATATTAAATTAAAATTAAAAAATTAAAAAATATTGAATTGAATTAAATTATATATATGTTTTAAATTTTTATAAAATATAATAATAATTTTATATTAAAATTTATTTAAATATATTATAATTTATATTAAAATAATATATAAAAAATTAAAAATTAATAAATCAAATTAAATTCATAAAATTTAATTTAATTTGATTTCACTCGAATAAAAATATAATTTAAATTTAAAATTTAAATCAAATTTTAAAATTTTATAATATTATATAATATCTAAAAAAATTAAATAGAATTTGAATCTGGACCATTATCACTTCAGCGGATGATGACAATGAGCTGTTTGCTTTTTGTGCTGTTTGTCCCTTTTGCTAGGTAGGTAGAAGGGGAGTCTACTAATTGAATTCTTCAGTTTTGGTTGTAATGCGAGGATTGGCTGCTTGAAATTGGGTTGTTGCCTGAAACACCTTTTACTCTTGTGCCTGACGTCTGTTCTTTTTCTCTAGGGACAAATGGCGTTTGAAAGCTCCTGTTCAGCCCTCAACTTTAGACCTAGGATTCCACTTCCCAGATAACTAAGCAAGGTTAAGAATCAAAGCACTAAAACAGCCAAGACCACAATAATACAAACTTATGAACAAAAATTAATAGTTTTTCCCAAAGTACAATAATGGAGCTGAGGTGTGTCTGTTGCAAACATTTCAAGGCAAATTATGCAAGAAGGGTTGAAAACACACTCACATTGGGTTAAAGCAAAACAAGTTCAGGAAGTATTGAAAATTCTCATATTAGGCACCAGCTAGGCTATAGCTCTCGCTCTCTCTCCTCAAACCTAACTGCTACTAGTAATGGCTCATAGATAAGTGTTATATCATAGAGTTATTCTTGAATCTTTTATACGTTTGTCACACTAAATCCAAAAGACTTAAAGTTCATGGATGAAAATATTGAGGAAAATATATAAATTGGGGGGGGGGGGGGGGGTTCAAGTGAAATGCTTCATGGAAACAAAGGATGGTAGTCATCCTCGTATATATGCTTATAGATAATAGAACTAGAACAATATTGGGGTGTTTCCGATGTAGTACTTATTTGAGTTCATTATTTTTAGAAAACAGTTTTAGTGTTAATTGCCAACCGAGATTGATTAAGTTGGCAAAGATTAAATATTTCATTTATAATATTTAGGTTGGATTGATATTGTTAGTAATCTTTTTAGAAGACGATTTGTAAGTTTAACATAAATTTTCGTTAAGATCTGCAGAACCTCATCGTAGAATAAAGCAACTTCCTCTCACCTAAACATTTTTTTCATAAAACAATTTTAGTGTTAATTAGTACTAGGATTGTTTTTGCATTTAAAAAAATTAGTGCATTGATGGAAAGGAAGTTTAAGTAGCAAGATCATCTAGGGCAGGTTTATTTTTTTTGGCAGAAGCTATAAGAAATGATGATCGATGCATGTGTTTGATCATTAAGCTATATTTAGCCTACAAGGTGAGGGATACATGAATTAAATAGGTTGGATTGGACCACTAACGATTGGCATTAATGAATATATATATACATATATATATAGGAAACTAAATATATGATTATGATAAATGCTTATCAGACTGCTTAAATGCAACATTCATGACCTCTTTTGGATAAGAATAATTGAACTTATCCATTGCCCATGCATACAATAGTGTTATGTATAGTGGAATTTAGGTAAGATGGATAGCTAAAAGTCTAGAATTAGGTGAATTGAGAGATTGAATCGAAATGAGTGAGTTGATTTAATTAATAATATTCCTCTTTAAAGTAAACTAATATTGCCAATGGTACGTTAGTTCAGTAATGTTGGAGTCTGACTCCAGAATCGAGAGTTTGAATTCAAACTTTAATAGTAACTCAAAAAATTAAAAAAAAAAAAACTAACATTATCTTTGATGGCAATTCATTCAAGTTATATCTTAATTAGTATGTTATCACTACTCTAATTTGGTTAAAATTTGGGATCTAACTTAATTTCATTCCCTCTTCCTTTAATTCCTTAAATATATATATATATATATGTGTATGCTTATATCTTCGTTAATGTTATAATATTTTTCCTGTTGGATGAATCACTTGCTATTTTCTAACAAAATTTCCTTAATTTGGCATGGTTTTCTGATTGATGACCGTCGACGTCGAAGGATAAAAAAAAAAGAACTGAACCTGAACAGTTTACTCCTGGAATTGTATATATGCATGGTAAGCGTTGAACTCAGAGAATTATAAAGATAATGTTGAATAATTTCATTGCTATGGCAAGCTATCCTATGGATCAAAGCTTGAAGCTAGGTAGCCCAGATTTTTGGTTGAAACATGAATCAAGCACTTCACCAAAACAAACTAATTTGGGTGAAGGATTGAAGATGTAGGGCCTAATTTGTATCTGTTAAACAAGTTTAAAGTAGATGATCTGCTCAAGATGAACATGGATTGAATTAATTCTATGTAGAAAAACATTGTAGCAATTAATATGTATAAATCAAAGCTGGTATGTGACTTATAAGATTTTTTTTTCTTTGATTTCAGGAAAGGAATTCAAACACTGCTGTTACGGATTTTATAATTGAAATTATCAATATTTGAATTATGTTACTAAAATTTTGTTGGTACTTTTAAGATTATTAAATTAGAAGAATATTAGCTAAAGAATAACCCAGTTTCTGGGTAAAGTCACTATCATGGGTCTTTCCTTAGATGCTACCAAATCTAAACATATCAGACAATATCCAATACTTAATCTCGAAAGATTTCATCTCATCGTGTTTGTTATGGACTCCTAGCCAGGATTCACCTGGCATGTCATAAAATCCAAGCATTATTGGGTGGATCAAGTTAAAAGAATATTTTTCAACATCCTAAAATTAACACAAGGGAACCAATATTGGTTCAAATGATAAAGAATGTATTTTTTTGAGATTTTCCAAGTTTAATTTTGATGGAAGGTTGTTCGAAGATAATTTTTTATAAATTTATTAAATTTTACGTAAATAAATTTATTTGAAAATATCTTAAAAAAATATATCAAACAAAATTTAATAACCCTTTACCACGTAAAAAAAATTAACATAAGGAAGTTGGTCTTGTCATCATATACAATATATGTACCTAATCTAGTTTTTTCTGAACCAATTTATGTTTGATCAGTTCTAAAGGTATTCTTTTTAGAGTATATTTTGTTTGAAAAGATGTCGTAAATCATAATATTTGCAATCAAATTAAAAGTTAATAAAAGTATTTTCTAAAATATTTATTTCTTCAAAAATTATTGCTTTTAGGAATTTCACAACAAATTCCCATGATCAATCTTGTGTTGAAATCCTAACAAAATACTTGAAAAAAGGCTATTATCAGATACTAAAAAAGGGTTAGTAGCTGTTAGACTGACTACAAAAGATTTGCATAAAAAATGAACTTGTCTTTTCGTCATTGAAAATGGAAATTTAATCAAGCTTGTGATGCATGAAGAAAGAATTTGATTGTTTATATATATATATATATATATATATATATATATATAATTATATTCGAATATTGCCAAATGATAATTTTCCCAAAATCTGTGATATGGTGTAACAAGATTCATCAGTAAAAAAATACAGTATCTAACACATAATAAGTAAATTTTTTTGGCATAAAAGAAAATGGTTTTTGGATAGGAAAAATGATTATAAGTGTTAATATTTGAACTCAAAACTTACTACAATAAAACCTGTGATGAAACCTGAAACTTAAGCTGAAATGGTTTGCTCATCTTGTGAATTCCCACAAAACAATTGTTCAATCCCAGCTCTCTCGCAATTTCCCTGTCCCCTAAGCTTCACCTCTCTTGTAAACTAGGAAGAAACTATAAAAATTTCTGTTGCATTCAAGCAAGAATTCGTGGCATCTCAAGGCCCACTTGTTTTTTCTCATGTCAAGAAATGCTAGGAAGTATTGCTATTTCCATAATATCTTTGACAAAAGACTTTACAGGGCATGCAGCAGCACTGCCTTATCTTCCAGGGAATAAATGTTTCGGATTCACTTGTGGTTACTTGTTCTTAACTTAAGAGACTCGGAACTAACCGAAAAGAAAGCAAAAATACATGGCTTGCATGTGAATCCTTTTACAAGGCATGAACTCAAATTGATTCCAAGGTCACCTGGAAGGTTTTGTCATGTCATTCTGACATCTTTGGCCTAGCCTGAGTATAATTATTAGTTGTAGCCTTCACCAGGTCGTACACCTCTTACAGTTTTGTAGGCCTGGAGATGTTGACTGTATTTGAATATGGTGAGGATCTCAGGTGTTTATATAGATGTTGCTGTCATCAAGGGTAAGATTTATCTCTTCACTAGTCATGGGGAAACCAGGACTTCAAATTTGAACTCTGATATCGTATGCTGACATTTTCTGCATGCGAAAAGTGTTTCTACCTCTGAAAATGATCTGCTTTTAGTTGCTTCTCATGAAGAGCTATATGTCGCTCACTTTCGTCCTGCTGAATGTTCTATTATGATTCACCAGCTAGACTCTGAGAGGAAAGAATCGGTGAAGGTGAAACTAAAGGGTGAAATATTGTACTTGGGTGACATGTTGTGGTTCCCAACCCCATCTGGACCGCTTTCGCGAGCACTTGAATCGAGTCTGCTACTCGGGAACCGGCTAACACGGCACGATATGTTGGTGGCTGGTAGATTGAACAAGCGTATGCATGCAACTCCCAAGGATGGGAGACCAGACATCGACATGAGTTCACCCCTTTGGTATTTTCTCACTTATCAAGCTATATTGATTCAGTTTACGAGGGGTAGTTGATGTTCTGAAGCATGTATTAGTTTGTTTTGGAGGCAAAGCTAAGCAATCTGGAAAGTCTAATGGTTCTAGGCGAATACCCTAATCTTCAAGAGTACATAACAACTCAAAACAATTACCCTCTGTTTCACCAAAATAACTGTTTCAAGAACACCATCATCACGAAGAGCAGAGAAAAAAGAATGGACAATTTTTGTTTTAACTGATTCCAATTCCATTCACAGATATATGAATAACAAACTTTAGTGAGCACTGAGAACAGTGATCAATTATCCAACCATAAGAAATTGCATTGAAAAGGTGATTTAACAAAAATTCAAGTCTAGAAGCAAAAATCAATGAATGTTTGTCTAGTAGCTTATTTCTTCTCAAGTTGGAAAAAGGACTCATCAGTTCACTCCATTACCATTCGAGAAAATAACCAACTGGTCATGGCAGAACCTAGATCATCCCAATAAGCAATTATTGCCGAATCAAATCTCCAAAAATCACATTAGTATGAGGAAACTGGGGGGAGGCTAGTTGACAACATCAACAACGAGCCTGCGAGATTTGAAAACAGACCACTTCAAACGCCGGTAGTAAGCAGCTTGAAGTAATGCCAATGACAATACAAATATCCATTTAAAACCCATCTGCATTAGAAGATAGAAATATCAGAAATAAATTAGTTAAAACAAGGTTTTTAGAGTTTAGATGAAACAATTGGTTATATAATACACACCAGCTTCCTTTCTTCCATTTCTGGTTCTGCTGCCCACGACAAAAATGACACCACATCTTTCCCCATCTACACCATAAAAATATGGAAGAGTGAGTCATGTACCTCATTAAATATGCAAATACTCTGGAGGGTTCTTGAACCCATAGGCAATGTGAATGAAACAGAAAATGAAAACCAACCTGAGCTTCTGTTGCAGGGGTACCATCTTCATACTCCACAGCACCATCAATAAGCATTTTAGGCATGGCGATTGCTCCCCCGGGGAAGTAAGGGTTATAGTGTAACCCCTCTCGAATCTACAAAATTAGGGAATGATGACTTTAGGTATTACTCTCAACCAAAAATATCTAGTGGAGACTAGATATGTGTAGCCTGCTATTAGCAACAAGGTGTAAATGCAAGTACCACATGCATATCGAAAGTTATTCAACAGAAAAAGCTACGTCAGGGGGAATCAATGCTTAAATTCAGAATTATTGCTGCGACAGAAAACCATAGCATTTAAAAAGTGTCATTGAAAAGCAGCAGTTGGAATGGACCCAATTTGAACAGCTCTAAAACTTCATCCCAACTTCAGACCCACACTGTCTCTCTCCTTGTATCCTCCCAATTGCCAATATCTAAATATCATTGCCTAGGGTATCATTCTACAGAGATATAGAATTCCAATATTGGATGTTTGTACAAAATGCCATGTCATGCAAGATAGTGTAAAGAAGAATTTACCGCAACACCAGCAGGAGGATCACGGTAACCAGTTAAAAGGGCAAACACATAATTCTGGCCATTATGACGAGCCTGAAAGAATAAAAATATGATATCTCAGGGATATATAATCAGAAACCTGCACAGTGAAGTGATCTAAAAAGTTAAGGCAGTAATTACTTTGGTAATGAGACTTAGATCTGGAGGATAAGCTCCTCCATTGGCAAACCTAGCTGCTTGTTCATTTGCATATGGCTGAGGAAAACGGTCACTGAGTTTACCAGGACGAGTAAACATCTCACCCTCATCATTAGGTCCATCAACCACCTCAATCTCAGCTGCCATAGCCTTTGTCTCCTCTTCTGTGTATGCAACACCCACCAAATCACGGTATGATACAAGAGACATAGAGTGGCAGGATGCACACACTTGCTGGTACACCTGGTGACCACGACGGACCCTGATCATGCAAAATTAATCTCACATCATGAACAATATGGTACCAAAAAATTAAAATATTTTGCCAATGCTTAACCCAATATTACAATTGTAGCGATTTAAAATAGATTCCTAGGGAAGAGTTGAACCCAATGTTTAGATAGTTGCATCCTATTCTCCAAATAGAAGGTGCGAGTGATATACATGGTCTTTGTGCAGAGAAAGCAAGCAATAGGAGCTAATTACTAATAGGAAGACTCGATAGTCTAGGACTTAAGGGATAGGCTGACAGCCTAGTCCCACCTATATATACTACCATTAACGTTCATATTAGGATCAACCTTTTAGAATGTGTTTATTCAGGGGAATAAAAAAATTTTCCCCCAAAATCTTGATTGTGGGTATTTGTTTCCCACGTTTGGTTTGGGATTATCCAATTCCAAGGGAAATTTTCAAATTTCCAACAGTCCCAAAAGTCTAGGAATCAAAAGCCCACCTTTCCCAATGGTATTTTAGGATTCTACGGGGAAAGTTGCTTGATTTCCAAATTTGACCTGAATAAAAAATTTGTCACATCTATGTTCCCATTTTAAAAGCAAGTCCGGAATTTAATTTTAGCCCTTTTTTTTTAATTCAATTACGGCGTCTTTTTAACAAAATGCCGTAATTGATGCAAATTGGGAGTTTTCCAATATATCCTATAAATTCCTATTACGGCATTTTTCTAATGCATATGCCATATTTAGATATTTTAATGTTAGTAATAAATGTGCCAATTAAGGCGTTTCAATAAGGAAATGCCGTAATTGAGTAACAATTATGGCTATATCAAACGCCTTAATTGCAACATATTAATATTTCTTGTGCATGAATTATTGGTTCCAAGTTGACGGCATCGTGAGGTTGACTACTTGACAATGCAGAATCTAGCAAAATCTCACAAGGACAAAAAAGCAACCATGCAATTAATAAAGATAATATATATGTATGCATATGTATATATATTGTAATTGTATATTAGAATAAATATCTAATATAAATTAAATTTCTAATTTCGCTTATTTACTCAATTAAGGCGTTTATATTAAAAAAAGGGCTTAACTGAAAGTATTTATCAATTCTTATATATACTCAATTAAGGCATTTATATTTAACCCACACCTTAGTTGACAGCTTTTTTCCATTTCTTATATTCACTCAATTACGGTGTTTATATTAAAAAAAATACCATAATTAAAAGCTTTTTCAATTCTTATATTCTCTCAATTAAGGCGTTTATTTCCAATAAAATGCCATAATTGAGGGATTTTTTTTAAGCCAATTACAGCATAATTTGCAATTGAACGCCGTAATTGAAAGGTATATTTTTATATTTGATTTAAACTCAATTACGGCATAATGTGTAATTAAACGCCGTAATTGAGTATATTTAATTTTAAAAAATAAAATCTTTGTATTTCATTTTATGATAAAGGCATCATTTGCTGTTTGGTTCTTTTTTTTAAAACAAAATGAAAGGCTGCCTACAGGTTATCAAGGAGATTATGGTAAAAAGATATGATTTAACGAATGCAGATTCCCCCCAACCAAACACAGGAATCTAAAAATTGGATGCCCTAAAAATCACACTTTCCCCCGCATATCACACTTTCACCCGAAATCCAAAATTCCGTGAGTCAAACACCCTCTTAAAGTAAAGTTTATTCAGTTTTGTGCAAATAGAAAAAAGGAGAGGCGCAAAACTCACGAAGCATGGTCATATGAACTGAGGATGCCCTTGTGAGGCCAAGGATAATTTGGAACTTCTAACCCATGTTCTGCCTCATCAGCAGATGCTATCGCTGCAAAACCTAGAAAACCTGAAATACTAGCTCCAAGGAGTGCAACTGTCCTCTTACCAGCAAATCCTGCGTCCTCATTAGCTTTCCTTGATGTAAGCCACGATAATGCTGGAACCTGCGCAATAACATGTAACAAGTATTGGTAAAAGGAGAATATTAGTCTAGGCCAAATTATATATTCCATTTAGTTGCAAACCATAAAGTGTACTCAATTGAATCCTATAGAATCAGACAGGCACCCTCGTATAAACGTTTCATGATTATTCAGAGGAAAATCAATGTAGCTAAAATTTCTAGATTATCCAAGAAAATCCAGTAAGAACTATGTAAACTACAGAGTCTTCATATGCTCACTCCACAGGCAAAGTATAACTGTAATATCAACACAGGTAAGGAAGAGAGAATCTTACAGCTGACTGAGATTGAAGCTTCCTCCTTAAGACTTGGTGGATTAGTCCTCCAGCCATTTCAGGTAATATTCCTGTAAAATTAACAGACACTCAATAAACAAAGCAGTACTTACAAATAAAATAACACAAAAAAAGGACCAGAAGAAATTAAATTGAGAATTCATATGATCTATTCAACAACTCCAAAAAAGTTCCTTTTTTTTAAGTCTATTATTCATTAATTCTCCAAAAAGGGAAAAACTTCGGAGAGTTCAAACAACTGGGTACTCATAAAATCAAAAGGTAAAGGTGAAATACGCACATAAGTCAGATTATGGATTTTTAGCATACAAAAAGAAAAACCCAAGTTGAAAATAACACAAAGAAGCCAAAAAGGTGAAGTTTAAGTTGAAAAAGACAAAAACTTCTAAAACCCTAACATGGGGGATCTGGGGCAGATCCAAGAACTGTGGAAAAAAAAAGAAAAAAAAACAAAACCCAAAGATGAAAAAAGAAGGGAACAGAGAGAGAGAGAGAGAACTGACTTGAGAATGGTATTGAAGATTGATCAGAGATTCAGAGAGAGATTGTCGTTAAAGGAACTGTCTGCTGCTTCAGAGATCCAAAGGAACAACAGAATGAAAAATAATAGAACGAAAATTGCGAAATAAAGAAGGTTGTTTTAAGTACACCCAAAATTTCTCTATATACCCAAATTTTCTTTGGAAAATACTCACATACCAAATATAAATTTTAATTTTTAAAAATAATAAAAATACCTTAAATAATTTATATATTCAAAAATTATCTCTTATTTGTTTAAAATAAAATTTTAAGTGTTATATTATATTTTCAAAATTTTATTTTTAAGAAAGCAACGTAATTTTTAAAAATAAATTATCGAGAATAAAAAATATTTTTTAAAAATTTAATTTTGAGAATACATAAAATTTATTTAAAATATATATTTAATTATAAACTTCTAATAACAAAAAAATCGAAATTTCTAATCTTTGGATCAAAATATTATTAACAATTTGATAAATTTGATAATAAATAAAGATTAGTGATTGAAATATTAGATATTGTCAAATTTATTAATTTATTGTTGATATTATCAATGTTTTGACGTATAAAATGTTTAAATTTAATAATAAAAACATCTAATTTTTTAATCGGATTATCCGATAAATAATTTTTATAATATTTATCTAATTTTAATAAGCGTACATTTAAAAGAAATTATTAATTATAAAAAAATATTTGTGCAAATTAATTATTGCATCATGTGTCTACTGCATCATCTGTGGTGGAGGCATCATATGCGATAAGGTAATTACGCTTCATCGTATTATCGCATATGGTGCAACAATTAATTTGCGTTAGTACCTTTTCACATTTAGTAATTTTTTTAAAATGCATATTTATCATAATTAGAAAATTATTGCAAATATTATTAAACGGATATTGCTTAGTAGCTAAAATATTAAAAGTTTCAATTGGCATATTTGTCTTGAGCCTTAAAAGCCAAGAACTTTGGTTTCATATTTTTTCGGATATTTATTTTTGAAAAATTTAAAAATTTTTTAAAAATTAAAATTTATAAAAACTGAATATCAATAAGATAAAAAAATTTTAAAAATAAATATTTAAAAAATTTTGAGGCCTTTCAAAAATGAATGTTCGAAAATTTTTTAAATTTTTCGGATACTTATTTTTAAAAAATTTTAAAATCTTTCTAATATTTATTTTTAAAAAGTTTGATTTTAGGAAATTAAAAGAAGAAAAGAAAAATAATAGGAATGAAAAATAGAAAGTAAGGAATGAAGTATATTTAGCATAAATAAAAAATTTAGTTTTAAATTTCAGGTGTGTATAATATTAAATTGGATGTAAATAGAATTCTAAAAAAAATAAACCTGTGATTGTTTGTATTTAGTCGTGTGTCCACTAAAAGTCAATAGCTTTTGGGCTTTGGATGGCCTGGAACTCCTCCCAAGGCTGTTGTTCGGTCTTTCAATGATGTGAGGTCCAACCAGCCAAAATAGCCCAAAGCAAAAAATGACCCAAGAAACAAGACAGGACCAGTTTTTCCAGAGACAGCCCATGCAAGATGCAAACGCCGGCCGACCATGAAAACAGCAAACTAGGAATGCCCCTGGATTTCCGACATACGAGTAAAAAGTAGAAGGAAACTTCAAAAGCCAATAAAAACCATTGGCGCCCAACTTTTTTAGCACTTGAAACTCTAATTTTCTTCCTAATAAATTGAAATTGAGGATCAGCAGCAGCAGCACTCTTATGAAGCTGCAAAAGAAATGGCAAAAAATCTACATCACCATCATCAACATCAAAGCAAGAATAACATTTGCACAAAATTTGTATTTTTTGTGTCTTTTGCCTGTCTTGTGGGATTGGCTTGCATTGTAAATGTCTTGTGGGCATCTTCTTTTTCTTTTTCCTCTCCATATCTTAACGTTGTATACAATTGGGTGTCTCAGAAACCTCGTCTCTTTGTCGTGCCAAGGGCTGAAGAAGAAGAACCCAACATTGCTGACAAGGTTTTGTGTTCTGCCTTTTCCTCTTTTTGTTGCTTAATTTGGTTTTTGTGTCGGGAAAATGGGATTTTGATATCTATTTGTAGATAGGGGATGGAATCCTGGAAAGAAAGACGGGACGTGTAGCTGAGAGATTCCTATCAGCAACATTTGCCGATTTACCAGCACCTGATTTGCCATGGGAACAGATGCCATCAGCACCAGTTCCACGTCTTGATGGATCATCAATACAGATTAAGAATCTTTTCTATGTTCTTTCAGGATATGGCACTCTTGACTATGTAAGATTATCATTGCGGCACCAATATATCATTGCAGATTCTGTTAATGCTTCCAAATTTTTTAATCTTTTAAATTGTTTTGTTTTTGGTCTTTCGAGTTTTAAGCATTGTCTTCTCAACATTTCCTTTGTGAGGATTAATTGTTGCTTAGATTGAATGGTAGACTATAAATGCTATAATTTGATTTTCCCATATTGATGCCTGATCTGTTGGGGTGGTGCTGCAGGTGCACTCTCATGTTGATGTGTTTAATTTCACTGATAATACATGGTGTGGGAGGTTTGATGCGCCAAAAGACATGGCAAATTCACATCTAGGAGTGGCAAGTGATGGGAGATACATATATGTGATCTCAGGTCAATATGGCCCACAATGTAGGAGCCCTACTGCTCGTACTTTTGTTCTTGATACTCAGACAAGGAGATGGAGCAGCCTGCCTCCTTTACCAGCCCCCAGGCATGTGACTATGATCCGTATTTACATGAACCAGACCACACTACATGATTTTCTATAACACTGCCCCTTCAACATTGTAATTTTCAGGTATGCTCCAGCAACTCAGTTATGGAGAGGCAGACTCAATGTGATGGGGGGCAGCAAAGAAAACCGCCACACGCCTGGATTGGAGCATTGGAGTATAGCAGTAAAAGATGGCAAAGCATTGGAGAAAGAGTGGCGGACTGAGATCCCAATCCCTCGTGGAGGACCGCATAGGTTTCACTGCTACTGCTCTTTCAGAGATATTCCTTCAGGATTCTGTTTGGTCCCCTCCCCTCCCAACCGCCCTTTTCAACATGATCTAATTATGCAAATAAACATTTTAACAGGGCTTGTGTTGTGGTCAATGACCGACTGTTTGTAATTGGTGGTCAAGAGGGAGATTTCATGGCAAAACCTGGATCACCTATCTTCAAATGTTCACGCAGAAAAGAGGTATATGATAGCTAGTTAATGGATAAATTGTTGCACTCAGACTTCTATTCAGACATATCTTTTAAACTATCATACCAGGATGACATTTTTTTTTCTATTTTTCATGTTTGATTTTCTTGCTCCTCATGACCTTATAGTCTTCTTCACTGTTTTAGGTGGTCTATAGTGATGTTTACATGCTAGATGCTAAAATGAAGAAATGGGAAGTCTTACCTCCATTGCCAAAACCAAACTCCCATATAGAATGTTCTTGGGTAATTGTCAACAATTCAATCATAATCACAGGTGGTACAACAGAAAAACACCCAGTGAACAAAAGGATGATGCTGGTTGGGGAGGTTTTCCAGTTCCGTTTAGATTCACTGGTATGTGCTTTCTCATAAGAGAAAATTCCGATTACATTTTTTGAGGCAAAATGCCATGCAATCAACTGAAACAGGACATAAAATTGCTAATTGCAGACTTGGTCAGTGATTGGAAAGCTTCCTTACCGTATCAAGACTACCCTAGCTGGTTTCTGGGATGGATATTTGTATTTTACATCTGGACAGCGAGACAGAGGACCAGATAATCCACAGCCAAAGATGGTCGTTGGTGAGATGTGGAGAGCCAAATTGAATTTGTGATTAAATTTTTTTCCCTAGCTTAAACTGTCTCTTCAACATTGTTATAGCTCTTTCCCTTTCCTTGAAATACAAATCTTGTGTCAAGTATTGCCATTCAATTCTTTTTTCTCCCGATGGTGGTTTATGATAATTAGACGATTCATCATCAGAAATTTTGTTAGCTTCATGTGTACATTATGATTTGTAATGAAAACTGGATTTGTATTCTTCTCTAAACATTGCTACCCTAAAACTTAGGCTGATCAAACAGCAAAATTGTACATAATAGTCTACTATTTGATTATTGGCAAGCTGCCAAGGGGACCAAACCAGAAACTATATGCTTGTTTTCCACTTTTACAGGTAGGAGGCATAAGCAGATTGATACTGGAAACTGAAAGAGATAGGGGAGAGGTGTAAAAGCTGAAAAGTGTATTAAAAATAGACAAACCCCCGACTGTAATGCAGAGTTGGAACTCTGAGAAATTCAACAAGGTTTAATTGAAAAACGATCATCCACGTCTGCATTTACAAGGAATGGCAAAATTATCCATGCATCTGTTAGGTGAGATTCTGATATTCTTTTTGTTCTCTACTAGATGATGATCCAACAAGGACCTGTAACACTAGAGCTTGACGGTTATTAAAGAAAAAGTGCCAGGAAGAAGAATGTGAAGAAGAACAGGAAGAGTGAATGTATGTTGAAAAATCAATATGCTAAAGGCACGTCATGTCATCCAATGAAAAGAACAAGTATGATTCTGATTCTCTCTCTTAAAGCCTTAATAGATCCAGCAACAAGCTTCCCACATTCCATACCGGTCTGAAGGAGTGGCCGCTTCATAAATCTTCCTGCACAACAACCCAAGAAAAAGAACAAAAAAACAACTCAGGACAGGAAGTCAAAATGTCAGTGAAAAAGCCCTGAGTAATGATAATAAAAGAATTTGGCCATTTTTAAGAGATTTTCCTGGTTTGTCTAGCATCAAGAGATTTCTGTTCCATTTTTAGTACTTTCCAAGTGACAGTATAAAGCTTCTCAAAGTATCTCTGCTACATGAACTTTGTTTTTTTGGTTACATACAAATCAATTCTTAGTTACCAAAGTTTTCTAAAGCCTGGTAGAATCAAGAAATACTGATTGGTCATATGGTAGTTGCAGGTTACTTCAACTGACCTGGTATATACTCTCCCATAGACAGGGACGTTACCCAAGTACTGCAAAGAACTTTTACGATTTTGCCAAGTTACAACGGAGAGTGGTAACTCTGAACAAAGTTCATCCAAACTAATATCAAAAAGAGTAACAATATAGAGTTAACAGTGCAAATAGAAGAGAGGGGCAGAGAGTGAGAGAAGATACCTTTCATTTCAATAAAGGGGCATAAGGCGCAGGGCATGGAGACACAGTGTGATCAGGTAACTGGTCAATCAAATCAATTGTTGCCTGCAAACATGCATAGAGAATTTTCTTTTCCAACCTAACAAGTTGAGTGGCAACTCGTCTCCTGGGATTCAAGTTTGGATCTGATAACTAATGGAACAAAAGTATGTCAATTAAAACTTTCTTTGCAATAAGTTCAGGTCTAATTGTCAACTTGGTCTATGAAGCCAACATTACCAAAGACTCATCTTCATTCAGAGTAGTAGGGTAGCCAGCCAGGCATCTCTTGAAATAATCAGCAAGCTGGTCTAGCACTGCTCGTTCCATACAGGGGCTCACCTATTATGGCAAGTATGTTTCACCAGAATTTCAGAAAGACGAAAATGTTCCCATCTGTTTAACTAAAACGATTTTGGAATTTTAATAGCCTATTAAGGGTGCAGCTAGATCATAGTTTATAAAGGAAGAAAGGGCCAGAGCAGAAGACTTTTTCCTACCTGAATTAGCTGGCATTTCAGTTTTGAGTATAACTCTACAAATCTTACATTGCAATTAGGATTTCTTCATGCAGTAAATAAATTTAGCAATTAACAATTTGCAATAAATGAACTCACCGGGCAGACTGGACCTTGAGAAGAAAGAACAGATAGCATCTCCGAAGGATCTGAAACATAACTCAATCGCAAATATGGAAGCATATCCATAACAGCTTCTTTTTCCTTCCCGGCATAAACCTGCAGCAGGTAAAAAATAAAGATCAGAAGGAGAATGTCTTACAATAAACCAATTAATACAGGGTTTGAGTTCATACATGAAAAACTTGTACTGATAGTTTTCCATTTCTTTGAACAACCATTCTCTTGTCCTGATATTGAGGATCCTCAGTATTCAAAGCTGCCTGAACATACATTGAATAAAGCTATTATCACTCTTATTGATGCCATAAGCTTTTAAGTATCATAACAATCCCATCACTTCAATAATTATTTTCAACATATATAAGACATCTAAGCCAAAGAAGTAAGGATCTCTGTTAATTCACCTACTACCATGGTTGAGAAAGAAACCATGAAATTGCAGATATAAGATTGGTAAACTGGATTTTACCTCAACAACCAGCCGATCATAAGAATTATCATCATCAACAAAACCATAGTTAATAAGCAGTTTCGAATTAGGCTGTGGTCCACACCTAAAAAGACAAGAAATTCACCGCATGTCAAATTTTGTATTGAGAGATACAAATGGTGCAGCAATAGAAGGCAAAGATTTTGACACTAAAGCTGATTGAAAGAGATATCAAAATTACAGAAATGAATAAGATATATTATATTTATACCAGACAACAATAGATTCCCCAGCCTTATATGGGCGATCAACCACTAGTTCAACAGCACCATCAACAGCGCTTAACATTGCCTTGCAATTGCTCCTGTAAGCTAGCAATGGAGGTCCAAGAGGAACCAATGCAAATCTCCGAGCCAAAGGGACTTTCTGAGTATGAAGAAGTTTCAATTTATCATTCAAACATAATGTTTAAAAAATTTCAGGAAAGGAGAATAAAATGAGAGGGTTTTGGTATATGCAAGGCTATCAACAAAGTTTAACCAAGTCTTCTAAATTTATAGAACATGAAAAATAAGAATGTTGCCATCTAGAAATTCACTCATGTAATCAATCTCAAGGATGGAGAATCACTTTTGAAAGTTAGGAAAAAGAGTATCACTGGCTAAAGAGAAAAGTTACCTGTAAATGTACTACACAAGACTGAACAGCAACAAAGGCTTGTTTGAAAATCTCAAATGGAAAGGCCTCAGTAGGTATATCATAGGGATATTGCTGCAACACAAAGAAATAAAGAAACATTTATGATCACACTATAAAATCTAAGCTTTAGAAAGGAAAATGAAAAGAGAAGAAAAACAATACCTGAAAGAGAGACCCAGCCATAAACCAGACGGTGTCAAGTTCATTATACTCTCTTTTTATTCCTTCAGCCCTTTCAAGAACTTCAGCCTAACTTGTGAACAACAGAATTCAGTCATGAAATTCAATGAAGTATAAAACAGTAAATCAGCAATGAAAAAGGGAAAGGGAATAATAAAAATACATTGCACTATTGGTGCTACCTTAGTGGGGCTACCTGTTAGGTAAGCCAATTCATCTTCTGACCATAGAAGTGGAGATTCCACAGCTAGTTGGCTTCTTCCTCGTTGACGATCAAGCTCTCCGATATACGGATACCAGAATGATTTCTTTCCTTGTTTCTTCTCATACATTAAGTATAAAGCTAGGCATGCCAGTTCTGACAATTTATTTGTTGTCAAAAGTTCCGCTGCATAGAATGCCAGGCAAGTTCACACAAATTACACATCCAATCAACTAAACCAATGAAATCTCAGAGCACCTTCTTTTTCCCCCCTTTCCACTCAATTTAAATGCTATCATTACATACAAACATACAAGTATAGATGTTCCAGAAATGCTGCAAAGAAATGCAATACCACTATACTTGCTTCTTTTGTCCTGTAATCACTCACCATTTACCACAATGGTATAAAAAGTGTAGCTGGACTAACAGAACTCTATACTTTTTAGTTTTGCACGTGAGAAATCTACATGGAAACTAGGAACAAGTACAGGAAACAGTTGCAACACGATCTAAAGTCTAAACTACCACCCAAGTTCATAATTACCTCTATAAATTGGGACAAAAATTACCAATATATATCACCTACACACAAAAACCCCCTATGAATCAAATTTCCAATGTTGAAAAGAACATTCATTGCTATGTAAATTCTTCAACACATAAAATGCACCTTACCAACAGTCTCATTTCCCAGCACTCTCTCAAGCGTCACAACCAAAGAATTCGGCACCGAAAATGCCACGTCACCTGCCTGCAAAACCAATAACACATAATGAAACAAAAAAGAACAAAAAAAAAGGCAACTTTAACACAACTTCTGAACAGAAAACACAAATATAACGAAATCCCATTAAAGAAACCGCCAAAGAGAACCACAAATTCAAGCCATTTTTATTTACCTGAAGATCCTCACTGGCAGCGACATAATGTATAGGCCTATGCTTCTCATCATGTGAAGGCCTATCTTTGAGCACAACTCTACAATGAGGCAAACCCTTTTTTTGCATCCAAGATCTCAAGTCCCCAAATTCATCATCTTTCTTGCTGCAAAGTTCCTTCTTTGAACCAGCCACAAGGGTATCAGAAGCTGAAGCCAGACAAAGATTGTTCCTTTTTCTATAAACTATCCTGGGATTAGGGTTCTTGGAGAATGGAAGTGAAAGGTGAAGTAAAGGAGACAAATTGAATTTGTTATGCAAACAAGTGAGCTCCATTTACGTAGTCGCTTGGTGGCACTTGAGCAGTGAAAAAAAAGGCTGAGGCTTTTAAGGTTTTGAAGAAATTATTTGTTGGGGAAAGGAAGAGAAGGGATAAGAGAAGAAAAGGTTTGAAAGGGCGATGTGAAGAAATTGGGTCTTGGGTATAATTGGATTGGACTGCAAGGAAACAAAAACCTTTGGGGCTTTATTGTGTGTGGACCAGCAGATGCTGCTCAAACTTTGTGGTATTTTGATCTTGAATTCTTGATTTTTTTCATGTTGACCCTGTTTATAAAGTTGGCACAAGCATTTGATCAAGAGAAGTTGAAATTAAACCCAAAAGTTAATGTAAGGGATGATATTTTATTAAAATTATATTTATTTTTAATAAAATTAATTTTAAATAATAATAAATGACAAATAAATAAAATATTATATTAATTATAAATTTATAATTTGAATATTATATAAAAATTTTTAAATTTTAGATTTATATTAAATATTTTATTATAATTTAAAAAATTTTATAATATTAACCAAAACTCAAAATAAACACTCTTCCTTATTTAGGGTTTATGCAACGTGAAAAGGATTCTCACTTGTAAAAAAAAAAAAAACATTGAATTTTTTTTATCCCAAATCTTTTTGTAATCGATAAATTTATTATTGTATAAAAAATTAAAGCTCAAAATGAAGCTTTGCTTAATAAAAAGGATGAAAATAATAATAATAATAAATTTATTAATTTAATGATTTTAAAATAAAAAATATAAAATTTAACTATTAAATTAATAAAATTTTCATCTTTATGTTTTTATCAAATTTTTTTATAATGCAAAACACAATTTTGGGTTATTTCTGAAGGCCTAAGACAAAAAATCGGATTGTACTAAAATGTCGAAAACCAACTAAAATGGGGCTTTAGTTTCCTTAAAAGAAAAGCCCAAATCAACTAATTGGCTGGCGCTCTGCCTAGTTTAGTTAGCCAGTCTCAAGTCTTCAACTGCCAACCTTTTCATTTCATTTTCTTCAAATCTCTTCCTTCAATCAGATCAAAGCTCCAAGCTTTACTATTCAAATCTCTTCCCAATGTCCCATTAAAACAACTGAAACAAATTCAATTTTTTTTCGTTTTTATTTTATTATGGATATTCTTTTTGCTCAGATCCAAGCGGACCTCCGCTCTAACGACGCACTCCGTCAATCCGGGGCTCTTCTCTCCGCCCTCCAGCAATCCGCCGCCGGTCGTGACATTTCCATATTAGCAAAATCCGCCGTAGAAGAAATTGTCGCCGCCCCGGCCTCTGCCGTCTGCAAAAAACTCGCCTTCGACCTTATTCGATCCACTCGCTTGACCGCCGACCTTTGGGATTCTGTCTCTGCAGGCATCCGTAACGACTTCCACTTCCCCGATCCCGACGTCGTCGCCGCCGCAGTCTCCAGCCTCGCCGCCATCCCTTCTTATTCCCTCTCTAAACTCATCTCCGATTCCAACGCCGAGATCTCTGCTTGCTTCGATTCCCCTTCCGATAACCTCCGCTTCTCCATTACCGAAACTCTAGGCTGTGTCCTCGCTAGAGACGATCTCGTAACGCTATGTGAAAACAACGTTAATATCCTCGACCAGGTTTCAGCTTGGTGGGCTCGGATTGGGCTTAATATGTTGGACAAGTCGGAAACGGTTTCGAAGGTGGCATTTGAATCCGTTGGAAGATTATTTCAGGAATTTGATTCAAAACGAATGAGCAGATTAGCTGGTGATAAGCTTGTAGATAGTGAAAATTCTTTAGTGATAAGGTCAAATTGGGTTTCTTCGATGGTTGACTTTGTTTGGAAAAAACGCAGTGTTTTAATGGCAAGGTCGTTGATTTTGCCCGTTGAGAGTTTCAGAGCAACGGTTTTTCCCTTAGTTTATGCCGTAAAGGCGGTGGCTTCGGGGGGATTGGAAGTTATAAGGAAGATCTCAAAGGGTACAAAAGTGAATGGGACTGTGGTGGATTCGAATGCAGAGAAATTAGTTGGGGTTTCGGATTTGGTTACTCATTTGGCCCCATTTTTGGCATCTTCGTTGGAACCCGCATTGATTTTTGAAGTTGGGATCAATATGTTGTATTTGGCTGATGTACCTGGTGGGAAGCCAGAATGGGCTTCACAGTCGATTATTGCGATTTTGACTCTTTGGGATAGGCAGGAGTTTGCTTCTGCTAGAGAGAGTATTGTTCGCGCTGTTGTTACTAATCTTCATTTGCTTGATCTTCATATGCAGGTGCATGTATTTTTATTTAATTTTTTTTTTTTTAACTTTTGCACAATTTAAATGAGGTAGTTTTAATGTCAATGTGTTTTGAGATAGGGCTGTGCATTATTGATATTGTGAGTTTAGGGAGTTGGTACCGGTGAGGATGTTTCAAGGTTAGCTGTGCCATTGAGTATAAGAAGAATTAAATGTATCTGTTAGAGTTGTATGCTACAGTCACAGAGGTAGTAAATAACCAAGCTGTGTTGTAGAAGGGTAGTTGTTCCTTCTGCTGAATTTATGTGTGCCCGTCCTTAGAAGTTTCTTCATTGCCTTTATTTTGTTGGAAGTTGGTCCTGCTATTTTGTGAATTTTCGGAAGTGACTTCTGAAATGAGTCGTTACTTTGTTTGTGCTTGCTGTTGCTTATACGAAAACATGTAAGAACTGACATTTGTTAGTAATGCAAAAGGGGTGTCTAATTGCCTAGACTCTTATATTTTTGAACATGACATAGAATGCTTCAGTTTGTATTCAAGGCTTATTGTTTTGAATGTGGCCTGATATGCTAAAATTTTGCTTGAAGGTTTCTTTGTTCAAGAGGCTGCTTCTTATGGTGAGAAACTTGAGAGCAGAATCGGACCGTATGCATGCTTTAGCCTGTATTTGTCGGACAGCTTTATGCGTTGATCTCTTTGCAAAGGAAAGCGTCCGAAGAGGTCAGAAACCTCTTGCAGGAACTGATATAGCTTCTCTTTTTGAGGATGCTATGGTAAAAGATGATCTTCATAATGTTACAAGTAAAAGCTTGTTCAGAGAGGAATTGGTAGCAACTCTTGTAGAAAGTTGCTTCCAGTTGTCACTACCTTTACCTGAACAAAAGAACTCAGGTATGGAGAGTAGAGTGATTGGAGCCTTGGCATATGGAACAGGTTATGGTGCATTAAACTGGACAGAGACAGCTCTCGAAGTGGTGGAGGTTTGCAGGCCTTGTGTCAAATGGGATTGTGATGGAAGGACTTACGCAATTGATTGCTATTTGAAGCTGCTTGTTCGGCTCTGCCATATTTATGATACCCGGGGAGGTGTGAAAAGAGTCAAAGATGGGGCTTCCCAAGATCAAATCTTAAATGAGACAAGATTGCAGAACTTGCAACGTGATCTTGTAAAAGATCTACGCGAGGTATGTGAGATCTTATAGAGAACTAAAATGCTATGCTATCTATCTTCCAAGATTTTGTTCTGCAAATAGCTTTTGTTTTGTGATATGATATTCACTATGTTCATGGTGAAGAATAAGTTTAAAAAATTATTCTAATTGCTAAGGGTATTTGGCCAGGGTTTGGGCGTAACTATTACTATTATTGTCAAGTTATGGACATCTCTGGTCTCTTGGTGTTGTTTCATCTTAACTTGGTGTCCAATTGGTAGGTAAATACCCTGAGAATATGTGCACGTCTTCTTTGGGCTATTTCAGAACACATAGACCTAGAAGGTCTGGATCCACTTCTTGCTGATGATCCTGAGGATCCTCTAAACATTCTCGTGACAAATATTCACAAGGTCCTATTCAACATAGATTCATCTACAAATACAACAAATAGGCCTCAAGATGTTCAGGCAGCTCTTCTATGTGCTCAACGGTTGGGATCTCGTCATGCTAGGGCTGGACAGTTACTGACAAAGGAGCTTGAAGAGTTCAGAACCAATGGCTTGTCCGACTCTGTCAACAAGCATCAGTGCCGAATGATATTGCAGAGGATTAAATATGTTTCTAGCCACCCTGAAAGCAGGTGGGATTGCTGTCAATGGCTCTATATATTAGCATGAGACTGAAGCTCTAGATTTAAATTCACTGAAGGTTTTTGATGTGCTCAATAATGAAGCATGGTATAGATGATGTTTCTTTAGCATAAGTGCTTGAATGTCCCCTTATACATCATGCCCTTTTAAATCTTTTGGACCGAATTTGGGATGGACTGCATTTTCGGTGAAAGTATTCATGTTTAGTGATAAGCAGTGTGAGCTACAGATGTTTAGTGATAAGCAGTGTGAGCCAGAAAGTTTTTCCCTATTGGCAGACGCTATTTCCATTTTTGTTGCTATATGAGTCTGCTGGCATGGTAGGCAAGAATCTTGTTAAACTTAGTTCTACTGAAGTAGCTTCTTCCTTAAATGTCTCCCCAGCCTTAAAATGAAAGGAAAAATAGATCCATGTGCATAATGGGCATTTTTTGAACCATGTCAGATAAACAATGTTTCTTTTTCAGGTGGGCAGGGGTTAGTGATGCCAGAGGAGATTACCCATTTAGCCACCATAAACTGACTGTTCAGTTTTATGATGCATCAGCTGCCCAAGATAGAAAATTGGAAGGGTTGGTTCACAAGGCTATTTTGGAGCTTTGGAGGCCTGACCCTAGTGAATTAACACTTTTGCTAACAAAGGGAATTGACTCCACATCACTCAAGGTTCCTCCAACTGCTCGTACTTTGACTGGTAGCAGTGATCCTTGCTACATTGAGGCCTATCATCTGGCAGATGCAGGAGATGGAAAGATCACTCTGCATCTGAAGGTTGAAACTCTTCTTTACTCATTTTTATCTTCTGTGCCTCTTAAACCTTTTCCTTTTAGTCTCTATATGATATGAGGTAATACAAGTCTGTAGAACCTCTTGAAGTGAGGGAAATGATAAGGCAAATTTTGAATATAGCCTACTTAATTTCTTGAAACTTGATAAATAAATTTTGAAATTTATCTAAATCTAGTGCCATAGATATTGGACTTTACAGAGGCCTTGCAGGTTTATCTTGAGGAGTTTTCTAAGTTGTAAAATAGATTCTACCCTTTTAAGTAGTAAAGTTTTACTGGAAGGTTATACACTAATGCAAGAGGCATTTGTTTATTGATTGGTTAGTGCGTCATTGTCTTTATTTGCTGATTACAGGCATTAAAGTTTTTCTTGCTTTTACATCAAGCTATTGATGGCAACCTTGACATATTTTAGTTGTGACTCAATCTTTTTCATGTTTGCATCAGTCAGGCAAATAGTATGATCGATCAATTGTGTTACATGCTACAAACCATTTTTTTGATCAGGAACAAAAGTCTGAAAGCAGGATCATTACTTAATGCCTATTCTTTTCTTGTGCTGTGGTTCTACTGGCTATGATGAATGATGCCTGTTGATGATATTCCCTTGGTTGATTGGTGAATTTTGCAGGTTCTTAATTTGACTGAACTGGAACTAAATCGTGCTGATATTAGGGTTGGATTATCAGGTTCTTTGTATTTTATGGATGGGTCTCCTCAAGCGGTACGGCAGTTGCGTAATCTTGTTTCTCAGGTTTCTTTTCTCATCTTTGTAAATAAATCTTGAATTTTCCTGTTAGTCTGATTCTATGCTTTCAAATGCACCTATATTACCTCATCTTGAGAAAAATCTTTGTCTTATCTTGCAGGATCCCATACTTTGCAGTGTGACAGTAGGTGTTTCTCATTTTGAAAGATGTGGCTTTTGGGTTCAACTCTTATACTACCCATTCTATGGGAGTGGTGCTGTAGGAGATCATGAAGGTGACTATGCTGAAGAGGATCCACAAATTATGAGGCAAAAGACAAGATTAAGGCCAGAACTTGGAGAACCTGTGATTTTGAGATGTCAACCTTACAAAATTCCATTGACTGAGCTTCTCTTGCCGCATAAAATTTCACCTGTTGAGTTTTTCCGTCTATGGCCTAGTTTGCCGGCTATTGTTGAATATACTGGCACATACATTTATGAAGGAAGTGGCTTCAAGGCTACTGCTGCGCAGCAGTACGGGTCTTCCCCTTTTTTGAGTGGACTGAAATCATTGTATTCCAAGCCTTTTCACAGAGTTTGTTCGCACATCATTCGCACTGTAGCTGGGTTTCAGGTAGGATTCAATGTCTTGATATCCACCTCCACAAGTTTGTGTTGTTCGTTTATAGGCTCTCTATCCTTCTGTGTATTGTTTTTTGAAGCTATTCAAGCATTCTTCCAGGAAAATATTTGTTTGCTAAGGCTTGCCCAAACTAATTTAGTTACTGTTTGAGACTTTTCTGTTGCTTGGTAAAATTGCTTTTTTACTTACCCCACCTGTGACAGCTATGTTATGCTGCAAAAACTTGGCATGGAGGCTTCTTGGGCATGATGATTTTTGGAGCCAGTGAAGTGAGCAGAAACGTGGATTTGGGTGATGAAACAACAACCATGATGTGCAAATTTGTGGTCCGAGCTTCTGATGCATCAATTACTAAACAGATTGAATCAGATCCACAAGGCTGGTTGGATGATCTGACTGATGGGGATGTGGAGTACATGCCTGAAGATGAAGTGAAGGTCGCTGCTGCTGAGAGGCTTAGAATTTCTATGGAACGGATAGCCTTGTTAAAGGCGGCGCAGCCAAAGAAGACTCCAAAATCTGATGACGAAGATGATGAAGAGAAAGAAGAGGAAGATGAAGAGAAGAAAAATGAAAAGAAAGATGGTGAGGAAGATGGTAAACCTAAAGGACCTTCCACTCTCTCAAAGCTGACTGCAGAAGAAGCCGAGCACCGTGCTCTTCAAGCTGCTGTGCTGCAGGAATGGCACATACTGTGTAAAGATAGAAGCATCAAGATCAGTTAACTTCCCTTATCTCTTCCTTGTTTTGTTCTGAAACAAAGAGCTATATCTTTTTTTCTACCGTATTATGATTTTGATTTGCATTAGGTTGGCGTTGAAAGTTGATTAGAGTGCCATATTTTTTTCTTCTTTGGGGCATTCCCTCATACATCTTGTACCGGCTTTGTCTGTTCATGATCATCAGAGATCAATTGTTAAACACCATGCAACATTTTCGTGCATGTTTGTATTATTAACAACATTTTCAATATTTAATATGAAAATGCTTTGGCCTAATGGTGAATTTGGTTGTTCAATCTGTGTTATTGCTATATGACCTTCTCCATTGCCCCACCAAATTAGTCAAACTTTAATTGAGGGTAGAAAGAGAAAAGACAACAAGGGAAAGAGGAAGTTATATGAAATCAACTGAATCTATTAAGTAATGTGCAAAAGCTATTGTTCAATTAATCACACATCCACAACTTGGGTGAGCAAAACTACATAAGAAAATTTGCCACCTCTTTTAACAACTTGAAGCCAACAGAACAAATTTGTATGTCTAGCATCTTTGTCATTGCCATTTACCAATCATATGTTAAACCTCTGAGGAACAGTGTCAAAGTCGTCAAAGTCTAACCTCTGTCGCTCTCGCCCAGCCTGGACACAGAAAGGTATTGTCTAGTTACAGATCAATGGTTCATAAACAATAGTATTAGCTAAAATCTTTTGATGAATGCAAAATAGCAGGCTTACTTTTGCTAGATACAATGGTTCACATGACATGAGTTCATCCATAATCGTCAGCTTCTTTGAGAGGGTCATCAACCTGTAATGTAACACAAAAAAATTGAAAACAAAAAAAGCATTTTGATATCGCTTTTATTCATGATGAGGCCGAGCCCATGTTTATACTTGAAAGGGCCAGACAAATAATCACCAGTGTTCTGCCACTCATCCCCATGATTGTTATCATTATATATTATAGGATTATGCTAAAGAGTGTCCTAAGGGCACTTTTAAAGGTTACTATATAAAGGATTATCTTCATCCAATGCATTGAAAATCATGAATAAAGTTGTCAACTATTAAGTTAATACAAAATTGTTACTATAAATAGTATATTCACTAACCTTAAAGAAAGCCCTAAGGGCACTCGTTAGCAAAACCCTATATAATAACCTTTTTTAAAGAACTATTGCAATTAATAAGATTTATAATAAGGTAATGCCAAAATTGTAAAAGTAGCATGTCTAAACAAGTCATATTATCTATTCAAAGTTCAAACAAAACATGATAGTGGTGTCTATTCTATAGAGTTACCTTTGGATTGATGAGTCAATACGCTCAATCATTTCACAGGACTTATATTGTTCAGGATCCTCTAGGAATCTAACCATCCCATCCTTTTGGTTGATGGTTGCATATATCTCACCATCTTGAATCTAAGATTTGACATGAAAAAGTCAACGATGGAAATATGTAACAGATAATATGAAACTGCAGTCTTAATTAACTGAAACCGAAGATCCAAAATTACCATTTGAAGAACATGCATTTCCGCTTCCTTAGGGCTATTCAGTTGCACTGTGTTCGCTATGTCCTGAAGGGAGAGAGTTAAATAGGTCTGAGTCAACCTCTGGATATTTCGCTTATACATGGATGATACAACCTGCTTCACCAAACCTAGATTGTTGTCCTGGTAAAAGCACAAAGCCGCTTTCAGACGGTCAAATAAATAAAGCACAAGAGTAGGTTTAAATTAGATACAGCACTTACAGTTTCAAATTTCTCCTTGTTTGCCTGCACATATGTCTCTAAGTCTGCAATTTTCCCATTGCCATAACTATTTGCCAGTTCGATATATGGCTATCCAAGGAATAAAAGTAAGAAGTTAATTAATAAATTCAATAAAATATACCTAATCAAGGAAATGGTTAATTCTTTTTATGTTGGTACAAGGCCAACAAAATCATTAGTCCTAGAATTGATATGTACCAGACATAAGTTCTTCAAATTTCTCTGGCCAACCGAAGAAGCATACTTAGGGAGACTGGTAGAAAACTGTAACCAAGAGAATGAAAAACCACAGGAAAATCACCATCAGAGATGAAGATGAGCAAAAGACAAAAGTTGCAAGTGAAAATGTTGTCAAAATGGTGAAACTATTAACCTTTCAAACCACAGCTTCCAAATTGAGAACCAATTTGTCCATATATTCTTTTTTTTTTTTTGAAAGGAATTGTCCATACATTCTTAATACACAATACAATGTAAAATAAATGTCACTTGCAGAACAGACCTGTCCAGGGTGAATAAGAGAGACCAATATGTATTTTTTGTAAGCCTCAACGGCTATAGCATTTATGGTAGACATTGGAGCAGTCACAACCTAGACAATTACCATAAAGCAAACAAAATAGGATAATCAGAAGTCAGACTCGTAATTTTAGTAGCTGCCAATAATGAAGAAAAGAGCTGTAAAGAAACAACATACATTATGTAGAAGCTCCAATGCTTTCAGAAAATGCTTTTGTCCAATGCATATCATTCCCCTGTCACAATGTCAAATGAGAAATCCAATCATTGATTCCTCTAAATGATGCTAAACCAGTGAAACAGTCAAATCAAGAAGAACAAGGTAGAATTTAAGATTCAAGTAAATCAACTATTTAAGGGGTATAACTTTTCACTTTCAGTAGGAAATATAATTTTGCTGTTTGATTCTTGAAAAAATCGAAATATAGATTCATAATGCGATAGGAAAATGTTAGTTAATACATATGCCTAGCGAAGGAAGCTAGTTCTCTTAGAGCTTACTAGTGTCAAAGGAAAAGATAAGAGCTCCCAAGAACTAAACATCTGAATACACAAAAGATTAAATGCAAAATCTGAGATGCAAATTAAATAGTTTGCAAAGCAACTGACCCATAATAGCAATAGAGAAAAAGGTCCCTCGGCTGATCAACATCGAAAATATCTTCCTCTAGAATGGAAAGACCAGTTTTATAGCACTTTGCCAGCAAACAAAGCAAAAGAAACTCCGGATGTAAAGTAGTCAAATGTTCCGTAGAAGACTGAAGCTTCCGAATAGCAGTCAGCATCGGAGCAACCCCACGCAAGGGCTCCTCAAGCAACAGAACTTGGTCCTTGAATCTCTTACAAACAGACATAACTGCAAATCACATTAAAATCAACATCGACAACATCAACAACTACCAAGCAATGATTAACACAAATGAACTGATATCAACAATATCAACAACTAACATTTGTCAGGCGCCAATCGAATTTGCTCAGCAACACATGAACTTATAAATCTGGCAATGATTAACACAAATGAACTAGCTTGTTCTTTTGTAACTGGACCAGCAGTGCATGCCTCTCTGTTGAACCATTAATAAAATTCATAGTTATTATTTTTCCTTCTAAAAATTAAAAAAAAGAAAGTAAGAAATCACAAAGTTTAAATAAGTTAATAAAAAAACCCAGATTTTATATATACATATATAAAAAGATTAACAGTTATAGAGAAACTAATTAGACCAGAAAAAGAAAGAAACCCCAAGATTCAATTTTCTTCCACTTTCTCTTTGATTCTCAGCAACCAAACATCAAATTCAAAACAATACCCAGATCAAAATTAAAAAAAAAAAAAAAAACCAACTTTGACAAAATTCCAAGTAGAAAAATCGATTCTTCTTTTTTTTTTTCGAAGACCTAAATTAAAAAATAACTCACAGGAAATAGAGGTAACCGAGAGAGTGCATGGAAGGGTCGAGTTGGTCGAGAAAAGGTAACAACCGAGTCGACTCGGAATGGAGTGAGTCATCAGCTTGTTTAAGCAAATTTTGTAGCAATAAAACATCAGAGGCGGTGCTTGATCGCCCCTGGATTTGAGTCACTAGACCTTCCACCGAGCTCATCCCTTATCTCGCAGCTGAGTTTACTGATCGAATCGACTCAGATACCAAAGAAAAACCAACTTTGATTCCCGACTCTCTCCGATTCACGTTCGCTTAGCTCTTTAAAGATTTATTATTTATTAAAATTTTATTTTGGGGCTAATTCCTAGGTCTATTACCCAACCTTTTAACCTTTGGTCTAATTGGGCCTTGGCCTATTACCAGACAGGTTCAAACCGTACCGACCAGCCCATTTCTTCTTTTCACTTTTGTCTTTCTTGTCCTTGGAAGCAAAGAGCCTAAGAGGAAACGAAGAATCGGAGAAGAGAAAAGCCGAGAAGCAAAGCGCTAAAAGCAGTAAAAAAAATGGCGGATTACCATTTCGTTTACAAAGATGTAGAAGGAGCTTCGACTCAATGGGATGATATTCAAAGAAAGCTTGGGAATTTACCGCCAAAGCCACCAGCTTTCAAGCCTGATCCTTTTGAACCCGCACCTGATCTGGATTCAACACCGAAAGATAAGTCCTGGGTCGACGAAAAGACTGAAGAAGAACTTGAAGACCTCGAAGATGATCTCAATGATGATCGATTCCTTGAAGAATACAGGTCTAATCTTAATTTTTCTACAATTAATTTGATTTTTTTTCAGATTTAATTTTGGAGATTAAGATTTTATTGATTTTGATTATTTGGTTTGGAGATGATGTTTTTATTTAATTAAAAAATGGGTTTGGTGTAGTTGGATAAATTTGTTAAATTTATGAGCTGAAAAGAAAGTTTTCAGGTTCAACTGTTCAAGAACTTGTAAAAGGAATTCAGGTTGATTATTTTGTGTTCTTCATTTTGTATCAAAGTTATGATGAACAAAAGTTGAACTTTTGCCTTGTGACTATAATATTTGGGTTTCCATTGAGATATATGTTTCTGCATTTGAGAAATGGTGTGGTTTTGATAGAAAGAAGAGGCTGGCTGAGATGAGGGAAGCTGCTAAGATTTCAAGGTATGGATCAGTGACACCGATTTCAGGATCCGATTTCGTGAAGGAGGTTTCACAAGCTCCTCAGGATGTCTGGGTTGTTGTCATTCTCTATAAAGAAGGGTATTTACATTTGAGATAGTTGCTCTCTTTTTAATACAAGTATTTGTTATCAAAATTGTAACAAATTTGTCTCTTTTTATGTGTTTAGTAACATTTGCATCATGTAATCTTTATGCTCATAATGAGGTAACAACTAGTATTTCTTATTCACTTTGGTTTTGAATTTGTTGATTGGGCTTTATTTGCTTTCCACAATATTTGACTTCGTATGGTTGGTGTTTTTGCTTTTTGCTATTTGTCTCTTGTTTCCAGTTCTTTTTATTTTTCACTTTCTATCGAAAGAAAAAAAAAGCAAAAGCACAATCAAATGGAGCTAATGAGCTTCATATTTGATGTGAATTATTAATTCAACAATGGTATATTTCTTATTCGTAACACTTAATCTAATCAAACCATGCGATTTTCCTTTCCTTCCTTCTATATTATATAGATGTCAGTTTGATAGGAATTGTGGTTGATGAAATTAGAATAAAAACTATATGACTTGAGAACAATGAAATTTATAAATGCTCATGCTCCATATAAAAATTGGTGTGGATGCTGTACTGTTAATTGTAAGAGCTTTTGCAGGATCATTATATTGATTGATTTTTGCTTTATTGTATCTCTTATTAGATTTCCAGAGTGTGGGCTGCTTTTGCAATGTTTGGAAGAACTGGCTGTTAAATACCCAGCGACAAAGTTTGTCAAGATAATATCTACTGATTGCATTCCTAACTACCCAGATCGTAATCTTCCCACTCTCTTGGTGTATAAAAATGGAGCAGTAAAAGCAAATTATGTGGGCTTGCATACTTTTGGCCGGAGATGCACACCTGAAGGTAACGTATTCTATATATGAAGGAATTCACTCTTATAGTATTTTCTTTTCCTTTTCTCATTTTTCAAGAAAATTTGACGAGGGGCAGTATGAGGGAAGTAACTGAAAATGCTTGTCAATCTTGTGTTTTGGATGTGAAATATTGATATTTTGGATCCTACATGTGCCTTTTTTTTATTTGAAATTTATTTTATACATTTTATTTACCATATTGTTGTTCTCTCTCAAAATATAGGTGTGGCCTTAGTTCTCTGTCAATCAGATCCCGTACTAAATGATGGTCAAAGTGGGAGCGATCCGTCACAAAAGGCTGTTCTTGAAGGTGTTCGAAGGAGGTTTATAGAGAAAGTTGTTGCTGAGCATGAAGATCATGATGATGATGGATCAAGTGATTAGAAATTTGGTGAATTCATTTAGTTTCTTTTGATTAGTGAAAGAGTACTGTTGATTGACAGACCGTTGTAATTTCACCGGTTTCTTTGATGCTTTTTCTTCTTCTTTTTGAAGTTTCTTTGCTGATTTTGAAGTTTTTCTATGCATTATAATTCTGTAATCTAGTTATTTTCATGGAAAAGGATCAGAAGTACAATGTTTAATTCCCTTTGAATACAGCTTGAATAGGACAAAGCCTGCAAGAAATGGCAGCCCCATTAACACAAGATGAGGAAAGAAGCAATTTTACAATAGAGTTTTATTGTAGATGAAGCTGTATGATCATCAGTTCATTATATGCTAGTAATCTTTGCTGTTTTGTGCCTTAGCTTCCTCTTTCTTCTGGAAATACCTTTTGAAAAGAACCATAATCAGAAACATTTCTATATCAGTTCCTGGAAAAGTATCATTAAACAATTGCAAGAATCTATAAATTGGGATTTGATTATCAACTAATCACCCTTTCTGAGGAAAATTTAATTTTATGAATTCCAGGTTGAAATCACAAGCCAAAAAATAAAAAACAGAAGCAAATGGAAAATCCTGCTTGCTTAGTTTGTTTGCTTACTCTTGAGCCTTGATCCACCGCGAGAGCTGATACAGCTGCACAGTCTCATTTGAGGCATGACATACAAGAAGATGGAGGTTGCGTGGCTGTACCATCCATGCAAACCTCATGAACAATGCAGAGTAACCGCACATAACTGCAAAATTCAATGAGGCTTAGCAACAGATGAAGAACAAAATTATGAATACAAGATAGTGAAATTCAGAGATCAAACAGTACTTAGAGACCTGCTGTCATGTTGCCAGATATCATTTCTGGGGGTTTCTTTGTGTCTACTAATGCCTACAAAAGAAAAACGCTGGATTAATCTCATAGAAATGCAATAAGACAGCAGTGAATTATGTTTTAAGTATTGAGCATACTGCAATAGGGATGCTCCAGTTGAAAAGAGGGCCCCAGAAATGAGTTGTTTTGGGACCAATGGGACTGTTCCAAAAAGCTCTTAACATTTCCATTCCAGCTTCTGCAAATTGTAAACCCTACTACATCCGCAAATTTATGTCAAATAAAGTTTCAGGAATGTGCCAGGAACATATGAAATCAAGTTAGTTTGAAACAAATAGGCAGGAAACCAGAACCAATCAATGAAATTTTTTAATTGGCTTCCATTGAATATAGAACAAAGAAAGGAACATCTTGTTTATTCAGGGAACAGAAAATCAAACCATGTTCTTGGCAAAGAACAACCAGGCGAAGAATCACACAAGTAAACAAACAAAGATTTCATTTCTTCAAGAATAAGCCAAGATCGCCAAAACCATCATTTAGGACAAGAGAAAACAGAAGAATATTTTATTCCTTTCTTTCAATTATTGGTAAATTATGAGTCCCAATCCTTAGTAAAGATGATAAAACTACACATGTTAGATTGAGATAACTAACCAGTACTGCAGCAGTTGATGAACTCAAACTTGTATAGGTCAAAATCTATTTGCCATCAGTTGCAGAAGTATCAGAGTTTGCAAAAGTCACGAGAAATGTCTCCATAGAATGTGGAGAATGATTCATTAGGTCAAAGAACTATCTAACAAGCAAGCACGCATTTATATTTTAATCAAAGAATATCAATCATACTACTTGCTCTTCATATTTTAATCAAAGCAATCAATACTTTCTTCCCATCCATCCGACTGTCGTAAGCTTACGTTCCTTGAGGTTATCCTAACTCTTTTGGTTACTTTGAAAATGACATTTTTTGAATTCAAAAATTAGTTCAATTAGTTCATACAATCACAATATAAAATCTAATGAATTTAAAATTCAAATCTCAATACATGTACCCTCTTCTTATGTCCTAAGCTGTGGCCTCGAGGAAAAAATAACTTGTTTTATCTTCTCGTTATCTATAACAATAGTCAATGCTAAATTGTTAATTAAAACGCCGTCGAGACATTATAGAATTCATTGCTTACCTTCGAATGTCTTGTTAACCTTATCATCAAATCCTTGCGATAAGCTTTCCATATTGTTAACCTCATCATCAAATCCTTGCGATAAGCTTTCCATAAGTATGATTACAACATTGTCTTTTCCTCGTATTCTTTGATTATAACAGCAAACTTAGCTAACGTTTAGATAACCGTTCGTAAATTTAGAAAGGGATCGCCACCAATACATATACAATTGGAGTCGGTCTCTTGGAGCCGACTCCAATGCCACCGAGCTACAGCTTCTCGGTATAAATTCACCGTTCTTGACGTTGACGCGTGAGACTTGTGGAGAATTTAACTTGTTCTTGATCTCGAAACTTCAAATTGTAAGATGTTATTTGTTGTGATACGAAGGTATCATAATTTTATCTTATAAAAAAGATTTTGTAAGTTTGAATTTAAATTTATATTTATATATCATAACAAATCTTCAAAATCTCTTAAATTAAGATGTTTCAAACTTTCTCTTAAAGATATGAATCTCTAAATATAAGATCAAAAAATTATAAATTTTTTTCATTTAACATCCTGTCAAACTAAACATAAAACACAAAACCAAAATCAAATCAGACATTAAGATTCTAAATGTTTTTATGATGTAGTATTTAACTCTCATCCAACTTATAATCACTCTAATATCATTTATAAAATTCGCATCTAATTTGAAAATATTTTTTATTTTGATTCAAAAATCTTACAATTTTCTTTCATAAATGATGGTTCACAAGTTTTGATTTAAACTTTTACATATATATATTATAACAAATTTTCAGAATCTCCGACATGTCATAAAAATAGTGATTATTCATGTTTTAATTCATTGAAAAGTAATTCCGTGCCTATTGTCCAAGTAAAGTTTTACGTTGTTTACAGGCATCAAATACAAGAAAGAAAGGCAGGGCCTAGTTTTCCCTTGGACGAGGCAAAGAGATTGGAGAAAGAAGTGGCTCAATCTCATTGCTGTTGAAGAACTTTGATCAACATTGCAGTAGATTTTGATAGAAAACTGCCAATAATTGAATGATGAAAGTAACGGGGTTGCTCATTTGCAGCCAGTGCCTGACCATAAACTGGAATGGGAAATCGAGAGTTGGAAATATTTTAGATGAGAAAGCATTTACAAACTACTAGAGATCAAAACCTTTACAATGAGATATTGATAGTTCAAGCTACTTCAAGGCGAAGTACTCCTCCAAACATCTATACAATCATCTTAAAATCAGCTATCCAACTCATGTCTATCTGTCTTTCTGGCTACCAAAAATGGCCTCCCTTGTTACAAGCTTTATGCCTCTTACCCATAGCTCAGCCATTTCAAACCCACCTTGACACGCAAAATGAACCTCTTTGTTCTTGGTAGTCACAACTCGAAATACTCCAGGTTCATTAGCATCACCCTTGCTGCACCTCTTCCTCTCAAAGGCTGGACTCGGCCCCAATTCTGCCTCTCGGCATATCACATTTCGTCGACTTGACTTTCCCCATTGCAGCATTCCGGTAGTCCCTACCATTTTCACGTCTTTCCCATGTGGATTTCCTTTTCCTCCCTTGGTATGCTTCAATACTCGGGCACCACCGAGGACGCACTTGCGAGCAAGCTCATCTAGAATCACACATTCTGCATCTTTTTTCATGACACCAGTTTTTCTAGCAAGAGAGAGTGCAGTTTCTCCTTTAGCATTCTTAAAATCACAATTCGCCCCGTGTGAGATTAAGAGCTCACACATGGGACCATGTCCTTCCCTAGCTGCTAACATAAGGGGAGTGTAGCCATCTCCATCAGGGACATTTACATCATAGCCCCGGCTTGTCAACAATGTAACAGCATCCAAGTCTCCATGACGTGCTGCACAATGCAAAGCATAGAAGCCTCCAGCATTGTGATTGCCTTTTTCAAGAGCAAATTCAAGCATCACCTTCTCAAACAGGTCACGGTTATGATTCAGTTCAGACATTGTGATTGCAGTCTCACCAGATTTGTTTAACAGCTTAACATCAGCTCCAGCATAAACCAGCAAGCGGAATGCTTCAACATGGCCTTTTAAGGCAGCAACCATGACTGCTGAGAAACCATTATCATCTTGATAATCAAGATTAATGTCTCCCCTTCCAATCACAGCTTTTAGAGCCTCAGCATCACCGGCTTGAGCAACAAACATTAGGGGAGAGAAAACTGCAACGCTGCTTGACTTGGGAATCTTTCCAACCTTGATTACATCCAGCACTGTTTGCTGAAAACCAAGGGACCACCGGTTTGATCCAGAAATTGAACTAACAGACTGACCAGAGTCGTTAACTAAGCCAAAGTCAGCACCAGCCCTAGTCAACACTCTCAGACATTCTTCATGCTTGTATTTTACACAAACCATCAAAGCTGTGTCACCAGAGTCTGTCTTGGAGTTTAGATCACAACCAGAATCAATGAGGGATTGAAGGGTCGCTGACAAGCCAAGACGAGCAGCTATGTGTATTGGGCGAAACTCAGTTTTCATGGTTTTAACTGGGCATTCTACATTTGCACCACAGCTCAAGAGCACTTTGACAGCTCCTGCATTGCCACAAAGGATTGCATGGTGGAGGAGGGTTCTTCCACAGTGAGGTGTCTCAAGGTTGAGGTGCCTAAGGAGCATGCGCACGATGGCACCACTATCTTCAAAATATTCTACAGCACACCAACTGATGGCATAGGGCTCAGCCAGTCCTGCACCCACTCGAAACTCTTCACCAGTATTAAGGTCCCATGACCATGCTCCCAGACTTACTTTAATAACAGTTGGGGTTCCAGCCTGTATTATGATTTTGGATAAATAAGATAATGAGCCAAAGTAGTTTACAAAGCAAGAAACAAATTCTAGTAATAATAATAACAGAAATGGATTGTTAAAAGCATTTACTCATTCTTTAATGGAACTCTTTAAACTCTCTTTTTTGATTTATAGGGGAAAGTAATATCTTCTAAAAACATCAAACTTTCTTAAGGCAAATAAAGTAGCAAAAAGGTTGACGAGATCCAGAAGTAATGCAACTATTATTTGAATATGCGAGTGATTTAGATTCTAGTCATAGAAAGCTTTCTCATTCCAAGCTTGTACATCAGAAAGGCAATTAGTGGCATAAACCAACTTAAACATTTAGTGGCTATTTTAGAAGCATTTATTTCAAAGTTTTGGAAATTTGTTTAAATCATACAGGACGCTAGAAAATTAGAAGATCACCTGTAGAAGCAAGCGAACAACAGAGACCTGCCTACTAACAACAGCAGCAACAAGTGCAGTGCAGTCAACATTTGTGTGCAAAGAAGGTTTAGATGACCGGAGCAGCTGCCTATGACTTGCACTTGCATCAACACCACACTGTTATTGAGCGGGAAAGCCATTAGATTATCATATAAAATCTAATAGAAAGAAAACATATTCAAAATTATATCTAGAGCCTAATAAAATGTCCTGGTCCTGGAGGATCAACTGAATAACAGCATTAGGAAATTAATTTATCAATTATCCTCTTTATAAGTTAATGGATAATGTGGAAGTTATTATTCCATTGGCAAAATCAGCAATAAGAGCATCAATGCCAATCACCCAACTTACCGTGAAGCCCAACAGGACATGCGGGCAACAGGCTAATAGCAGGTAAAAGCCAGAATTACATGTCATTATAATGGTTAAAACCATTGAACTGTCCCATTGTGTTCTATTATAGTGGGTTTTAGAGCTTTACTCATTTAAATTGCTCCTAAGTGGTGCACATAATTTAGAGGGTATAATGGTTTTACCTTCATGAGGGTGTCCACCACTTCCACAAACCCCCTGCAGCATGCGGTGACGAGAGCATTAACAGCAACATGTGGTCGAATTAAATCAGAGCCCATGAGCAGTTCTGCAAGCCTTGCTTGCCCATGGCAGCTTGCCTCCAGAAGAGCTTCCTCACAAGCAAGTTGAGAAGCCCCAGCTTTAAGCAAGATTTCCAGAATCTCAAGACGACCCTCCCTCACTGCTTCTGTTGTTGCAAAGCCCTTGAAGAGTTTCTGATTCACATCAGCTCCTATACTCTACCATGCGCAAGTGTACAAACTTTTAGTGCATAATATAAGGTGGGTTTTGTTCTATTTTTAATTTAAGTATTTTAAGACTTCTTTTGGAGCTAACCTTACAACCATCCTAATACTTTGGCCATAAGCAGACAAAAACGGGGGAACAACACCGATTGATAGACAGAGAAGCAGTGAACGTTCGTCAAGAAATGCATGAAGATTTCAATCAAAAAGGGACGAGGGATACATCATGTACTTGTACTGTTTTGTACTTCAGACTCAAGCCAATGGTCAGAGACAACTCAGTATGGGGCTTGCAGAGCATATTTCTCTTGAATAAATGTGTTGAGCAATAAAACTATTCTCTCTTTTTTTTTTTAAAAGCACATAAATTTACTCATGTACATATATGTCATTACAGTAAGAAAAACAGTAAGTTCTGTGGTTCAGAGGGGGACACACACCAAATATTCATATAAGGGAATAGTTTAAAGTGCCCAGAACAGGAGACTTGGCAGAGATTCAAAGAAAAATAAATGAAATTACTACACTGAATCAGAGAACTTTACTCAAATCTGTATAAATTTTTATTAGCTAAAAGGAATAAAAAGTTTTTTAACTATAATTAAAAAATCATAGAAACCTTTATTTTTTTAATTGTAATCAATCAACTCTTTTAATATTTATTTACATCTAATTAAATTTTTATTTAATTTTTTAATTAAAAAAATTTTCATGTGATATTAATAAAATAAATAAAAATTTACTACATAGCTTAATTCATATATGCAAAAATTAAATAAAATATACTCTCTTTTTTTCTCTATTTTTTCTCCTCTCTTTAAAATCTTTTTAAAAATTCTATTGACTATAATTCAGGAGTTCTATTGATTATAATTTGATTAGTTCAATTTTATTATGTGATTACATTTCGTTTAATTAAAGATTTAATTGAATTAAAATAAAATATTAAAAAATTAATTAATTGTAATAAAATATTAAAAATTTAAATAACTTTTAATTATGCTTATGGAATATTTATGACCTTTTAGCCATTTTTATTTTATTATTTAATGGAAATTTTACATTAAATATTGTAATTTTAATTTTATATTTTGAGGAATTAAATTTTAGGGACCAGAGAAGGGGAAAAGCAAAAAAGCCAGCAAGACAGTGAATCTTTGAAGATACGAAAAGATTTTAAGACAAAAAATATATATGTTTTAATTTTCAAAGATTATGTCCTAGGAACATGTAAGATCTAGCCTTAGCTTCCTCAAAATTGAGAAAAAACCAAAAGTTGAAAAAGCGTAATAATAAATTAGCTTTAAATTTTTGAATACTTTTAGAACTGCGAAAAATTAGGAAATCACCAAACTACTCGTTTGAATTTTGAATTTGAAAAACTCGTTTCTAAAGTGAGAAAATATCATATCACTGCAACTTTTTTCTCAGTAGCCAAACAGAGTAGAGAGAGAGTGCAAGTGAAACACTTCAAAATCAGTACAAGCAACTCAAAATTTAACTTTGATCACAGAAAAGTTTAGAACACTTGAGAATCAGAAGCAAAACGACGCCGTATATTAGACTGTTGAAAAATCTGAAATTTCAACTTGGATCATCAAAACGAAGAAAAATCACTGTAAAACGGAACGTTAATGAAACAGTTGGAATCACAAACCCGATCAAAACGTTAAAAAATAACGAAACTTTTCTATTGCATTACCAGTAGTTTCTTTACGAGAGCGACATTTCCAACATGAACCAAGAGGAAAAGAGCGGTGACGTCAGTTTTGAACTCTTCATACTCGACGCGGACCTCACTCGCCGATTCATCTCTCGGAACGACTTCGGTCTTCTTCGTTTTCAAGCAAACGGTGCCAACGAAGTTCACGTCAACGCACGGATCGGCAATGCATTCGAGAGCGGACCTCAGATCGCCGGTTAACGAAGCTTCTAGCAAACGCTGAGAAACTTCAGCCTCGTAGTCGACAGGAACCACCTGTCTACAACCGGAAAACACCGTCATCTCTTTACACGTGGCGGTTTTTTAAGGTAACACCGAGAGGTCGATGTAACTGCAGGTAAGAGACGGCATGCGAATATAAGAGAAGCCCAAGAAGAAAAAGAAGCAAAAACTTGAAATAAGCGAGCGCCGGCGACTGAAGAAAGGAGGGTGGCTTACTTATTATTAGTAGCATTTTTTTTTACTTTTTTACCGCGGTAAATTTGAATAGTAAATTTAAGTGGAGGCTCTGGAGTGGGGCCGGGCTTTGCATAAGGCCGGTTGGGTTTAGCTTAGGCCTGATTGGTGGAAAAACATCGGTAATAATAGAGGGTTTAAGATCTCAAATCATCCTGATTTGAGATCTTAAACCCTCTATTATTACCGATTTGAGACGGTTTAAGATCTCAAATCAGGATGGTCCAGATATTAAGACGGTCCTGATTTGCTGTTATATATAAATTTTGGACATAAAAATGTAAAACATTGAAACATTCTAGGATTTTAATTAATTAAATAATTAAGAAATCTCTAATAAAAAAATTAAGGAGATATTATACTATTTCAATATCAGTACCAACATACCATAAACTTCAATAAAAATTTATTATAATTTACTTGTCAAAAAAGATTATTGATAACAAAATATAATCTAACTCTTATAAACAAAGTATTTTAATTTCTATCAATTCAATTATCTCATCGAAATTGAATAATTATTAGTTGTTAAAATATGAGTTTCTAAATTAAGATTGTGTAGCTTAAAAATGTAAATTGTATTTGGCAGAAAAAAAAAAAAGGATGTAAAAGATTTTATACTAATTTTATTTGTTCATAAAAGGTTGGTGCCAAATAATTGTTGAAAACACCTATAGAGAACCAATAATAATAATAATAATTGTTAAATTAAGAATGTCTAACTAATTGATTTTGAGACAAGGGAATGTATAAAAATGGTAGTAATATTTAAGTTGAATTTCTTCTTTAAAGTTTTCAACTTTTTTTTTCTTTTTTGCTTTTATCATTGTTTTTTCTAGCTTCTAACTATTTGCATTATTTGATGTAATTAATATATGAGAAATTATCACTAATAAAAAGATTAGGCTGAACTTTGTTACTATAGTATAATTCAATTTCAATTATATTAAATTTTATCAATGTAATTTCAATTTTGTTAGTTTTTGAATAAAAATGATGAAATTAAAATACTTAATGTAATATTATGTTAATATAAATGATAAATTTATGTTAATTTATGTAAAAAAAAAAAAGCAGTTAAAAAATAACATTGACCAATAAATAGAGTGATCAATTCCATTATAATCCTTAAAGAAAAAAGGTATCATTACTTGGAAAGTTGTTTTATACCTAATTACTTAGTTAATGAAATTAACTCCCTTGGCCGCCTAGCCATTACAAGTCTTAATGTCACATTGTCATCGATCGACATCTAAATTTTTCGTCATAGAACAGGCTTGCCCTTTGTCTAAGAAGAGTTTGCCTTACATCTTTATTGACATCTCGTCAAAATATCACTTTAAAATTATACATTTAATTTTAATTTATTTATAATTATTAAATATAATTTACGTTTATCTATAATTATTAAATACAATTTATAATTACCCACGTGTTCCTTCTTCGAGATCCATGTAGACTCATCATCGTAGGAGTAACTAAAAGGGTTGGCAGAGATCATGGCCCTCCAAAATTTTTTACACCATTAGCAGAATATTCAATCCCACCAAAAATAATACTTAATCCCATTTTTTATAGTAAAATTATTATTTATTCCTCATTTTTTATATTTTTGATTTCACCTCTACACATTATCAATGATCAATTATTTTAATTACATTATCACTTTTCATCTCATATATAAGATAAAAATAAATTCAAATATATATGATCTAAGTAAAATTTTTCTTAAAGCTTCGTGGTACCCTTAATTTACCTTTTTTCTCATCAAACATTTAAATATTTTTACTGACTCAAACATTAAAACACATCTTAAAAAATCAATTCCAACGTCCTTTACCATATTTTTTGACCTCAAGTCCAGACCTCTTTTCCACTAGCTAAATACTCAAAAGCAACGTCAACAGTTGTAATAATTGGCAATTTTAATAATTTATAGTGGCAAGTGAAGCTATGCCTATAAATTTATAGGTAATGGTTAATTTTAGCAGTGATGGAGCTGAAGACTACAACAGAGAAAAGAAATTTTATTGGTCATCGGATTCTTCTACTAAAATTATACTGCTCCTTGTCTTTTGTTTCGATCATTGGCGACCAAAACATCGGTGAGCATCAACATGGAGATATAAGCCAACAAAAAACGAAATGAAAGAAGCACCAGTAATAAGCTACATGCCAAAGACATGCCATGATGCATGCTTTCAACACATGGCTGTCGGGTTTTTTAATTTTCATTTTTTTTTATAATTATAATTTTATTTTTATCAATGGAATTAATTAAATTAATAAAATTCGGTTATATATGCTTGTATGCTTTTATTCGATTTTTATTATCAGGATTTTTTTTTTTAACGAATGAGATATAAATTCAATGTAAATCTTTATTGAGATTTGCAATGACCTTGAAATGATTTTCGTTACTCCTTTTGTCTTGATTTGTTTATTTTGTATTAAATTTTATAAAATTCAAGAAAAAAAATTTAATGTATTTAATAGTAAAATTAATTTTTTTATAAAATTAAAGTTTTATGATTTTTAATGTTAAAAAATAAAAAATTATAAAAAATAAAAATTGTAGATGTTTAAAAAAATAAGATATAATTTTGAAACATTTAATAAATAAATAAATAGAACAGAAGAAGTATAAGAAATTTGGTATGCTTCATTTGCATAATCAAAATAAATATTTATCATATTACCACGTTATTTCGAAATTAAATTTGACATTATCAAATTGTTATAAAACTGGACCGAAATTGAATTTTTAAAAATTCAATCCAAAAATCCACGTAATTACATGACATAAATTCCTCCTCGACATGGCTTGACTGAGTGAGTCTTCCAGATGATCTCAGTCAAATCTCTTTTGACCAATTATTTTTTTGGTTTTTCACTTTTGTCATCTGATCGTGTGGGTTTGAATCACGGATGCACAAATATCCAAAATCTGTCCAATCAATGTGATCTTGACATGTGTAAGATAATCGGTGGTGAATCTGCTGTACATTACCGTGTGATTTGCAGTAGAAGTGGGTCCTGACGGCTGAGATTTACTGGAGGACTGTGTTGGGACTCGGGAGAGTTGATGATATCGGAGAACAGCTGGATGTACTGAATCCTTACTACCGAACAGGATCCCAGGTTGGCCCCACCACACTGCATAAGATATTGTGATTTGTGCAAGTCAGCTAGCCACTAGGAAGGCTGCTTATCTCAGCCCGCAACTGCATGGTCAGCATTCGTTGCCACGTGGCAAACCACAAATGGTGATCATCGACCGGATTTACTACTTGTTTGGCAGCTTCGACTTATGTTCTTTTTCATGCATATATAAGGTACTAGGATCACTCAATCAGAGATGCAACGGAGTAGAATTGAATTTATATTATAAAAATTTTAAGTTTAAATTTAATTTTAAATTTATTTTAAATTTAGTTAAGTTTTAAAATTTAAATTTAAATAAATTTTAAATTCAAACTTAATTCAAAATAAAAATAAAATTATTTTAATTTGTTCAATTAAGTTTATCTATCAAATAAAAAGTAATTTTGATTTTTATGTTCACTTTAAATTCAATTATTTTTTTAAATTTAAGTTTAAATTCATATATTTAAAGATAAAATAATAATTTTTAATTAAATTAATTAAAATATATTAAAATATAAAATTTTAATTAAATTCATTAATTATTTAAATCAAATATTAAAAAATTTGAACTCAACTCATTAAGGCTTTATTTAGATAGATGATAAAAATAATTGTTGTGAGATTAAAAATAATAATAAAATTTATTGTAATTACGATTAAAAAATATATAATTATAATTAAAAAAATTTTAATGAAAATTTTATATTAATTTAATTTCATTAGAGTTAATGTTTAATTTAATTGAAAATACAATGAACTTAATTATATCGCATCGAAAATATAATAAAATCTAAACAATTATTAAATAAATCAAATTATTATTATTGAATCAAATTTAAATTTTATTTAAATTAAATCAAAATAATTTATGAAGTTGGATATATTATTTACTTCCCACTCGTCTTCCATCTCAAGGAATTGAAAAAACGAAAGCAAGAAGAAAATGGCAGGTCGGCATGGGGACGGCCTTACACGTGAGGGGGAAAAAAATGAAACATTTCTCTCGAATTCCATCTTCCTGGTTCTATTAAAAACAATTTTCTAGCAGTTTTTTTTTTAAATTAAAAAAAAAAAGGAAAAAAAGGTTAAAATTATGGTGACGGAGGTCAGAAACAATTAATGTGCGCAGGTAATTAATGGCCATCTTTCCGGTACAGCTTTTCGACAAAGGTACGGACACGTATATCGCTTTAGAATCAATGCTGAATGGGTTTCCATTTGGTTTCTTTTTCGTTATTATGTTCTTTCAGTCAATGCCTCTATGGGTGGTCGGCACGATTAATGCTATAAATTATATTAACCCTAATTAAAAAATAAATCATGTATAAATCTTTTCACTCCATGATAAAAAATAAATAAATAATGGGCTAAGTATAAAAATATACTTAGTCAAATTAAAAAAATATTACTACTAAAACATTTAATTTAAGATATATTTGAAAATATGATAAAAACTTTTCACCTACAATACTTATATAATAAAATATTTTTATAATAAAGTTATATCATATTTTATACGATATTTTTATTTTCTAATAATGAGCTTCAATATCATCGTATTAAAATCTCATTTGGGGTCTGAAAAAATATTTGGTATTTTGAATAAAATATTTTATTAGATCACAATTAGATAAAAGTAGTTATCAAATTGGAATTTTAAAATTTGTTGACATCAACCAAAGATTTTCATGTGGTTTGATCATGAAGAGACACTGCTCTTGCCATAAAACTTATTTAAAAAACAATCAATTTATATAAAAATTATATCATAATTCGTATTCTCATAAAAATATAAAATGTATTTTTTATTTTATTAAATTCATATATAATTATTATTAAAATTTTAAATCATACTATTTTTATATTTTTTATATCATATTTAAATTATATTATTATATCATATTTTAAATTATCATATTTATAAATCAAATTCATGATAAAAAAATTATTGATTTTAAAATTTTGAAACCCCGACCCAAACTCATAATCATTATTTTTAGTTTCAAATAGCTTTGATACCAAGATTTTATACCCATCATGAAACTAACCGTTAAAGAGATCTGTCCAACCAACCCTAATTGTTTTTCCACCAACCTTGTTGAATTTAATTTCAGGTTGCTTGCTTCTCAAAGTTGTCAATCTTAAACTTGTGTGTTAAACTTCCAAAACTTAAGCAAATATGATATTTGTCTCATACTATATCTTTAGGAACATGTTTGTCTCCTTCTTGGTAGCCAACCCTTTTATTAATTTTCTCCTTTTGATTACCATTTAATAATTTAGATTGAATTATCAACCTAATAGCTCTCTTATAAGTTACAATTTAGACATATTTGTGGTTAGTTACAAGTGTTAATTAATTCTTTTTTTTTGTTTAAAATGAGATTTAAAAAAATCAATAATATTTTAATTTATTAATAAACTATTGAGTTATAAAAAAAAAATTGACGATGACAAAACTTTTCATTTTCCAAAGCAAATTGAAGAAAATAATCAAAGAGCACCTTGGTGGAAAACCCAAGGTATCAAACACAATTTTTTGATAAAATTTGCAGTTGGGATTCATTAATTGTGTATATAAAATGTTTTTGATCATTTTTTTTTTTTTTGTTTTAAGAGGACAGAGTCTTATAATAAAAAAAATGGAGAAAGACTAAGGTCGAATCCCAAATTTATCTTCTTAAATTTTGTTTTGACCATTAAATTAAGCAACCGAAGATAAAATGTTATTGATCATTAGAAATCATTAGGGTAAACTTAAAGCATACATTGTTTTGAAAAGCAAGTTCAAGGTTTTGTTATCCTACCTTTCGTGTCATTGCTTTGAGTTAATAATTTCTATTTTAATCTTTTACCAGGCTCCTCTCTTGTCCCCACAAAGCTTCAAATAGAAGCTGGCTAACCAAACCAAAGTGCAAAGAATTCATGATTAAGCAGATTTGCCTGCTAATGATAATAACAATATTGATAATATCTATTAATTAATTTAATAAGAATTCAAGATTGAATTTGTCAACACTTTTGAAGAAAATGAAATATATATAGCTATTATTTTCTCATTTATTATAAAAAAATTACTAAATTATGATACACATAAGATCGAATCATAATTTTTATCAATCTTAAATGCAATATATCAATGTAAGAATTATTTTGACCATATTACCATTTATCCTTAGTAAGGAGTGACAAAATGTTCAATAAAATCATTTTAGATTAAAACAAATTTATATTATTTTAATTTTAAAATGTCGACTTTTAAAATTATAACACTTTAATCTCATATGAAAGATTACATGAATTTATTATAATATATAAGTAAAAATTTAAATTAAAATTTGTTAAAAGTATTTTATAAGACAAAATCATAAAATTTTCGAATTAAAATGAATAATAACTCACATATTTAATGCAAATATTCACAAATAATATCAGAACGATCATTAATTCATTTATGAAAACTTACACTTAATTTATAAAATATTATTCATTTTGATTGAAAGATTCATAATTTTATTTTATAAAAAATTATTCATAAATTTGAGTTTAAATTTTTACTTATATATCGTAATAAATTCACAGAATTTAGATTGAAATATTACCAAAGTCTAATGAATTAAAATTTGAATCGCTTAAAATTAATTTTTGGGTCATCCGAATTTTAGACAGATTCAATTTCGGTTTGAGATGTTTCGGGTTTGGGTTTAGCGGGTTCGGGTTTTACGTATAACCAAAGAAGGAAAGGTGGGCTTGGGTTTATAATTCAACTTAGTCAACAACCTTCAAAACTGTTTTTCCTCAAGGCCCAAAACTAACCGTTTGACAAAAGTTCAAACGTAAAAGTCAAACGCAACACCAAAACAAAACTCAAAACCATCTTCCACGAAACACTCTCCGACAGCTCCAACCGTCATCATCGCATCACCGCCGTCAATGCTGCTCATCCCTTTAATTCTGCTCCCCGTCCTTCTGCTCCTCCTCTTCTTCATCGTCCGCCCCCGTCCGGTCACCATCCCAATAAAAAACCGCCACGTGTTCATAACAGGCGGGTCAAGCGGCATCGGGCTTGCCTTAGCTCACCAGGTCGCTTCCCAAGGAGCCCGAGTCTCCCTCTTAGCTCGATCTCTCAACAAACTCGAAGAAGCGAAAGAGTCGATTCCCCTTTCTTCCGGGGTCGACGTTTCGATCTTTTCCGCTGACGTTCGTGACTACGACGCCGTTCACAGGGCGGTTAACGACGCGGGACCCATCGATGTGCTGGTGGTCAACCAAGGGGTCTTTGTGCCTCAGGAGCTGGAGAAGCAGGGATTGGATGAGGTCAGGTTTATGATAGATGTGAATTTGATGGGTAGTTTCAATGTCATCAAAGCTGCTTTGCCGTTGATGAAGGAGAGGAAGGACCGCCGACCCACCTCCATCGCTCTTATTTCTTCCCAAGCTGGTCAGGTCAGTAGCCGAATCATTGAACTTTGTTGTTTAGTTACAAAGGATTTGTTTTGTTGCTTATTTTGACCAATGCTTTTTTCTTTTTTAACTTTAGTCATCTGATCATGTGGGTTTGAATCACAGATGCACAAATATCCAAAATCTGTCCAATCAATTGTGATCTTGACATGTGTAAGATATTAGGTGGGGAATCTACTGTACATGACCGTGTGATTTGCAGTAGAAGTGGGTCCTAACGGCTGAGATTTACTGGAGGACTGTGTTAGGAGAGTTGGTGATATCGGAGAACAGCTGGATGTACTGAATCCTTACTACCGAACAGGATCCAAGGTTGGCCCCACCACACTGCATAGATTTTGTGATTTGTGCAAAGTCAGCTAGCCACTAGGAAGGCTGCTTATCTCAGCCCGCAACTGCATGGTTAGCATTTTGCCACGTGGCAAATCACAAATGGTTATCATATACCGGATTTACTACTTGTTTGGTAGCTTCGACTTGCGTTCTTTTTCATGCATATGTAAGGTATCAGGATCACTCACAATTACTTATGTAATCGAGTTGAATTTAGTTTATACAGTAAAATTTTTAAATTTAAATTTAATTTAAAATTTATTGAGTTTTAAATTTTAAATATAATTAAATTTTAAATTTTAAACTTAAATTTGATTTGAAATAAATGTAAAATTATTTTGATTTTATTAGGTTTATTTTTCAAATAAAAAATAATTTTGATTTTCAAATTTAACTTTCAATTCGATTATCTTTTTGAATTTGAATTCATATATTTAAAAATAAAATAATAATTTTTATTTAAATAATAAAAATATATATTAAAATATAAAGTTTTAATTAAATTTATTAATTATCCAAATTAAATATTAAAAAATTTAAAATCTACTTACTCAATAATTTAAATTGTTCGAATATAATAATTAAATAAATTTAAATTTTATTTAAATTAAGTCTAAATAATTTATGATATATTATTTACTCCTACTCGTCTTCCCTCTCGAGTCTCGAGGAATAGAAAAAACCAAAACAAGAAGAAAATGGCAGGTCGGCATGGGGACGGCCTTACACGTGATGGGGAAAAAATGAAACATGTATCCGGAATTCCATCTTCCTCGTTCTATTAAAAACAAATTTTTACAGCTTTTTTTTATTTGAAAACACCAAAAAAAAAAGGAAAAAAAAGTTAAAATTACGGTGATGGAGGTCAGAAACAATTAATGTGCAGGTAATTAATGGCCATCTCGAAGTTCGAATTGACCATCTTTCCAGTGTCAGCTTTTTCGACTAATGTACGGACAGCTATATCGCTTCAGAATTCAATGCTACATGGTTTCCATTTGGTCTCTTCTTAGTTATTATGTTCTTTCAGTCTATGCCTATATGGGTCGTCGGCACGATTAATGCTATAGATTATATTAACCCTAATTAAAAAAGTAAACCATGTATAAATCTTTTCACTCCATGAAAAAAATAGTTCTAAAGAAGGGTTAAGTATAAAAATACTTAGTCGAATTAAAATATATTAGTATTAAAATATTTAATTTAGGATATATTTGAAAATATGATAAAAAAATTTCACCTACAAAACTTATACAATAAAATATATTTTTTAATAAATTTATATCATATTTTATATAACATTTTTATTTTTTCTTAATGATGAGCTTCAATACGGTCGAATTAAAATCTCATTTGGTATTTTGAATAAAATATTTTATTTCATCACAATTAGGTAAAAGTAGTTATCAAATTGAAAATTTAAAATTTGTTGATATCAACCAAAGATTTTTCATGTGGTTTGATCGTGAAGAGAGGCTGCTTTCGCCATACAACTTATTTAGAAAACAATCAATTTTGATTCTTTTAAATTCGGCCAAAATGATAGTATTAAAATTATCTATAGTAATATTCTTAATTAATTCTCGGATGGCCATTTTATTAATTGACTCCTTTGGCCCATTGTACTTGGTTGGAGAGATCATTCTATTTGTCTACCACGTATGAGACAATGGAGAAACCGCTATGATCCGAAAATTTAAAATCACATTTTACAAAAGTGTAATATCTATTTTTATTAGAAAATATAATTGTATCAGGTGTAGATAAACGAAAATTATTTATAAAATATTGCATTTTTATTTCTTTTTATCTATGAGTTCTAGATGAAGAGGTTCGTGAATTTAGAATAAAATTAACAAAATGATAATAAGATTGATTATCACCTATATTTTGTTGACATGGATTATCTCTTGCAAAAATAAAAATTTGACTCGTACCTGTATGGCTTATGCTGTTTGTTCTTTGAAGATTTTTTGCATTAGTTGTACTTGGAAATCCTGAAAAAGAACTCCTTTGGCCCATTGTACTTGGTTGGAGAGATCATTCTATTTGTCTACCACATATAAGACAATGGAGAAACCGTTATGATCCGAAAATTTAAAATCATATTTTACAAAAGTGTAATATCTATTTTTATTAGAAAACATAATTGTATCAGGCGTAGATAAACGAAAATTATTTATAAAATGTTGCATTTTTATTTCTTCTTATCTATGAGTTCTAGATGAAGAGGTTCGTGAATTTAGAACAAAATTAACAAAATGATAATAAGATTGATTATCACTTATATTTTGTTGAGATGGATTATCTCTTGTAAAAATAAAAATTTGAGTCGTACCTATATGGCTTATGCTGTTTGTTCTTTGAAGATTTTCTGCACTAGTTGTACTTGGAAATCCTGAAAAAGAACTTCTATAAGGAGTATAAAAGGATTGATTACTAGTTATACTCTCAATATCATCATCTTTTTTATATTCAAAAATATTTATTGGAGGTAAAACCAGGTTAGGATTAAAACTGGTTAAGGAATGCAGATTTTTGAAGTAAATATTTTTTTCTGACGAGAAAAATTTTAAACTTTGTACTTTCTATTTTTCAGAAGGATCTGAAATATCTTCGAGACACCATCTTTATAGGACAGATAAATCTTCGAGTTTGATTAATTTTGATTTAATTTCAGAATCAAAACTATTTGGTTCAAATAGTTCAATAATATTATAGTCTATCGGTTTGATAGAAGTATTTGTAGTATTTGTAAATTTATAAATTACAGACCAGTTGATTGAAAGATCATGCGATTTTTATGCAATATTAGAATTTGTTATTTTGACACGAAGACATAAATATTTTTCAATATTTTCATCAAAAATAGAAATAAAATAGTTTGGTTTAACTTTAAATAAAATAACACTAGCAATTAAATTGGATTGGATACCTTCAATTATAGCATTAGTAGGATTTTGAAAACGATTATCCATTAAGACAACTATAATAGGAATATCTTTGGTAGATAAGAATAAAGGTTTAATAGTAATCAAAATCATACCAATATGAATATATTTAACTTTAGCCTATTTTTTCAAAAAATGGTTTATTTTTTGTTTGGTGAAAAGGGAATTTCCACTTATCTATGTATAAAGGTTTTTTATAGAAGAGATATTTAATTTACAATAATGGAGGATGGTAAGTAAGAAAAAATGGTAAGTATGAGAGAGAGGAAATAAGAAAGAAGTAAGGAGTTAGTGGAAAGAAAAAGCCTCATCAAGCTAATTACAACACAAGCTTAAACAAACAAAGCATAAACAGTAACTATGTACAGTAGAATTTTATCTACAGTACTATTACAGTGACATGTTACAGTGATTTTGATGGTAGGTCTTTATCTTTTTCTCTACAATGATTGTTATAAGAGATTTTATCGTGAATAGTAATTACTACAGTATCACTGATCTTTGGCTCCAAACATCTTTGTCTTTTTATGTCGACAGTTAAGATTAGCTTAAATTTGGCTTATTTTGGTTGAAATTTTAACATGATATTCTGATTTTAGATTTATCCTTCCATTGCATTGTCCAGGTTTTGGAGTTCCACTCATTCTTCATCCAATGTTTGGTGAGATTGAGGAGAACCGGCTCTAGAGTAGTTTTACATTTTCCATCATTCTTGATACTGGTATAACATCTCTGTAGATTTATCAATATCTTCCATTTGGGAAAATTTTTGAAGAAGATCCAGGGCTTCTGGTTGAGTCTGAAAAGATTATTAAAATGATGCATAATAACTTATTACAAAAATTTAGCGTCCATATGTTTGAAGAACAACTTTTGGTAAGCCATTGTTGTTGGCTAACCGAAGTAGAGATGAAGCTTTTTTCATCATATTAATTCATGTTTGAAATTGGTATTGTGTTGGATTTAAAAATTTTGAAACTAAAATATTTAAAGTTTCAGGTATTTCAAAGGCTTCAGTGGTAGGATTTAGATCAAGGTCAGAAAAGACTTTTTTCATTTCCCAGATTTGGTATGGTTTAAAAAATCTTTCTCATTGATAGCAGCCAAAGAGACTGGTGATGGAAAAATGAATATAGAAAAAATAGTTGTTATGTTTTACAGCTTTATAAAAATGGTGTTTGATAAAGGCTGGAAAGTCTTTGATCAAATCAAAAAAGAGGTTTTGGATAGTGATTTGACCAACTAATCCATGTTCAATACTGGTTATATCAAAAGGTTCGTGATTAAGTCTAAGTTTAATTTTTGGAATATGATCCCCAGTAGTAGTTGTATGAATATAAAGGGAATAATAATAATAAAATTTTTTTTTCAATCAATAGTTTTTCTGTTATTTGGATAATGGAAAAATTTATTTGTTGAAAAAGTTTTCTAGTTAAGAACTGAGCAGCTTTTTCAAAAAAAAGAATCATCTTGAGCTTGTTTAGCTTAGAAGAGTTTTTAGATTCAAAATATTCACAAAGCGTTAAAAAATTATTTATTTCTTCAACACTGTATTTATTTTCTTCCAAAGCAAAGAAATCAATATCCTGTTGTTTTAACAGGTTAGAGTCAAGAAGGCTTTGGAAAGCTGTTTCTTTAAAACTCTGAAATTCTTAAGTCTATTTAACTAAGAATTCAGCTAACTTGGTCATCCCTTTACGAAAGCTAGATTTGTTTGCTGAAATATGGGATTTTCAAACATTGTTTAGTAAATCATAGACTTGTGATTCAAGTCAAGGATTATAAAAATCTTTTATTTCTAGGCTAAAAACTTTGGTTTCATTTAACAGGTGTTCTGTAGAAGAAACTATTTCAGAATAGCTCATAGGAGTCCATTTATTTGGATCCTAAAAAAAAAGAGAGAGATCTGATTGAGTTCTCAAAGGAGACGACATGTATGGCGGTCTAAAATTACAGGATTAATAGTAAAATAATCATTGGTTAGGATCATTATAAAAACCAAAGCCATGATTAAGATTTACAAATAAAGAAGAAGATCTAAGAGAAGCAAGGGTAGAAGAAAACAAAGAAGACGAACCCTTTTTAGGTTGTTTTGTCTTGATTGTTCTCCATTCTCCAGGACTCTTGTGATGAGTTTTTCCTCGATCTATGAGGCCTGCTAAAAAAATATGCTAGAATATTTTTATCAGAATTGATAAATTCAACAAAAAAGTTATATTGACAAAAAAAACTATACCACTTGATTCGTCTGGGATTGTCTGAAAGTTTTCTATTATTGAAAAAAATTTGGGACTGCCTGGTTATCTATTTTTATAACAAATATTTTAGGGGTAAGATAAATATAAAATCACTGTACACCATTCTTTCATCTGATGAAAGAATTTTAAAATTATCATCTATTATATCATCATCTACTTCAAAACTACTGACACTGGTTGTGTCATAATTTAACATATATTGATAATTGTATTTTTGAAAAAATCCTTTATGTTCTTTGTAAAATGTTTCAATAGCATGAAGATAGTCAACCTGTTGTTTTAGATCTTCAAAATTTTTAATTTTATACTTAAAATTCTCAATTAAATATTTATAAGAATCAAAATCAAAATTTTCTTGTTTCGCCTTTGCTGAAAAAGATGAAGGATTATCATCAACCATCATAATATTACCATAATAAAGAGGTTCAAAGTCTATAAATGTATATGAAGGAACATGTCTTTGATCTATTTTTTTTACAAGTAAGTCTATTTTATCTTCAATATTATCCATTTTTACAAATATATATATATTTTATTAAATTCATATATAATTAATACTCTTTATATTATATTCGAACTATATCATTACATCATATTTTAAATTATCATATTTATAAATCAAATTCATGGTAAAAAAATTGATTGATTTTAAAATTTTGAAACCCCAACCAAAGTCATAATCATTGTATTGAATTTCAAATTACTTTTGAAATCCCTCGTGAAACTAACCGTTAAAGAGATCTGTCCAACCAATCCTAATTGTTTTTCTACCCACCTTGTTGAATTTAATTTCAGGTTGCTTGCTTCTCCAAGTTGTCAATCTTAAACTTGTGTGTTAAACTTCCAAAACTTACGCAAATATGATATTTGTCTCATACTATATCTTTAGGAACATGTTTGTCTCCTTCTTGGTAGCCAACCCTTTTATTAATTTTCTCCTTTTGATTACCATTTTATAATTTAGATTGAATTATCAACCTAACAGCTCTCTTATAAGTTACAATTTAAACATATTTGTGGTTAATTACAAGTGTTAATTAATTCTATTTTTTTATTTAAAATGGGATTTTAAAAAATAAAAATCAATAATATTTTAATTTATTAATAAAATACTGAATTATAAAAAAAAAATGACGATGCCAAAACTTTTCATTTTCCAAAGCAAAGGAAAGAAAATAATCAAAGAGCACCTTGGTGGAAAACCCAAGGTATCAAACACAAATTTTTGTGTAAAATTTGCAGTGGGGATTCATTAATTGTGTATAAAAAATGTTCTTGATCATTAGAAATCATTAGGGTAAACTTAAAAGCATACATTGTTTTGAAAAGCAATTTTTTTTTTGGTTGGGGGGGGGGGCAGAATTTGAAAAGCAAGTTCAAGGTTTTGTTGTCCTACTTTTCGTGTCATTGCTTTGAGTTATAATTTCTATTTTAATCTTTTACCAGGCTCCTCTCTTGTCCCCACAAAAGCTTCAAATAGAAGCCGGCTAACCAAGCCAAAGTGCAAAGAATTCATGATTAAGCAGATTTGCCTGCTAATGATAGTAACAATATTGATAATATCTATTAATTAATCTAATAAGAATTCAAGATTGAATTTGTCAACACTTTTGAAGAAAATGAAATATATATAGCTATTATTTTCTCATTAACTATAAAAAAAATTGCTAAATTATAATATGCATAAGATCGAATCATAATTTTATCAGTCTTAATTAATAGATCAATACAAAAATTATTTTGATCGTATTATCATTTATTTTTAATAAGGAGTGACAAAATATTCAATTAAATCATTCTAGATTAAAAAAAATTTATATTATTTTAATTTTAAAATATCACCTTTTAAAATTATAACACCCTAGTCTCGTACGAAAGATTATGTGGATTTGTAAGTAAAAACTTAAACTCAAACTTGTTAAGAGTATTTTATAAGATAAAATCATAAGATTTCAAGTTAAAACGAATAATATCTTATAAGTTAAGTATAAGTCTTCACAAATGGTATTAAAACGATTACTAATTTATTTGTGAAAATTTATATTTAATTTATGTGGTATTGATTGTTTTGATTGAAAGATTTCATGATTTTATTATACAAAAAATTCTTTACAAGTTTGAATTTAAATTTTTATTTATATATCATAATAGATTCACAAAATCTTTTAATATGATATTGAAATGTTACAAAAATCTAATCAATTAAAATTTGAATCGCTTAAAATTAATTTTTGGGTCATCCGAATTTTAGACAGATTCAATTTCGGTTTGAGATATTTCGGGTTTGGGTTAGCGGGTCGGGTTTTACGTATAACCAAAGAAGGAAAGGTGGGCTTGGGTTTATAATTCGACTAAGACAACAACCTTCAAAACTGTTTTTTCCTCGAGGCCCAAAACTATCCGTTTGACAACAAGTTCAAACGTAAAAGTCAAACGCAACACCAAAACAAAACTCAAAACCATCTTCCACGAAACACTTTCCGACAGCTCCAACCGTCGTCACCGCATCACCGCCATCAATGCTGCTCATCCCTTTAATTCTGCTCCCCGTCCTTCTCCTCCTCCTCTTCTTCATCGTCCGCCCCGTCCGGTCACCATCCCAATCAAAAACCGCCACGTGTTCATAACAGGCGGGTCAAGCGGCATCGGGCTAGCCTTAGCTCACCAGGTCGCTTCCCAAGGAGCCCGAGTCTCCCTCTTAGCTCGATCTCTCAACAAACTCGAAGAAGCGAAAGAGTCGATTCGCCTTTCTTCCGGGGTCGACGTTTTGATCTTTTCCGCTGACGTTCGTGACTACGACGCCGTTCACAGGGCGGTTAACGACGCGGGACCCATCGATGTGCTGGTGGTCAACCAAGGGGTCTTTGTGCCTCAGGAGCTGGAGAAGCAGGGATTGGATGAGGTCAGGTTTATGATAGATGTGAATTTGATGGGTAGTTTCAATGTCATCAAAGCTGCTTTGCCGTTGATGAAGGAGAGGAAGGACCGCCGACCCACCTCCATCGCTCTTATTTCTTCCCAAGCTGGTCAGGTCAGTAGCCGAATCATTGAACTTTGTTGTTTAGTTATAAAGGATTTGTTTTGTTGCTTATTGATTGAACTTTGTAACATGGGTATTTAGGTGGGAATCTATGGTTACACAGCTTACTCCGCCACTAAATTTGGACTGCGGGGATTAGCAGAAGCATTGCAGCAGGAAGTCATTGCTGATAATATTCATGTCTCTGTTATATTCCCACCAGATACTGACACTCCTGGTCTTGAGCAAGGTTGAGACCCTTTTCTTTGAGCCTTTTACCGCTTTTAAATTGCTTTGCATTTTGTGTAGTTGTGAGATGTCATCATTCTGCATTGTTATTAATCAGTTTATGTTATTTTGGATGTTTATAATAATGGGATTGATGGCTAATGATGCATTATGTAACGCAATTGTAGCTATCAATCTAAATAGGCATAGAGAAGTTCAGATGGTAGTTATTGTTAGTGTTTCTTCATTGATTCCAATGCAATCAAAAAGGTTTTTCTCTCCATGACAAGCATATTTGAAATGGGAATCATTGATCAATTAAAGTACCTCATACTACCTTTTGCTACCTCCAATTATGTTTCTCAATAGTAAATTGGAGTATGCGATAACTATAGCTCATTGGTGTTGCTTATCAAGCATTTGCATTTATTTGCTAAAAGCTGACCTTTGGCAGAAAATAAAGTTAGACCAGAGCTCACAAAAATACTAGCAGGCTCCTCTGGTTCAATGAAAGCTGATGAAGTTGCCAAGAAAGCTTTAGATGGCATCAAATCTGGAAGTTTCATTGTCCCTTGCAACTTTGAGGGGCACATGCTCGCCATAGCTACTTCTGGTTTATCCCCTCAGAGATCTTTCTTGATGGCATTTGTTGAGGTGGTTTTTGCTGGTATATTACGTCTTATAGCTTTATTTTTCCAATGGAACTGGTATGGGAGCATAGAACAGTGGCATGCGAAAAGAAAAGGTAAGCATACAATAAAAGAGTTCTCTATTTATACCCCAGGAGGAAAGATACATTGCCTACTTTATTAGACTTAGTTTTGTCTATTTATTATTTTAAGTTGTTTTTTGCGTGTCAAGTTGAATGATGAAGAACTTGAGACCAGATTAATTTCAAGGGATAGCATTTAATTTTAATTAAAGTTTTTAGATTGTTCCTCTAAGGTATTGTGGATATGAGAATATTGTGTTAGACTCTTATCTGTCAATTATTGATGAAATTAAATTTTGCCATTTCCTATCTTTCAAGAATTAGGAATTTGCATGAATGTTGCTCCAAAGAGGTGGTCTTCCCTCTGTTTAATTATTAAAATCTTATGGTTGATAGCAATTTACACTAAAGCATCGTGTTTGGATGAGTATGATTTGGTAGATAGATCATTTTCGAGTGAGATTCCTTGCCAAAACTTAAAATGATAGTTTTTCCATCCTAAATCTTGAGAACCAAAAAACTAAGATTGCTAGTATCATATTATCAGCAGGGGTATCTACTCCTGTGGTACAAGGTAAAAACTGTTATAAATCAGAATACAAATCATATTCCTCTAAGCATACCATGTTTGCTTTACTAAGGAAAATTCACAGTTAAGTGTTTAGTGGTGAAGTTATGTCTAACGAATCTTTGAATCACTTAGTGCTTGATTGTGTTGTTGGATACTCTTTTTATGCATGATTGTTACACCTTTTATTGTGTCAAAACTGTTAGGGGTAATAATGTCCTGATAAAATGTTTTCTGTTTGTTTTCTTGATTTCAGAGACATAAAATTCCTGGTTGCTTGATATGGATCGGCATTCCTTCTTCCAGCATATCTGTTGCTTACTTCTAAGATCTCATGGATGTGGATCTTTGAATAATAACAAGTTTCAGCATTCAACCTTCAGAAACTGAAGCTCTCCCGCATTCTCCATCTAATACTCTGAATGTTACAACTAATGTGATGTTGATCCAATAGATGGACACCATAATTTCTCATTTGAAGTTTCAAATTAGCTATTTCTAGAAGTAGATGTAAGCAAATTTTGATAAACTGAATAGCTGCAACCATCATCGCTGGAGCATGTTATAGCGTGTATTACAAGTTGTCAATAGAATTTGGAGATATACAATTTTTCCAAGAATTATGGAGTTTTAATCGAGAAAACCGTCTTGTACCTCGATAAACAATTCTTGTCTATTTACTCTTTGTTTCACCCATATTACTTTGATCACAGCATTGATGGTTATTCTTGTATTTCATTTATGTTCCTTGGCAGAAATGAAACTTAAAATGGGAAAGTAAGATCTGAGTTGGGAGATAAGCTTCGGATTTATTGTTCCTCAGATATGTATCTGCTATTTTAGATTTACTGGAGTTTGTACATAAAGAAGTATTCAATGACATAGCAGTAACTTAAAACATTGAAGGGGCTTACGTTGTTTAGCAGAGAGGCCAAGACCATAAATTTATAGGCCTATGGCAATATCCAATGGAAAGGGTAGACAACTGGGGAAAAACACTTAGGTACAAGAAAAAGATACAGTGAAGCAGAGCAAACAAATTCCTCTTTTTGTTTCAAAACGTCTGATTCTATAGGTAAGTATTTTCTTCCTTTCTGTTTACATTATTGTACATTGGAGTGGGCAGTGGATATCCTGTTTTGGCCTTTTGGGGTAGGAAAATCAGGAAGGGGTGGCCAATGGCCTCCAGTTGGTGGGTCATATGCCGTACAAAAAACAAAAGCATACTTTGAATTTGAACGTCAGTTCCATTTTCTTAGGACATATGCACCTTAACTGTCCCTGCAGGGCCACAAAGATAAAAAAGTAAAGAGAGCAGAAGACAAACTGCAAGTAGGGTTGGTGGCATCTTCAAGAGTAGGGGTAGCCCTAAACCCTTTCATTTTCATAAAAATCCTGTCCATAGAATTAAATCATTTATGAATCTATTGTCATTCCTTTATTCAATGGATGAGCAAATAACAGTAGGGGTAGCCCTAAATCCTTTCATTTTCATAAAAATCCTATCCATATAAGACACAAGTTGGAAGTTAATTTTTAATATAACCATCAAACTTAGGGGCTAGGTCTTGAAATCAAGACCCTGCCGTAAATGCAAACATTTCAAATTTGTGCTGGTGGGATGTGGGTGGGGGGTGGATTTAAGCAAAGCAATTTTGTCTTTGCAGCAGCTCTATCATCAGATGCAATGGTGGTCCCTTTTAAATCCTTGTCCTATCTCTTTAACACTTTATGCTTTTCATAACTTCCATGTCATTAAATCTTTTTTGTGTCATGCCCAGATATCAAATCGTAAAATGATCATATTATTTTAAAAAAATTTCAAAGTAATACGAAATTTTTTTTCTTAAACATTCTAAAATTTTTCAATAAAATAATTTACTAAATAAAATTTATATCTTTAATTCAATTGATGATACATCTTTATATATCCAAATACAAACCATATAAAATATAAAATTACCTCTTAAAATCTCATTTGTCAATATAAAATATAGTCAGGGTCGTATGATCATATCTTTGCTAACTACTATTATCCGTTAGCCAGGGTTGTAGAACTAGTTTTGGTGTCGATGATCCCACTTCCCAGAGATATAAAAACGTAACCATCACAAAATTATTCTTTAAACATAAATCATTTTCTCATTTTATTCATAAGCATGATCCATCATTTATATAGAAAAACTCAAAATAATCATATGCTTGATCCTATTTTCATACATCCAAAATAATGAAATAAAATATTCATTCATTTACAAACATACATATATACATAGATTCGAAAACAAGTAAAGTGTGTGAGATTCTACTTACCTCCATTCGATTTCACCACTTAGTTTTTCTCCCAAAATAATTAATGGCCTATCCAAGATCATTTCAATAGATCAGAATTTAATCAACCATTTTTGAGACCATTTATACAAAAATCAAGTAAGTTACACAAAGGGTTAACTTAACTAATTAATACTGATAGCCTGACCTCTTTTCATTAAAACAGTCATATTTCAATATATCTAAATTCGGAATTATGATCTCTTTAATACGTTAAAAATTAGACTTGATAAGCTTTCTAACCATATATGGCAAACCTCGTAATTCCTTGTAAATTAATTATAACAATTTTTGAAATCCACGTCATATACTGCTGCCAAACAGACTGTATACCTTTTAATAAAAATTATATATTTATTCACAAGAAACTCCAAATTCAATTCTGCTTATTTCATTTAAAAGTAGACTCAATAAGCTTTTCAAACATATATGGCTTAATCTGTAAATCCTTGTATACAAATTAAGAAGAATTTCGTAATTCAACCTTGATGCTGTTGTCTTACAGCCTGCATATCTTTAAGTTAAAATTAGACAACTCTTCATAGAAAACTCGGATTTGACTTTCGTTTGTTTCATTAGAAACTAGATTCAACATGCTTTCCAATGATATATAATAATCATAGTAATAATCTATCCATTAATACAAAATTCTATTTTAATTCATTATTACAGATCACAACATCTCATCCAAAAATAAAATTTCTCCTTCAATCTTTAAAAACTCAAATCCTTACTTTCAGCCTTCAAATTCCATTCAATAATCATCAATAAATTTTAAGAACATGAAATAAAAAAAAGCTCAGTAATTTACCCAAATAGATCATGAAGATTAATGAAAGATTTCATGATTTTTCTTGGTTTTTGCTCTCAAAACTTCAACTCCAAATAATAGTAATCAACTTGATATTTCTTTTTAAATAAAAGGAGGGCATGTACTCACCTTTAAGGGATTAACTTTATTGTAGCCTCTGATTGTGAATCTCTAACTTGATTTTTTATATTCTCTAATCCTTAAGGAAGATGAGGAAAAAAAACTCTATTTCCTTTCTGTTTCACAATAATTAGGTTTTCTTTCATCTAAAACTTTAATTCTTTTTTTTTACTAAATAATGTCTTAATAAACTGATAAACTTTAATATTAATCTAATCAAATTATTATTTGAGCTGAGGTATTACACTTTGCCTTATCTAGGAAACTAAACTGTCTTAATGCACAAGATGCTAAGTTTTCACTGGTAATAGTACCATTATCAGGGCCTAAAAATAAGAGATCACTTTTCTAATTATTGACCGTCTTTGTTTGTCTGTCATGGGATGGAATCTTGCTTCCTTGATTGCTTAGTGATTAACTTTTTGTTTTTCATTAATCATTTGTTATATAGGAAATTTAACATGCTAAGTGTCATAGTCTAAAGAATAGCTATAACCTTTACATCGATTATATATTAGAGTTCAATTTAAAATAAATATTCATATTACCTTTAATTTATGAAATAAGATAAAATTGTGAAACTTAATGAATTGATACGAACAATTCTTACAAATTGACGTGAATTATGATATTAAACTTCCCTAGAACTCTAATGAAACTATGCTGAAACATGGTCTACCCTCGGCATATTGATTCAGGATGATATGGATTATGTTTAGTACTTTTCTTTTCAGAAGGCTAACTGATAAACGTCTTTGCCCTTTTCTGGCAAAAGAGAAAATATACCCAGTTCAAATGGCTTCATCTCATAAAAGGTCATCTTTGATTTCTGAACTTGCAAAACCTGAGTGGGAAAAAAAGGCAGAAATGCATTTCCATCATCTCATAGCCAAATATTGATGATTGGGTCCCATGAAAATCTCTGTACACCGTAACACAAAGCTGGCTTATTGTTAAACTGAGAAGAAGATATTTGCAATCATGTTATTGTGTATGAACTAGGATGGCCTTGACTGAGTCAGATGCCATATCCAAATATGAAAATTTCAAGCCAGCTGCAGTGGCCCCCCGCTAACATACCACTTTGTCAGGGCAGCTCCACCACCACAAACCACTTTATGCTTCACTTTAAAGGCGCGTCAATGGAATCATGTTCCATAAAAACATGCAAAGATTCTCAAAAAACACTAATATAAATATAAAATGATTGTGTTCATAGAGAGAAATATATATGACTATAAGAAAAAGAGACTAAAGATCCACGGTTATTAGGTATGTTGTGAAGTGGGATTTTGGAGTTTGGTGATTCAAAGCATGTGCAATTGCGCGTGGTTAAGTTGTTATAGTGATCATGCATGAGATTCCAAGGCTAATTGTAAATCTTGCCTTCAAACAGGCTGTCCAAAGGGCGTGGGGTCCCAGGATTAGAGGGCCAAAGCTTTTTGCAGTAATCCAAGTTCGAATGATGATGCCTGCTGCTTTATCCCCCTTAAGCCCTTTGGTTTATTTATTCTGTGCTACTTTTAGTTACTCAAAGGACATTGAAATTGCTTTATCTTTTTGCCATATTTAATAATGCCTTACTGCTAAACAAGGACAGAGAAAATTCAACTTCAGATTTTGCATATGATTTCCCTATGATGACTATTGTAATTTTCTCACTAGACAAAAGCTTCATTGACTTATATGTAGAGTTAAACCTTGGAAAACATAGATAAACACTGACATATGTGGATAATTTTCCATCTGTTAGTATCTTCGCAACCATTTCAGGTCATATGATTTTATCTTTCCATTATAATTTCTGAAAAAGATCAGATTAGATTTATCCCACAGTGTTGATGCAAATCTCATAGGTATATACTTGCAAAGCTATTTGAATATTTGATCAAGACTCTTCCAAATCTGTGTGGATAATAGTTTTAGTCTGTACATTTTTAAATTTTTGTTATAAAAGATTTCATATATGCACAAAGACTTTGCCTTACAGGCTTAGACTAATTATTTTCTGCCTCCCAATAGCTAGTTCCTGGTCTTGTTTCTGGCCAGAAGCTAAAACTAGGGGCCATTTTTAGTAAGAAAAAGGGCACAAAACCAGAGCCAAATCTGTCGTACTCACACCATTCAGTTCAAACAACGAGGACATAACCAAAAACAAAAAAAAAAAGGAGACCATGTGATGGCATTGTTGTAAATATCCAAATCCAAGGTCAATTACAATAATTCCCAACAGTAAAAAAACTGCACAAAAAAATATAGTTTTTTTCGGTTATATACAGGATTATCTCTCCATCACTGCATTTCTTAAGCACCCTTTTTCTGGTTACCAATAACACAGTCCCCACTCAGCTTTGTCTATTCTCACAAGAAAAACAAGGAGCTCCATTAATGCACTTCCCTCTTAATCGCCTTATCAGTCATCTTTGATCGTTTCTCTCTTTTGTACGGCACTTTTCAACTACCACCTTACATTAAATTTGCAGTCAAACCAGCAGGCAGGCGCCGTCCACTTCTCTTTATAGCCCACTTCAATAATATTACAGAAATTTAGCCAAAGTATTTACAATTAACTTCAAGTTACCTTTTTTAACCTTGTTTTGGCTTCTGGGTTGTTGTTTATTTTCCTAGAAAGTAGATAGATAAAGAGAGAGATAGAGACATGTTCATTGGATCATGAAAGTTGCTTGTTTGTTAATGTTCCCTTGTGTTTCTCTCCATTGGGTTCCTTTCATTTTTGACTGAAGTTAGTTAAAGTGTTGAACTTTTTCTTGGGAACAACACCTTCTTTGATCTTCCTAAGTAAGAGTATTTTCTTTATGTTTTTCCTCCAACATTTACTTGAGTTTCAGCTTTCCATGTTTTTTAAGTAAGCTCCTGAATTTGATAAGTGTAAAAGAGATTTGCCTTAGCATATAAACAGGATTTGCAGTTCTCTACTCCAGTGAAATTTCTCTTCTTGGGTTTGTAATTAAAGGTTCAACCTTCAGGTAAAGCATTGCTTATCAAGCTTCCTTTTGCTAGGTATGTAAATGTTTCAGTTTCTTCCGAATTTAACATTCCTGCTTTAATTCTAGGGCTTTTATTCACCTCTTGAGACATCTGGAATTTGTTGCCTCACAAGCTTGTTCCATGGGATACTTTTACTTGTTTGTTCTAGTATTGTTTTCATGGAGTTGCTTTTTCCAGACTACTCATGGATTGCAAGCTTATCAAACTCAACTTCTGCTGCAAGTAAGGAAGCATTTAGAGTACCCTTCACAGCTGCAAATTCTAGATAATTACAATGGGGACCTCTGTAACTTGTCTGAGACAGCACATGTTGTGATATCTTGCCAGGACAATTTAGTCACTGAGATTAAGATTAGGGGAGATAAGCTTGCTAATATTAGTGGATTCATTGGATATGCAATTCCTAGTAAAACATTGTCTGAGACTTTTTCCATTGATTCTTTAGTTACCACATTGACAAGGTTAACCAGTTTAAGGGTACTTAGCCTAGTGTCGCTTGGAATTTGGGGGCCACTTCCTGAGAAAATTCATAGGCTATATTCTCTTGAACTTTTGGACTTAAGCTCCAATTTCATGTTTGGCTTTATCCCCCCTCAGATATCTAGAATGGTTAAGCTTCAAACTCTAACGTTGGATGGCAATTACTTCAATGATACTATTCCTGATACATTGGATTCCTTATCAAATCTTACTGTTCTGAGTTTGAGGGGCAACCGGTTGAGGGGTGAGTTTCCTGCTTCAATAAGCAGGATTTCAAGCCTTACAGATATTGCACTGTGCCACAATAAGATTTCAGGTAAATTGCCTGATTTGAGTTCTTTGACTCGACTGCGTGTGTTGGATTTAAGAGAGAATCGGTTGGATTCCAAACTGCCTGTCATGCCCCAAGGATTGGTTACAGCTCTTCTTGCTAAGAACTTATTCTCAGGTGAAATTCCTAGGCAATTTGGCATATTGAGTCATCTTCAGCACCTTGACTTATCTTTTAATCATCTAAGTGGAACACCTCCCTCTGCCTTGTTTGATTTGCCAAGCATCAGTTATTTGAATTTGGCATCAAATATGCTGAGTGGTTCACTTCCAGAGCATCTAACCTGTGGTAGCAAACTTGGGTTTGTGGATATTTCTAGTAACAAGTTGCTTGGTGAGCTTCCTTCTTGCTTGAACGATAAATCAAATAAGAGAGTAGTCAAATTTGGTGGAAATTGCTTGTCAATTGATGGCCAACAGCAGCAGCAAGGTTCCCATTGTAAAGAAGCAAACACGAGGAAAAGTGGAAGAAAGATAGCAGTATTAGTTGCTGTTATTGTTGGATCTGTTCTTCTTCTGGTGCTTTTGGCATTTGGGGTTCTTATTCTGTCTCGAAAATGCTGCCGAAGGCGGACTTTTGAAACTCATATATGGCAAAAGGCTGTTCAAGAGAATCCAATAACCGGGGTTTCACCTGAAGTTCTTGCAAATGCCAGTAAGCAAATATGATTTCTTCTGTTGCATCTATCATCCCAAATCCATCCAAGATATGTTTGTACTTAATAAAGGTCAAGTTCATATTGTAGTAGCTTATTAGAAGGGAATTCATCATGACTTCTAACCCTGTAGTGCGTCAAAGGGAAACTTGAGTAATTAGTAATGTTATTAATTATTTAATTTCATTTGTTTAGGATTCATCTCTGAAGTTGTGAAGCTAGGGGCACAAGGTGCTTCAGTATGTCGACTTTTTCCCTTGGAAGAGTTGAAGGAAGCCACAAATAACTTTGATTCATCAATGTTTATGGGTGAAGGCTCCACTGGGAAGGTGCCATCAAAACTGAAGAACTTATCAACTTTAGATGATTTTGTTTTGTCAGTAAAACTGAGATCAGATCTTATACCACTCGTTTTTATCAATCATGACATCAAGCATTGCATAGAACTAAGAATTTTGAGTGGGAAAAGTTGATGAACTTGGAAATTTTATTTACACCATAAGCTTTAAATGAAATTTTCTTTTATAGATTTCTCCTTTCATTTTCTTTTCTGGAAGCATGGCACCAATGAAAATAGCTTGCTGGAGCTAAGATTTAGAAAACAATTATACTCCTTAAGTATATCCATGAGGTTTTGCCCTTGTCCATGAGCAGAACACATGTGGCAAATACTGGTTCTGATATTTGTATATGCTATCATCAAAGACCTTTATGACTTCATTTGTTTCTCTTTTTCAGCTCTACAAAGGAAGATTGGAGAATGGGACCTATGTTGCCATTCGATCTTTGACTTTACTCAGGAAATATTCAATTCAAAATCTTAAAGTTAGGCTTGATTTCTTCTCAAAGCTTCACCATCCACATTTAGTAGGCCTTTTGGGTCACTGCATTGATGGTGGCGTACAAGATGATTCCAGTGCAAACAAAGTCTTCCTCGTATATGACTATGTGCCTAATGGGAATTATCATATGCATCTGTCAGGTTAGTGTTACATTTGAACTTTAAATTACATTTGCTTATAATAAGTGCACAGCTATAGATGTACTTACATGTGTAGCAGATACTCTATTCAAAGCTGTTGTTATGATTGACGAATTAATGATTGTTAAGCTGTAAATGCTCTGCATTTGTAAAAATAACAGTGGAAAGAGGACAATGTGGTTAGAGGTTTATGGACTAGAGAATATGCAATTGCCTCGTTCATTCTGAACTCTGGGACTTGTAAGGGCATGGGTTTAGGTAACCTGCATCAGCATTTATGACCTTTCCTGACTGACCATCTTCTAATCCTTAATGTGTGCTGGATCCTGACAACCACAATCCGGAAAAATGATGCAGAAAATTGTCCGGAGAAGGTTCTTAAGTGGTCTGACAGATTAGCAATTCTAATTGATGTCGCCAAGGCTGTACATTTTCTACATACTGGGGTTATTCCTGGTGTTTATAATAACCGATTGAAGACGAATAATATATTGCTGGATGAGCATCGAATAGCAAAGCTAAGTGACTATGGGATGTCAATTATCATGGAAGAAAATGACAAACTAGAGGTACGTTTCCTAGCTATTTATATTTAGCTCGTTACTTGCAAAAGATATCATGGTCCTGATTTCTTAAACATTTTATTGTTCTGCAGGCAAAGGGAGAAGGCTTAATGTCTAGGTATTGTATGGAACCAATTGTCAGCAGACTATCCGAATTTTTGCCTTGCAACTGAACTAATGAGATTAGAATTGGAATACCATCTTCATGCTTCTTTATGTAAAATAATGGACATGCATCATTAACAAAAATTCAATATTCTCATTGCATGAACAGTTGCTTTTGCTGCTTCCACTTCCTTTCCACCATGGCAATTGCTAGAGCACCCTTGTCTCTCCAATTGGCATGGTTGATATCACAAAAAACAAAGCTGTACTACCAGCATTAGGACTTTTAGATGTTACCACTGAGCAAAACTCTGCTGTTAATGTCAGTATGCATCATCATATGCGTGTAGCTACTTCCTCCTCAATCATTCTCTCATGCATTTACCATCTACCTTTAAACTTATTCTATAACTGCTGTCAAAGGCAGTCGGTTACAATTTTTTTTTCCCATTGATTTCAACTGTGTCTCATCTTTTCTGTTGTTGCACCACTGCTGTGTCGTGCCGAAAATTTTGGTTTTCTTGTTGGATCATTTTTAGGACCTTCTTGCCAATTGTTGTTTTTATAATCAAATGCTTTTCATTCTTTATTGCAGCCAAAGGAAAAATTTGGAGGATGATGTTTACAACTTTGGATTTATATTGCTCGAGTCTCTTGTTGGGCCTATAGTGTGTGGAAAAGGAGAAACGTTTCTTTTGAATGAAATGGTAAGCCACTGATTTTCCATTTAACACAACATTATGACATTGATTATGGCTGGAAGCAGTCAAAATGTGTTGAGTTCTAGAAGGCTTAGATTAGATTTGAAATGTTAAGCCAATGTTGCTTTCCATTTATCCTTAAGAGTTGGAGAAAGGTATACCTCTAAGATCTTGTATTACAAATCACAGGCATCCTTTGGCAGCCAGGATGGCCGAAAGAAAATTGTGGATCCAACTGTGTTAACCACTTGCTCACAGGAGTCGTTATCCATAGTGGTATCTATTACAGGCAAATGCATATGTCCTGAACCATCATCTCGGCCATCTTTTGAGGATGTTCTTTGGAACTTGCAGTACGCAGCTCAAGTTCAGGCTGCAGCTGATGCTGATCAGAAATCGGATTCTACATAGTTAATTTTTAATATGGTTAGTGCACACCTGATGTTCATTTGTAGAAACATGCGGACACTGCTCAGATAAAGCTCTTGGAAGGTGCTCTGGTGTAAAAAACGAGTAAGGTCCTATATTTAGCTGCACTTCCTGAGAAATGTAAAGTTGTAAATGTCTTTTTCTAGACCTTCTAAATGGAAAATTTTTGGTAAAATAGATGTCTTTCATACATTTTTGTTATAAGAAAGCTACCATGGCCATAGGCAACAAGGAAATGGCACCAAATACTGTTTTTGAACAATCTCTGGTAGCTTAGTTCAATGGTCTGTTCTGATTTTTATCCATTTCAAAGAAAAAAGCTTTCCATATGATGAGATTTTGCATATGCAAATCTTCTTGACTTGCAAAGATGGATCAAAAAATTTTGTTTTCAACATCATTTCTCAAAGGAGATAGAAGTTCTTACAATCATTATGAACAATTGCAGAGCTTCTTAACTACTTCACAACTAGAAGTATCTGTATCAGTTATAACTGACATACCCTGCAATATCGAAAAGCTTCTGTGATTTCATCTTGTCTTGGAAGGATCTTCAAATATACCCCAGCAGAAGCAGAAACCAGTTCATCACAATCATTATGCTCATTGCTTTCAAATTCAGGCAAAGTTCTCAAGCTTCGTGTTCTGGTAGGTTTATAATTATCTGCAACCAATGGCTTGCCATTCCTAGTTGAAAATCATACATGCTTTTAAAAGCTTCAAGCTGCTCAGGATACCCAACAATCATCACCAAAAAGCAAAGCCTTTACAAGCTGGTTTGTTCTTGACACAACTAGCCAATAAAACTCAATTGAATGTCACATTTTTATACTTACTAACAGCCTTTCCTAAGGTTATATGTCCCATTTCTTTCATGCAGAAAGGGGAAAAATAAAATAAGACCTATTTCTAGAGGCAAAGCCCACTAGAACTAGTAGGAAAAAGTATAGATTTTGAAACCAGGTTAGCCTTATGGCACATATCTCTTGCCTACTTCTATTGGATACAACCCATCATTCTGTTCTTGTAGTTGGTAGCTGTTATTGAGAACTGTCAAATAGTCTTCTGAATCTTACAAGATAAGAGAATTGCGAGGAGAGGAGTCAAATCCTACTTGAAACATTGATATTTATGTTTCATTTAGATTACTGGTGGCCAAACTCTCCGGACATCTCAATAATAGAATTAACTTAATAAATTTGCATATTTTGAGATTTTTTTTTTTATGAAATAATATTTAGTGAAACATTTTTTATGAAATAACTTTTAGTGAAATAATTTTTTATATAAGAGTTTTTGATAAAATTATTAATGTTATTTAAGAAAATTGTTTTGAAAACAGTTATTTTATAAAGGTGTTATTTCGTAAAAGAATTCTTTTTGAATAGTTATTTCGTAAATATCTATTTTATAAAAAATGTTATTCCATAAAAATTATTTCGTAAAATAACTTTCATTAAAATAATTTTATCATTTGCTTTGATTTATCCTAAACTTTAACAACTTAAAAAAAAATATTAATAACCAAAATCAAATATCTACAAACTTCATTGGCCATATTAAATTATTCATTAACATAATAAATATATTCTAGAGACAAAAAGAACTTAATCTCTTATATTATATATAGTACTATTTATTATACTTTGTACAAAAAAAATCTACCTACTATTTATTGTATCATATCCCAGTCTTCAACTACTACTACATTGGTCATATTTGATTTTGAACATCATTCTTCACTTGGATTTGGACATCTCAACCATCCCTTTCTCTTTTCTTTTTCTCTTTCCCTTTGGTGAAAGTGTTTGTTTGCTTTGAGTTCAAGTTCAGTTTTCTTGTGAAGCAAACATTTAACTAACTGCAAATGACAATTTCATTACACTATTTCCCATTGGACAGTTGCTTGGTCGGTTAAAAACCATAATCACAAGATTTCCTTCTCATTTTAGAATGTAATATTTAAATTTATTAAAAATATATTTTCATGCTATTTATTATAAAAAATTATTCATACAATAAAAATATTAATAAAATAATGTAACAAATAATGTGACATATATTAATATTTTATTAAAAAAGCATATAAATAATAATTTATTTATTATTTGATAATTTTCTTTGTTAGATTGACTGAATGAAATGGACAATGGGCTTGATTAGCCCAATTGATTGAAGGCCCAAGAGGGTGGGGTCCACTTTCGTAGGGTGCGTGTGTTATTGACTGAGAAGTGAAAAGCAACGGTATCATGTCGGCGAAAGGAGCCAACCGAGACAGAAAATAACACGGGTTTCAAAACCTGTGTCACTTTAAATCCCACGCGCAATCCCAAGGAGCAACGCTAATTAAAGAGAATCAAGTCGAGAGTTAACGTCACTTTCCTTCCAAGCGAGTGGGAAAATTTCTTCTTACAAATAAAAATAATGACTTCTTTGCATATATTTAATTTAAGTGGAACCATTTCCGCCAGCGCATCACATCAAAAGGGAAAACGACGCGACAAAAACATTCAAAACGGCAGCGTTTAACCCTGGCAGAATCAATAATTTATTTACAGAAAATCATTATTTCTATTTTTATCAACCAGTATTTTCTTTTTTTTTTTTAATTTTTAATTTTTTCCATTTCTTTCTCGGTCAGTCACTCGGAGCCAGCCAGCCTCTGCACCTCAAAAAAGGCCTTCATCTCTCAGCTTCTTTCATTCTTTCTTCCATGGAAACCACTCCAAAACGCACCGTTCTAGCTTTCCCATATCTTCAGTTCTTCTTGTAATTCTCCTGGTGATTCTTCTTGTCACATTCAATGTACCCATAGTGAAAAATTGGTTGCTTTTCTCAGTTTCCTAGTTTTCCCCTCTTCTGGGTTGGTTTTCATCTCTACATTGTAATGATTCCATTTTTTTCTCAGTTTCGAGCCAATAAATTAACATTTTTTAAACATATTTTGTTTATATGAGCTAGATCTGATGCTCAAGAGTAATAAAGTTTCATTTTTTTATTCATTAAATTTTAATGAGCTTCAAAGTTTCCATTTTTGGTTGCAATTACATATATATATATATATATCTGTTTTTTAAGCTTTCTTTAGCTTATTTTAACGTCTATTGCATGAATGAACTCTCAAAATTCCTTTTTCAATTTCACCGATTTAATTCTTCTTTTTTTTTTTTGTTATTATATTTCTGCCTTAGTTGCTTAACTTTTGAGTGTAAACTATCATTTCTTACTTTCTGTTTCTTTTAGTTTTGTTCTTTTGGAAGCCATATGCCCTTATGCTTGGTTGTTGAGAAAATGAAGGAAAAATTGAGGGAAAAAAGTTTGCCTTTTAATTTGTTTTGGTGGTTTACTAATTAGTCTTGTTCAGCTGAATTGGTGGTTGTTTCCTTTTTTGCTTGATCCTTCATGGTAAAATGTATTAGGATTTGGAATTATATGCTTGGTGTTTACTAGTTGTGCTTTTAATTCTTGATGCAAAGTTTCTCTACTAAAATTATAATGCTTTCTGCATTGTAGGAATTCAACTGTCTTGTAGATTGGATAGTTTAAGATTAAACACATCCTGGCAAAATACTAGTGTTTCTGCAACAATGATTCTTGGTTTGAATGCAAAGAACCGGAGAGGGCCTATGGTTCATGTTGATTATCTAATCCACATTCAGGAGATTAAACCTTGGCCCCCATCACAGTCACTGAGATCACTTCGTTCTGTCCTGATTCAGTGGGAAAATGGTGAACGTAGTTCGGGGTCTACCAATTCTGTTTCACCCACACTTGGTTCCATTGTTGGTGAGGGAAAAGTTGAGTTTAATGAGTCATTTAAGTTACCTGTGAATCTAGTGAAGGATATGTCTGTTAGAGGCAGGGATGCTGATGTGTTCCTGAAGAATTTCTTAGAATTTAACTTGTATGAGCCTCGAAGGGAAAAGATCCAGCTGTTGGCTACTGGCATTGTGGATTTGGCGGAATATGGTGTTATCAAAGAGACATTAGACATTACCGTTCCAATGAACAGCAAGAGGAGCTTTAATAACACTGCTCAGCCAATTTTGTTTATTAAAATCGATCGAATTTATAAGGGTCGGAACAGCTCTTCATCAAGAGGCAGCCTGTCAAAAGAGCTGTCAGTGGAGAGGAAAGGAAGTGAGTCTGCTTCTTCTCTGATGGATGAAGAATATGCTGAGGAAGCTGAGGTTGCTTCACTCACTGATGATGATGTTACTTCACACTCATCTCTGACTGTTTCTTCTTCAACTTTGGAATCTAACGGCAGTTCACTTCCTCGAAATGAAGAGGTAACTTTTAGTTATTTCCTTTATGATCTTCAGATGGCGTTAATTACTTTTTCTTTCCTTTTCTTTGTTGTGGCACTTGCTGAGAAAATGCCAGAAAAATTCTACCTGACCAATAGAATTGTTTAGGTGTAATGCACCTTTTTTATTGCATCTTTTTGAAGGTGGATCCAACATCTCCCATATCTGCCTTTGATCATGATGCTGTTGTTCTGGGGCCTAATGGGATGCCCTGATTTTTTTTTTTTTTGAAAGTTAAATTGCACTAGGTAATATAGTAATTGGTACTGATTTGCAGAATGGATCAGTCACTGATGGCAAGGGAGGAGTTAAAGGGGAACATTCCTTGGCGTCCAAGTTGCACCTGGAAAAAACAAACGCAGCCACACAGATCACACAACGTGAAAGCATTAAGGGGAATCCTTCTTGCTCATCATCAACAGACTTATCATCTGACTTTGATAGCTCAGCAGATGCTTATGATTCCAGATCTAACACTTATAGTTCCAAATCACCTGTACGAGATAATGTTGTTACCCATAAAGTTCATTTGTCTTCATCATCCTTGGCTAATGAAAATACACAGGATGAAACTGTTACCAGCATGAGAAGCAATGGTCATGGAGATTTATCTCAAAAGGTTTATGAAATCGTTGCCAGTAAAGGAACCATGGTTAGGTATGATGGTCAAAGTAAGAAAGATACATCTGCTAGTTCTAAGGCCATATTGGCATCCTCAGCTAACAGTCCTCAGGTTGATGAGCAGGATACTAAAAATTTTAGTGATTCTCTGGTTGATGGAGAAGGTGATAGCAAAGCTCAAAGAAATGGCAAAATTTCCTCCGAGGAGGCTTCAGCTACTAATGATGCATATAATAATTCTTTGGAAGGAAACTCAGGATATGATTGGCAAGAAAATGGACATGAAGGACAACACCTGGAAGAGAAAAGATATTCTACTGAAGATGAACAATTGAATATCTATTCGCAAGATAATTCTTTAAGCCAGGGGAATCTTGGAATAAAGGCCAATGTCCTAAAAGGTGACAGACTAAAGCATGTCAAGTCTGTTCGATCTTCATCAGACTCAGTTAGGGGCAATGGTTTATTTGGCAATAACCAGCATGCTGAATTGAAGGAAGTTGGTGTTCTGGTCGATGCACAGCATGGGGCTGGAACCGTCAGAAGCAAATCAACGAATGAAAGGAAAGATGCTAAGGTCTACCCCAAGGATGCTAGAAGTGCTATTTTGGATAACAAAATGCAGCATTTGGAAAACAAGATAAAGATGCTTGAGGGAGAGTTGAGAGAAGCTGCTGCCATTGAGGCTGCTCTGTACTCAGTAGTTGCAGAGCATGGAAGCTCCATGAGTAAGGTGCATGCTCCCGCTCGGCGCCTTTCTAGGCTTTATCTTCATACTTGTAAGGAAGGCTTCCAATCAAGGAGAGCGAGTGCAGCTAGAAGTGCTGTTTCTGGACTTGCTCTGGTTGCAAAAGCATGTGGAAATGATGTTCCAAGGTACATTAAGTCATATTATTCTCATTGTTCTGCCTGATTATTCTTTACTATCAGTTCGCATTAACTTTTTAAAGTTCTATTAATCTAATTTCTCAATTCTCCAGTATCTGAAGCTGGACTTTCCCAAAATTTTTGGTTGTAAGAACTAAGCCTTGTTGATTGTTTGTGTATGGGGGTCGGGAATTGTTATTTTTTGGGCGTCAAAAGAAAGGGGGGAGGGAGCTGTACCTGTCTTTCCCTGAACCAGAAATACCACAAATTGAGTGAAATTTGGAAATTTCAGAGCCATTCTTCTTTATATGTTGAAATAGGTGAAAGTTCCGTTGAGATCTCTTGCCGAGGCCAAAGTTGGTTAGTAGTATTGTTGGTTAGGGGCTGGTCTATGTTGCAGTGACTTGTGAGTTAAAGCATAAAATATGAAGCTATGATAAGCTCAACAGAACTATTTTGATTTCTGATGAACTCATATGTCATATGTATGATGATTACAGGTGGACATTTTGGTTGTCAAACTCTGTTAGAACTATTTTGATTTCTTATGAACTCATATGTCATATGTATGATGATTACAGGTTGACATTTTGGTTGTCAAACTCTGTCGTGTTGCGAGCAATTATAAGCGAAAGTATTGGAGATTTGGAGTTACCACTTTCTGCTGGACCCATAGAAAGAAATAGAGGTGGAAAGGGGAAGAACCATGTATCATCTCCTTTGAAATGGAAAGAGTCCTCTCCTATCAGAAAGGATAATAAACTTGTGTCATATGGAAGTTTTAGTGACTGTGACAACCCACTTGCCTTTACTTTAGCCCTGGAAAGGGTTGAAGCATGGATCTTTTCCAGAATCATCGAGTCTGTCTGGTGGCAGGTAAATCATTAACTCTTTTTGTCCCCTTCTATTCATCAATTTTTTTTAATAAAATATATGATTGCGACTGAATCTCACAAACTTGTTTGGTTGTCTGACCAAATTATGTTTCCTTATTTTCATTTCAGACCCTCACCCCACATATGCAGTCAGCGGCTAGAAAAGAAAATGATAGACTTGTGGGATATGGCTCAAGTAAAAGCTATGGGAGGATATCTAGTTCAAGTGATCACGACCAAGTGAACTTTTCATTAGACCACTGGAAGAAGGCTTTCAAGGATGCCTGTGAAAGACTTTGCCCGGTTCGAGCTGCAGGTCATGAATGTGGCTGCTTGCGTCTGATATCTAGATTGGTAATATTCTTTTTTGAAGAATTGATTAAATGGCACACCAGTATGACACACTAAAAATCTATTCTGCAGTGGGAGGTTAATGGCATCTGAAACTATCAGTTTCTTGTTAGTATATGAACGTTTAAATGAGCATTAAGTTGTTTGCATATTATGAGAGACTTTATAAAAGCATTGAAATTAAAAGCAAAAATGAATTTCTAAAATAGCTAAAGTGATTGTTGCTTTGCCTCTTATCCTGGTGACTACTAAGTAGCTTACTTTTTTGATAATATTTTTGATGGTTGCTTTCTCATCTTATCAATAATTGTCACCGATCTTGTTTCCTTGCCTGATAATTTTTTTTTAACTTGAATATGTTATAATTCGTCCTTTAATGCATCTAGATAATGGAGCAATGCGTGGATAGATTAGATGTAGCTATGTTCAATGCCATTCTTCGTGATTCTGGTGATGGGATCCCCACTGATCCTGTGTCTGACCCCATTAGTGATCTTCTGGTGCTTCCCATTCCAGCTGGGAAGGCAAGTTTTGGCACTGGTGCACAACTGAAAAATGCGGTAAGCAATCCAAAACTGGTAGTCTCCAATGTTATTTTTTGAGTGACATCATTGTATATTGTGCTGTCATATTCATAATCATTCTCCCTTGGTAGTTAAATCTAAGTTTTCAAACTTTTAATACTTGTTACTTTTCCTTGTTGGTGTGGGCCTCGGCGGCTGGCTGGGGTGGGTTTTTTTTATGTGCATGGCTTACCTCCTGACAGTATCCAGGCTATTTGAAATTTTACATGGTTGATCATATTAACTTAGATTTTTTATCTGCTGTTTGATTAAGATGGTGACAGTTGTGTAAACCTTGGCCTTTCTCCTCTGAAGTAAAGCAATTCTTGTTGAATTTCATTTTTGTGCATTTCAGATAGGTAACTGGTCTAGATGGTTGACTGACCTCTTTGGTATAGACGACGATGATTCAGCCGGAGATGAGAATGAGCAGGATGACAGTGACGAGCAACAAGACACATCCTTAAAGTCTTTCCATCTTCTTAATGCATTAAGTGATCTCATGATGCTTCCCAAGGACATGCTCCTAAGTAGACCTATCAGGGAAGAGGTTTGACAATCCAACTTTAGACCTTTGGTTTAATCTCCAGGGTCATTACTTTGGCTGTTTATTAACAGTGCTTGATCTTTATTTTCTAAGGTATGTCCGACATTTGGTGCAACACTGATCAAGAGAGTTCTTGATAACTTTGTCCCAGACGAGTTTTGCCCGGATCCAGTTCCAGATGCTGTGCTTGAAGCCCTGGAGGCTGAGGTTAGTCTTATAATCTTGAAGTACTCCTAGTTAGACTTTTGTCATGTGCACCTAACTCAACCTTAAAAGTTAATTCATGAATTATGATGTGTGCTCGACATATCTACACAGGCAAAGAACTTTAGTATAGTAGACTATGCAATGATTTCCTCGAATAGTACTAGTAAATTTGATAACCTAAAGCCCTTCAAAGATATGAAAAAACCCTTTTTGCCTCTACTTTGCATCAGGATCCTCTTGAAGCCAGGGAAGGGTCTGTCACAAACTTTCCTTGTGCAGCATCTCCTCCAGTGTATACACCACCTTCTGCAACATTTGTTGCTAGCATCATTGGAGAAGTTGGAGGCCAATCTCAGCTGAGAAGAAGCGGGTCCTCAGTCCTAAGAAAATCATACACAAGCGATGATGAGCTTGATGAATTGAATTCACCCTTGTCTTCAATATTCGTTGATTGCTTCCGATCACCTACTCAGTCAAAGCCTAACTGGATATCAAAGGGAAACGGCTACCAAAATGCTATCAGATATGAACTCCTAAGAGATGTATGGATGAACTCTGAATAATTGTAGATTATATGTTCATTAGTATATAAATGGTTGTTGACACTGCCTTTGTTTTTTCTTGAGCTGTAAATTTGTAGATAAGTTTTGGTTCGTTATCATAAATTGGTTGTTTCTGTATAAAGAGAATATTGCCTATGCTTGTAGTTTTTACCAAAACGATAATTAATGGAGGGTCTCTTCCAAAGTAACTTTTGAAGAGACATTAACTTTTCTTTTGCTTAATGATTTCCAGAAGAAACTTCAAACATTATACGAGTAAATGGCTGATTGGAATTAGATGATTTCGATGCAATTAGCAATAAAATGGGTGAATGAAGAGAATAAAAGAACAAAAGAGTAACAATTAATTAGGAAAACAAATTTCTATGGAAATGAAGAGACAAAGCATTCTTTATATTATATAAGTGGTCATACAGGCCAATCATCATCTCATGATCATCTTCGCTCTTCATCTTTAGCCAAAATTACATTACATACTTTCAAACTGCATAGCACCTTACTATAAGGAAACAAAAATTCGAGGCAAATCCAACTTGGGTGTTTGCCACACTCAAAAAACTTATCTATCACTCGTTACATATTTACTACCATGCCGGAATATCAATTAAGGTAAGGTCCACTGAGTTTAAAGAATAACCAGGTTTATGCTGTCAGCTTCTGCGAAGAACTGAGAGCATTCATATGCTGGAGACGTAATGCAGCCAAAAGACCTTGCCATGCATCTGCTGATGCACCAGCCACCTGATAGTTGAGAAGCTTCTTTTGCTTACTGTAGTAATCCTCCACTGACTTTGCCTATTAAGATCAAAGATTATTTGGTTATGAAAAATTTTCCACCTTGAATCCCCTTTTCAAATAATCAAATAGTTTATCATGAAATTTTATGTTACACATTTCACTACCCAAAAGACCAAAGAAGAAGACTAAACAGAACAGGTAGCAGACCAAAGAAAGATCTAGACAAAGGTCCCAAAAGTTTTACAAGTTGAGAACGTGTGGAAACAGCCAGTCGGGAACATTTTCAGTGGATTACCTAATAAAATACATTGCAAACATTAGACAACCATATCAAAGAGGAATGTAACCTGCTCTGAGTATCGATGGACATTTTCCTTCCAGGAACTTCCAACATCCTTGGAGTTGCCTATGTGATGAAACTCACTTTCTGAACTCTTCTTCAACATGTAATCTTCAGTACATTTAAAGTTCACAACCAGGCCAATATCAGCAATTTGGTCAAGAATCTCCTGGAAAAGTAAAACCAAGAACAAGCGTTTCAATGACATATAGGAAAGGAAAAAAAGAATCTATAGCAGACTGTTTCATTCAGCTTAAAAAACTTAGAACCAAAGGAGATTGATTGGCCTCCAACCACACTGGTAATCAGAGTATACAAATTGTTTCAATCAAAATAATAGATGACTTACAGCCTGCATCCTGGTACGAGGAATTCCATCAAGAATAAAACCATTTTCACCTCCACAGTAACCTTCTTCAAGTCTCTTAAACAACAAAGCAAAAATTACATCCTCTGGAACAAGCTTTCCTTCATTCACAGCATTTGCAATCTAAACCCAAATGACAGCAATCAATTAGCATTCTTCACTATATTATACATTAAACAAAGTTCATAATCAGCACATTTAGTACAATTAACACTTGAAAAAGGTTATCAGACAATCAACTTTCGAGTTTATAGTGAACTTTTACGAACAAAAATAAAATCTTTTCCCATAATATAGGGAACCGTTAAAGCAAATAAACACTAAAAATCTATTCTTTTCCTACCTGTAAAACCCAACTTTGTAAAGGACCCAAATTTATTCACAAAGAAAGGAAAAAGAAAAGAATCTAATAATAAGAGATGATGAAAAGACCTGTTTGTAAAGAGAAGAGTGAGGATTAAGCTCTTGTCTAACAAGGGTACCCATTGAAATATGAGGAACTTCTAGAAGCTTCGAAAGCCTCTCAGCATAAGCATGCCGTTTCACTCCAGGTTCCCCTATAAGCACCCATTGGACTCCCCTCTCCGGCACCGAGCCATCCACGTCAACCTTCAACTGAGCCGGGAGCCGATCCCGGTGAGCTTGCTCGTACTCGTAGTATTCATAGTCGCAGTCAAGCTCCAACGCTGCGGCTGATCCAAAGGTTCGGAACCCACGCCTAAGTGATTTCAAAACCGAGGAGGAGGCGGCGGCGGCAACTTGGAGCTTGGGTAGCCGTGCCATGGTGGTTGTAGGGTTTTATGAAAAGAAAAAGGAAACGTTGGAGAGGGTTAACGAAAGGGCGGATCTTTCTTTCTTCTTTTGTAGAGAGAAAAGTGCGAAATTCCGCAAATGCCACCGTTTAAATGAAAAACTACGATGGTGCCAAGAAAGGTGGTGTTTTTTAGGTGTTGTGGTTCTGAAACGAAGAAAGGTTGCGTTATCACGATCTGATTGGTTATTTGGAAGAGGAAAGATTACGTGTCGTGGCGTTTGGAGTCCACCAGACATGGAATCATTGTAGGTTTAGAGAGTGACACGTGGCATCTTGAAAGACTCAAATCCTTTGGGCTCATCTAAGTGGCCCAATTTTTAGAAAATTTTTAATAAACCCAAAACAAATGCTTTCTCATAAGCATTGGGCTTAAAGTTGGCCACTTTAGCCTTTTCTTTTTTTAAGTGCCAGTAAGCCTTAATTTCTCTTTAAGCTTTTTTTTTTTTTTAAGTAATATAATTTAAAATTTAAAATTTTTAATAATTTGATGTAAAATTTTTATTTAATTTATGAGATATTATTTATTTTGATCCATAATTTTATCGTAAAAGAAATACTTTACAAGTATAAATTTATATCTAAATATATATATCATAATATATTTTTATATTTTTTCAATATATAATGAGAGCATCACATTTGATTTATGAGTTTTCATGATAATAAAAGAGGGAGATTCTCACTGTGTAATCAAGATTATAAAAATAATCAACAAATTTGTATTTTAAGAAATAGAAAGCACTTAAAAAGTACGAGTGACAACCATTTATCCATTTGGTATTTGGAATTAAGTTTTTAAACTTTGATAATGGAACCTTCTGGAATCATTTTTGACTAGCAACAAGAATCCACGAAACTTGTTTTCTAAGCAATGCCAATATGGATAAGCTGGCATTTATGCCTGGACTCTAAAGTAGGCCAAAAAATTTGTTTGAATAAAAGTTATAGAAGGAGTTATAGTCTTATTAATTAATTAATACCATATTTTTCAACCCATGAAGATAGGAACAATGGACTCAACTTTGATATATAGATCTAACTTTTAGATAAATTATAGATAGTAAAGATTTATATTTAATTTAAGAGATATTATATATTTTAATTTAAAAGTTTTATAATTTTATTTAATAAAAAGTATTTTATAAAATTGGATTTAAGTTTATATTTATATATTATATCAAATTTTTAGAATATCTTGATATGAGATTAATGTATCATATAGATTATTAATTTTTTATTTTTTTTAAAAGTGAAAATGGATTCTAATAGAAAAAAACATTATTTTTTTTTTGTTAATAAATGAATTCCAAAGAATAATGGACTACATTTATAATAGATAAAATAATTTAAAATACGATACGATAACACGATATGAAAATGATATCAATAAAAAATATAAAAATAATGACTTAAAATTAAAAAATAAAGATTTAATAAAATTAAAAATTTGTATTTATATTTTTGTATTGATACGAATTATAATGTAATTTTCGTGTAAAAATATAATACATATATATATATATGAATTACTAGATCTAACCTACAACAAGACACATTAGTAATAATTTATTTTTAAATATTTTTAATTATTATTCAAGTTCGAGAAGCATTACTAATCAGGTTGAAGTATTAGCAAATTTTTCATAAAAAAGTAATAGCAAATTAAAAAAAATAGATATGCTTTAGCTTTAGCTTTTGCTTTATCTTTATAATATTTTATTCTTTTAATTTGCTTTATTCCCATACTTCACATATAAATTTCTGGTGCATCCCCCTACAGTTTTTCATATAGGAGCGAACTTACTCTCACAAAGCTTTGCTGCAGAAGACGCAATCATGTCTATTATCTCCGCTTTTTCATTGTTTGACCATCCATTTTCAAGCATGGAAAAGGTTCATATGATTACTTGACACTTGATCACCGACTACATATTCAACAGACTTTTGTTTGCAGATTTGAAGATTGAAACCAGAATTGAAGCTGAATTTTTCCTCTGAGTAAGAACTTCATAAACATCTTGTTATTTTGATCTGTCACTGTTTTTTTTACTATTTTCTTCTCTTTTATCCAAAGGAAGGGAGAAAAATGAACACTACCACCATAAAAGTAGTGGATGGAAGAGATCATGTTATTTCTTTCATTGATTCTCCTACTGAATCACTGGCATCTTCCCTGGAAAATATGATGGGGGAGAATACTTTCCTGCCATCTAGGTGTTGCATCTTCAAGACCCCAAGCATACTTTACAGGCACAAAGAACAAGCATACATCCCCAATGCATTTTCAATTGGGCCTTTTCACCATGGCAAACCAAACTTGACAGAGACAGAAAAGATCAAATCCAAGTATCTTCAAGGCCTCATCTCTCGATCACATTCACCAGAGGCAAGGTTGAGGCAGTGCATTGATGTTATCATAGAGGTCGAGAAAGAGGCTCGGGAGTGTTATGCAGGTACAATTGGTTTTAACTCTGATGAATTTGTGAAAATTTTGGTGCTTGATGCTTGCTTTATTATTGAGCTGTTCCGCAAGGATGCAAAGTTGGTGCCCAAAGATGAGGATGACCCTATATTCACCATGTCCTGTATGCTACAATATTTGTTTCATGACTTGATTTTGCTTGAAAACCAAGTACCTTGGCTAGTGCTGGAGCGTATATTTAGCTTAACTGCTAGTCCAAGTGAAAGCGAGTCCCTTGTTGAACTTACCCTTGAATTCTTTGGTAACATTTTCTCATCTGATAAACATTCCATTGAACCTCACCTTTTTGTCAACCAAGAGATCAAACATATTCTTGACTTGTTAAGGAAGTTATTGCTTTTACCATACAGAGGTGAAGATCATAACCAGCATTGCTTCGGATGGCAACCCTTTCCTTCTGCTACAAGTATCAAAGAAGCTGGAATCAAATTTAGGAAAGTTGCATCGAATAGTATCTTGGATATAAGATTTAGCAACGGCATCCTTGAAATGCCATCTTTGCTGATCCAAGAGACCACCGAAACCATCTTAAGGAATCTGATTAGTTTTGAGCAGTGTTATCCAAACTGTATCCCTAGAGTCACATCTTATGCCATACTTCTAAGTCATCTCATCAAAACTCCTGAGGACTTGGATGTACTTTGTGATACTGGAATTATAGATAATTGGGCGATTCCTGAGGACTCAACCAAGTTCTTTAAGACGCTGTATCATGATTCTTATGTGAAAGAATTCCACTATTTGAGACTTTGTGAGCAAGTGAATGGATATTGCTATCATTGGCGGTCTAGATGGCATGTTTTTTGTAAGCAAAACTATTTTGGTAAGCCATGGGCTATTGTTTCTGAAATTGCTGTGGCTACCCTTTTGATTCTCACCTTAATACAAACCTACTGCATCGTCTTCAAATAAGAGGACTTTCTTAAGGACCTGTAATTAGCATGTATTGTGGAAGAAATCAAGAAAGTGAAATTTCCAATTCATAGAAAGTACATTTATAGATGTTTGTAAAATGTAAAATCGTTCATAGATATACCGTGCAAATGTTCAGCTGCAATAAATGTACTTCTTTGATTATTTTGGACCAAATGGAATCTTGATTAATTTTACTAAGGTATTGATTCCATATATATATATATATATATATACATATATATACCACGAACCTAATTCTATCTAATTGGGAATGGATATGATTGATTTGGAATTTTGCTATTTGAGAATTTTGACTAAGAATCTGATTCCTCCTAATCTTAATCAATAATGTCAAATTTGGATGCAATTCATGTGGAAATCTGCTATTAATTTACTAATTATTATTCATTTTGATCTAAAATTCTCACATTCTATACAATGTGGACTTCTCTTGACTTTCAGTTAAACCCAATATAGAATACACAAAATCATGATCACCCTTCTAGTCACTAAGATTTTGCAAGTGACTCACACTTTCGGCTGGAAAATTCTGGTCACTAAAAAAAATGTTTTTTCTTAACTTGCACAAAGAAGAAACTCTAGGAAAATAGCCTCTATATGCCTGCCTAAATATCAAGAGACAAAGCAAAACATTATACTTCTATAGAGGTTTGTTCATCCAGCACTTCCATAATTCCTATGAATTGCAATGTGGATAAAAGATGAAGCGAAAACTCGTCCCGTTCTCTGAGGAACAGCTGAGAGGTGTATTGAGGCGCCTTGACTGCGATAATGATGGCAGCCTCCGCAAGGAAGAGCTTAAAACAGCCTTCACCTACCTTGGTTCACGTGTCCCAGGCTATCGAGCTCTTGCAGCACTTAAACATGCTGACGAAAATGGAGATAGATTCACAAATGAGGAAGAGTTGGAAGCTCCGACTCAAAACTTTGTACGACTTGGTTGTACAAATGAAGTGCGGTAAGCTAATTAAGTCTGGTAGATATCTACTTTGATGGCAATAAATAATGCACATTGGAAATCCCAGAATTTGTGGAAGAAATGATTTCTTTTCTTGTTATATATATCAGCTTGATGGTCTGTTCATGTTTTCTTTGTGTACTTGAACTCGGAAATGCCAATAACTAATATGTGAAAGGCTTAAAGCCTCAAATTTTGGAATAAAACTTGTTTTTAACTATAAATTATCTCTATTTGTTGTTCTCAATCCCAGAAAATTACAGTTTTAACCGTAAAGGGAAATCAAAGATCTGTCAAAATTGCATGTTTAAGAGCTGAAGCAAAATTTGGATGTTCAAACACCAGAGACTTGGAGGAAAGCAATAAGAATTTTCATGATCAATTTTTTCGGTCAACAATACTTTTCCAATTCTGTAAGAGCAAATTCAGAATATGAAAACGCATGTTGGTGAAATTCAACAATTTAGAAAAATAAAAACAATTTAGAAACAGAATCATCCTATTCCAAACCCATTAAAGGAACCATAAACAAATATATACTGCATTGAATAAACAGGGGCAGCAGCCATTAAATCAGATGACAGAAATTATCCCAAAAAATAAAGCAGTTTTGCTTTCATGTTTGCTTGTGCTTCCTGTTATCAAGCAGTTACAGGAGGAAAAGTGAGGTTCAAAGGAATACTAAGCAGTGGCAATCCAGGTAGAAAATAATCATGAAATATGGCCTGGTCTTGAACCTATCTTTAGTAGAAAAGTTTTCCACTTTCCCATCCTGGAAGTAAATGAAGAGTTCCCTTCAGAATTTGCTTTATTTTTGCTTTAACATCAATTGCAGGTTGCTGATGGAAGTATAGAATTTGACATTTGAAGTGGAAGCCAAATTGTTGCGTTGCAAACAGCTGCCAAACTGGTATGGTGAAATTTATGGCTAAACATTTTGTCATTAGGTAGTATTGTTTGGGCGGCATTCTTTTTTCTTCTAAAGCAACTAATTTTCTCATCAACACCATGCTTAAAGAACTGATAAACTTTTTTTTTTCGATATTTTCTAGTTAGGAGAACGATGACAAGGGGTAGGAAAGAGCACATTCAAATTAATGTCCAACAGTTGACATCATCTTAAGAAACAATGGTATCCTATGACTTTATCATGTCCAGTACGTGTTGCATCTTCAAAACCCCAATCATACTCTATAGGCATAATAAACAGGCTTATGTTCCTGATGCATTCTCCATCGGGCCCTGGCACTATGGCAAAATACACTTGAAAGGCACACAATAAATTAAATTGATGTCTCTTGAAAGCATCATTCACATTTCCCCGAATATTCCAGGGACAAGAATGAAAGAGTTGGAGGAAGCTATGAAAGAGATCGAGCAAGAGGTTCGTGAATGTTATGGGGGGCCAACTGAATTTATCAATGAAGAATTTCAAAAGATTTTGGTGCTTGATGGTATTGAGTTGCTCCGGAAGGATGCTAATGAGGTAGAAAGAGAGCCAGATGATCCCATATGCACCATCTCTTGTATGCTGTAGTTTCTATATCATGATATGATTTTGCTAGAAAACCAAAAACTTTGGTTGGTGCTTGTGTCACGGACCTAAGGATGAGTTTTGAATCTCACATCGAACATAATAGAAAGGTCACTATGGTATATAAGGGTTCACACCACCTCCGCCTTGTGAGGCGCCTTTTGTAGGATAAAACCGTGAGACCAGGGGGCAGAGCGGACAATACCTCATAAGGGTGTGAACCGTGGCGGTCAGGTTGATTCGGGACACCGGAAGGGTGAATGCCCGGGTCCCGGAGTCGTGTGGATTTGGAGCTTGAATCTCGACCCGTGACAAGTGGTATCAGAGCCAGCCCTAAACTGTTCTATCCATGCCAAACACCTCGAGGGAGGTAGGCAGGGTGGTCAGCCTCCGTGACGAGGGCGTCACGAGGTTGGGTGCAGGAGAATGTCACGGACCTAAGGATGAGTCATGAATCCCACATCGAACATAATAGGAAGGTCACTGGAGTATATAAGGGTTCACACCACCTCCGCCTTATGAAGCGTCTTTTGTAGGATAAAACCATGAGGTCAGGAGGGCCAAAGTGGACAATACCTCACAAGGGTGTGAACCGTGATGGTCAGGCTGATTCGGGACCCCGAAAAGGTGAATGCCCGGGTCTCGGAGCCGCGCGAGTTTGGAGCTTGAGTCTCGACCCGTGACACTTGAGCGTTTGTTCCACCTAATCACAAACAATTTTTATTAAAATTTTAAATCGTGTCATTTTTATGAAATTTTTGTATTATTTTTAGTGTTTAAATTGCTAGGTCCTTACTACATCATCAAATCTATTCTAACTACTACATCATCAAATCTATTCTAACTAATAGGAAACAAAGAATCATATGTACATAAAAAATAGAGCTATTTAAGTCTAAAAAATTTAAAGATTTCTGGTTACGTAATCTGATCCTGTGAAGAATTGTACCAAATTTATAAAGTAATATTCGCTTTAATTAAAAAGTTTTACGATTTTATCTCACAAAAGAACGTTCATAAATTTGAATTTAGATCTCTACATATATATTATACCATATATACGCATTCTTTTAATATAAGATTGGAAGCGTTACAAATCTAATATGCGTAAATCCTACTAATCTCAATTTGACAGCCTCCCTCCTTAATATGATCAAGGACTTGCATGGGGAACTCTTGTATGTGTCTCTATAACTTCTTGTTCATTTCCTTTCAAATGTGGTAAATATAAACACTCCAAGCAATAATACTTAATATAAGCACAAAGACCGACTTAAAACTCATAAAAAAACCCATAGTTTACAAGAAAATAATGAGATGAGATTTTCTCATTCTTTATTTTGAACTGTAAAGACTAAAAATCAAAGCAAGGATCACATTATCTCCCACCAACAGTTCCAATTGATATTTCTCTACAAGGATGGAAGGAAACACATGGAATTGCAAGTAGATGACAAGTTAAAAACTTGAAAATCCCTTCCTTTTTCTTTCTTTTCTTCTCTTTACTCTTGGATTAAAGCATTAATTTCACTCTTATACATGGTGCACAAGGCAAATCAATTATGAGAAGGTAACCAGGTAACGTGTGTTAGGCACTTATCCTTACTTTGTCAAACTCTTTCACATTAGAATAATCAGATATAAAACCCCAAACCCCTGAGTATGAATGAATAAACTAGACCCCTTGAATTGGAAGCCTTAACAGGATAGAATATGTTTTGTAAACTTCAAACATCAAATTGTAACCAATGACTGCCGGTCTGCCAGCTTGAGAAGAATGTGAAAATATGTTAATCACTTATCATCTCCTGAAGCAAAGGATAACTTCCCAAGGCAACTAGACAGACATTTTCTTTAATCTCTTTTACCATTTACTTAATTCTTTATTAGTGTCCCATGAACAGTTCATCTTCGATTCTTTAAAGGTTAAGTGATAGTTACAAAAGGGATTAGGCATGCTTTATCTGTAGATTCCTTTTAAACAGAGTTGTGTCATGCATATACTTTAAATTTGTGTGCATGAAAGAGCAAATAAAAAATTGTACTTTTGTCTGCCGTACTTCGTAGTTTGTATATATACACTCAACATTCTTTCGTCTCGCCATGAATTTTCAGAGTAATTTCCCAAATTTTCTTGTCTTGAAAGAGTTCGAAATCTTATATATCTTGCCAATTTACTGCTATTAACTAACTCTGATTATTGGATTTTTGCAGGTTGGGGAGAACAGAAAAGCAATTCAAGTTTGAAAATTGAGACTGAACCTAAATAGGTGTTAGCCTGGAACTAGGTACATTCTTTTGAATTTGGTACGTGGATTTCTGGCTATTCTTTTTCATACTCATGCTTGCTTAATTTCAATTATGTATTAATTTTTTTTAATGTTATATCAAATGCCCATTCAATCAATCACCTAAATAAGCAGAAATATAATTGTTAGTATCAAGTTCTAGGGTGAAACCCTGAAATAATCAAAGAGAGAAAGAGAGCGGTTAAATGGCAAAAGTAAGAAATATTTCTTACATTTGCACTTAAATCTTGAATAAAAAATCAAAATAAAAAAGATCAAAAGAAGAGAAAAATAAGGGAAAATAGAGGAAAAGTCAAGATGCTTGAATAATAATTAGAGGGTCGTATTTATAGGCGAAAGGTAAAAAGTTTAAGGAGTGAGTGATGATGTGACATTGATATTGTAGGTCGGTTTGATATGTCAAATTGATTTAAAATTTAAAATATTTCTAATTATTTGATGACAATCTCTAATGAAGAAAATGACCAAAATACCCTTTAAATCTAAAATTACCCCTAGCAATAAATTATTTATATAAGACTTAAAAATTTAACCATTTTTTGTACTCAATTTGACTATATTCATTAATAAAGAAAAAGATTAATTAATTGTAAAAAATTTTAAACATATCAAATCATTAATGCTCAATCTCAAATAAATCAATCCCACACATAACATTCTTAACTCAAGCATCAAACAATCACAAACCCTTAATTTTTTTTTTATTCCTATAGAGCAATCCCAAAACATCTAATATATATATAGAAGGGATCACTTACACAATATAAAATTTTTATAGTTTTATATTTTTTACCTTTTATTTCAATATCCAATATTATTTTTACTTGTTTTTCTCATTATTTGAATTTATTGAAATCAAAAATTAAAAAAATATGTAAATTTTTTTAATTTTACATCATATAAGGTGATCCTATTTATATATATATATATATATATATATATTCATAGAACAATATAGATATATGGATCTAAACACCTTTATCTCTTTTAATTTTATGAAATATTTATGTGTAAAATCTTAATTAAAACTACTCGTATCTTTCTCTCATAACTCATCCAATTGAGGCTTACAATATTTATAAGCCTATAAATTTACTTGCTATGAATCTTTTTCTTATTAGAATTCTTACTTATAAATAATGCATTTTTTAATTAGAAGTTAAAATAATTAAATTATTTAATATTATTGATTTTATTTAAAAATATTATAAAAAAAGTTAGAATATTTAAATAGGGACAATTGTCAAATTTACCGCTCTATTAGATTAGAGGCTTCATGTTTACTATTTTACGTTTTTTTTTAATACAAATTTATCATCCTACTACATTTTTTGTGCAATTCTAATCATTTATGGATGAAAATAGGATATTCCATCTAAACTAAATAATATTCCATTAAAATTTTTAATTTTTTTAATTTTTATTATATGAAAAATAAAAATACTATATTTTAAATTCTAAATAAGGATAATAAAAATAAAAATAAAAATAAATTGATTTTTCTAAAAATATCAACAATGTCTTTAATTATTTTTTTCATTAAAAAAATCTTATTTCTTCCTAAAATTTTTAATAAATAATTTATTTAAAAATACCATTTATATAATTAACGACATTGTTGGTATTTTAAAAATTCAATTATTTTATTTTTATTTAATTACTGATATTGTCCTTAGTTGTTGTTAAATAAGTGATAATGTTAATAATTTTTTAGCTGTCAGAATATTTGTTATTAAAATTTTGGAGGGAATAAGATTATTTTTTAAATAAAAAATAAATGGTATTATTGGTATTTTAGAAAAAAAAATTAATTATTTTATTTTATTTAGAATTTGAAATAAAATATTTTTTTATTTTTTATATAATAAAAATTAAAAAATAATGAACATTCTTAATGGAATATCATTTAGTTTACATGAAAGATTTTATATTCATTTACAGGTTAGGAGAACTGTATAAAAAAATGTTATAAGATGGTAAAATTTTATAAAAAATTGGAATGGTAAATACAAAACTTTCAATCTAGCAGAGCGGTAAATTTGATCTTAATCCGTTTAAATATTAAAAAACTTGCAAGTGCCCTTATTTATTACATAAAATTCTTTCTTTAGTTATTTTTATTAATTAAAATACTTTTCAAATATAGAAAATTCCTTCTTGAAAATTTGAAAATGAAAAAGAAAGAGACAATGATATTTTTATGCTAGCAAGCTTAGGATGGTCTTGGAACAACATATTGGTGTTTTAACTTGCTAATTTTCCATCATATTGGTGTTTGTTAAAAGTCCCCAAAGAAATATAGGAATGGCCATTTCTATATATGGAAGTTAATTATTCCAAATTGTCAATTTTTTTTTTGTTGTTTTTAATTGTCACCCAAAAATGAGAGTTCTCAAAAACAATTTTTCCCAATAGGAAAAAGCAATAAGACTTGAATCATGGCTGCGAAAAGTGGAAGATCAGATGACAGTGTTGAAGTTGATGTTGGATCACTGGTATCTTGTCTGAAAGTTGAATTGAGTAATGCTCATCCATCCATGCCAAGCATCTTCAAAACGCCAAACATACTTTCAAGGCAGAGAAAGCATGCATTTCACCTTGATTACTTTTCAATTGGGCCAATGCATTATGGCAGAAAAAATTTGGCAGCCACAGAAATAATAAAAAAAAATTACTTGAAATGTCTCCTGTCCAGAGTAGTTTAGGCCAACCGGAGGCGGAGACAATGTCCGAAGAAGCCAAGGTGATTAAGCAACAGACAGTTTAACTGATTGGATTAATGCTGTTAGGTCGAAAGAGAAACAGGCCAGTGATTGCTATGAAGGACATGATTATGCAGCAGAATTAGGTGACGAATTCGTAAACATATTGGTGCTTGATGGTTGCTTCATTATTGAGATATTCCATAAGGATTGGGCAGTGGTCCTCACAGAACCGGATGACCCAATTTTTTCGCAATTTGTATGCTCCAATTTCTGCATCATGACTTGATTTTGCTAGAAAACCAAACCCCTGGTTCGTACTTCAACTCTTGTTTGATAAAACCAAGCTCCCTTCCGAAACCAAGTCCCTAATTGAACTAACCATTTCTTTCTCTGCTAACAAGTTCTTATCTTATTCAGATCCTATTAAAAAAAAAAAGCCTTTCCGAAGGCCAAGATATAAAGCATATTCTTGATCTGTTAAGGTTATCCTTGGTTTTCCTTCGTATTAAATAAATAAGTTACCAAAATTTGGATGGCAACCTATTCATTCTGCGACTAGACTCAAAGAGGCAGGAGTAAAATTAGTAAGAGTTGAATCAGGTAGCATCTTAAATATAAAGTTTACAAACGTTGTTCTTGAAATCCCACCTTTACTATTTCGAGAGACAACGGAAACAATTTTTCGAAATCTAATCTGCTATGAGCAGTGTTTGCCAGGTTGTGCCCCTATATTCACTAGCTATGCCATGATCTTGAGCAATCTCATGGACGATAAGGATGACACCCAAATGTTATGCAAGAAGGAAATTATAGAAAGTTGGGTGAGTCTAGAGGATGCAACCCATTTCTTTGACAAGTTGTACTCCAACACTTATGTGGAAGAATTCTATTATGCTTAACTGTCGAATGATCTGAATCATCATTGCCAGCAATGGTCGCCTCGAGTGCGAGCTGCTTATGTGCACAACTATTTGAGCAAGTCATGGGTTGTTGTTGTTGTTGCTGCTCAACTTTATGCCCTTAGCATTCTCCTTCTAACCTTTTTGGAGACATTCTTTACAATCAAAAAGTAGTAGAATAACTGACACACATTGGTCAGAAAGGGGAAAAAAAGTGGTCTTACCTCTTCTTTTCTTTTTCATGAATGAGCTTCCCATTTGCTTTGTTATCATTTTCATTTGATTAAGGACATCGGGACAATGTATTTTATTTTTCTTTGCTTATTGTTGGTTGTTAAGATACTCTATTATGAAAATTTTGTGCTCTTCAACATTACAATCACAACCCTTTTGGCTGAGAAAAAACAAAATCTATTTACTAGTACTCATTATGAAGTTCAGTTCTAATGGTAATTTTGGAGTTTGATTAGGAGGCAATTTAGAAACTTGCAAAGGCTATCATGTTCTCTTTAAAGGCCAACTTATAACTCATCTAAAACCCTAGCTTAAAAGAAAATAATGAGATGTATTTTATTCTTTTTTTTTTTTTTTTTTTTTAACTATAGAGACTGAAAATTGAAGCAAGGATCACATGATCTCCCACCAACAATTGCAACTGGTATTGCTCTGCTAGGAAGGAAATTACACATGAGAATTGCAAGCAAAGGACAAGTTAAAAAGTTGAAAATTCCTTCCATCTTTTTCTTTCTTTTGTCCTCTTTAGAATTAAAGCATTTCTCTCTGATACATAGAAGGCATATCAATGGGACGGTAATCAGGTTAGGCACTTAACCTTAGTTTGTTAAACTCTTTTGCATTAGGATAATATGAAGATCTATACCCATTCGTGAGATATTATCTGCTTTAATTAAAAAAATTTATAATTTTATTTCATAAAAAGTATCTCACAAACATATATGGATTTAAATCTTTATTTATATGTAATAAAGGATTTTTAGAATATACTAACGTGAGATTAAAATGTCACAAATTTCTTCCATTAAAACTCGATATTTTCGTTAAACCCAATACAAAGGACACACGAAACAAATTGGAACCAATGACTTCCGGTCTGCCAGCTTGAGAGACAAGAGTGTGAAAATATGTTTATCACCTTTCATATGCCGAAGCAAAGGATGACTTCCAAGGGAACTAGATAGACATTTTCTCATAACTTTTCTTACCATTTCCTTCATTCTTAGTGTCTCATGAATAGCTTGTCTCCCGGACTTTGTAGTTTGTACATATTCTTTCTTTACATGCAAGTTAATCCCAAATTCTCATCTTGTTTTTATGCCATTTTATCACCCAAAAATGAAAGTTCTCAAAAATAATTTTGCCCAATTGCCAAAAAAAAAAAGAGAGAGAAAACAAGAAGACAAGAAAAATGGCTGCAGAAAGTGGAAGATCAGATAATAATGTTGCAATCAATGTTGAATCACTAGTGTCTTCTCTCAATGCTGAATTGGAGAATGCTCGTCAATCCATGGAACCGAGCTACTGCATCTTCAAAACCCCAAGCATACTCTTCAGGCACAGAGAAAACTCATTTGTCCCCAATTGCTTCTCCATTGGTCCAATGCACCATGGCAAAGAAAATTTGGTACCTACAGAAAAAATCAAAATCAAGTATTTGAAAGGTCTCCTGTCCAGAGTAATTAAAAGTCGGCCAGAGACAACATTATTATCCAAAGAAGCCAAGGAGATTGAGCAACAGAGAGTTTTAACTAACTGGGTTGATGCTGTTAAGTTGATTGAGCAACAGGCTAGTGCTTGCTACGCAGGACATAATTATGCAGCAGAATTAGGTGGCGAATTCGTAAAAATGATGGTGCTTGATGGTGTCTTCATTATTGAGCTACTCCGAAAGGATGCTGAAACGAACAAAGAGCAGGATGACCCAATTTTCTCGATGTCCTGTATGCTTCAATTTCTGCATCATGACTTGATTTTACTGGAAAATCAAATACCCTGGTTAGTACTTCAAACCCTGTTTGAAAAAACCAAGCTTCCTTCTGAAACCAAGTCCTTAATTGAACTTGCCCTTCTTTTCTTTGCTACAATTTTCTCATCTCATCCACTTCCTACAAAACCAGACCTTTTCTCGGGCAAAGATATCAAGCATATTCTTGATTTATTGAGGCTATCCTTGGTTTTACCATCGAAAGTAATTAAAAACAAATGGCATTCTGAATGGCAACCAATTCCTTCTGTCACTAGACTCAAAGAGACAGGTGTAAATTTCATGAAAGTTCGAGACGAGAGAAACAATCTTGAGGAACCTGATTCCTTCAAAAAAACTGAATATAGCATCTTGGATATAACATTTAGAGACGGTTGCCTCGAAATTCCATCCCTGCTAATTCAAGAGACGACAGAAACAATCTTGAGGAACCTGATTGGGTACGAGCAATGCTTGCCACATTGTCCACCAATTTTCACTTGCTATGCCAAGCTCTTGGATAACCTGATCGACACCACGAACGACATGGAAATACTATGCAAGAGGGAAATTTTTGATAACTGGTTGAGTCCAGAGGATGCAACGCAGTTTTTCAATAAGCTTTACAATGACACTTATGTCAAGGAATTCTATTATTCTCAACTTTGTTGTGACCTGAATAATTATTGCAGACGATGGTGGCATAGATGGCGTGCTTACTATGTGCAAAATTATTTTACCAAGCCCTGGGCTATTGCTGCTCAAATTTATGCTGTTATCATGTTTGTTCTCACCTTGAAGCAAGCTTTGTAGTCCCTTAATTTGGCCCAAAACCAAAAGCATATTTATTATATGTAGAAATAAAAAATCAAGCTTTGTCTTTTATAACCAGTTGTTTGAAATTAGTCACATGGAGAAGATCATGTCTTTGATTAAAACACTAGCAAAGTTTCCTACTTTTCTAGATAAATCAAAGTAAAAAAAATCATTCAACAATGGTCAATATGCACAAAATGGAACCCCGATGCTAATAATTGCAAAGTCTCAGGTTCCAAGCACTTGAGTTGAATCTCTCTTTGTCAAAAGAGAATATTAAACATGGGATGTTTGGGCTAATTAATTAAAACAATTCTAAACTTGTAAAGATAAGGGGAAAAGGAAATTGGATTGGTTGTTTTAGGAACCAAGCAATTATATTTATGTGTGGATAGAATTTCTTGATTATCAATCAAATCCAAGTTTTGTTGTATTTTAGTTTGAAAATCTATCCATTCATTAAAAAATTACCGAAGGAAAATAAGAAAAGAAATTTCAAGTGTTAGAGATCGAATCTTAATTTAATAGAAATTCACTTTCTAAAAAAAGTAAATGAATTATTTAAACTAAATTTTAAGCTTGAATTAAAAAATATTAATAATTTTTCATGACTCACTATAAAAAAAATTATATTTAATGCATTATCAGTATATAAATTTTATACACTGTCAATAAATCAAACTATTTCATTTTATTAATGCGTAAATATCAATCTTTAAAATAAATAGATAAAAATATTAATATTTTTAAAAAAATTTGTTTAATAATAATATGGCATCTATCTTATTAAAGAGATGATATTTTCAGCCTATAAAAAATTGAAAAAAGGTACCCTTTGCCCATTTGCTGCAATTAACCTCAACTTATCACAAACCAACCAAAGAATAGTGGGGCATATTGTGGAATAAATTAATGGGGCAAAAGTTCATCATTGAACATGGAATATCCAAGCACATAAATTTGACATTAGAATTTTAAAATCAATAACATGAAACTAAAAAATTCAAAAACTCAAAACTCGGAAAGATTCAACCTATCATATTGCAACCTTTGTACTTCCTATAAAATAGGCATTGATGATTAATTAAAGAGAGAAGAAAGCTTGAAGAAAATGTGGCTATGATCAATAATAATGTTTATATCTGGTGTAGGCTCTTACTCTGTTTTGGCTTATAGACCAATCTTGTACATAAACTTTTACTAAATAAAAGTAAGTTACTCAGGTTATTCAGGAGTTTACATGTGATCGATCAGAGTAAACCTACCCGCCATTGTCATAAACTCTGGTAGTAATCCCTCCAAAAATGACATTAATGGTTTAAATGGGGGAGAAAAAATAACCCCATCGATCATAATTCTCCATTCTATTTACATCCATCAGATAATCCTAGCATTCTTTTTGTTTCCAGCCTTTTAAATGGAGAAAATTATCCAACATGGAGGAGAGCATGCAGAATGCTCTCTATGCCAAAAACAAGATGTCAGATGGGCTTAGTGGATGGGACACTCTCCAATCCTGATTCTCCTGACTTCAGCACTTCGATGAAGTGTACTCAATGATGATTTCATGGCTTTTCAATGCTTTGTCCCGGAGCTTCATGACAGCGTAGCCTATTCCGACTCGGTACAAGGTCTTGAAGAACGCTTTTCACAAAGTAATGCCCCTACCTAGCTAGGGTGCACCAACTGAAACATGATTAGGCAGTCACGGCTCATGACTTGATTGTGCTAGAAAACCAGATAGCTTGGTTGGTATTCGAGCTTTTGTTCAACAAAACCAAGGCCCCTTTTTAAACCAAGTCCCCGATTGAACTTACCCTTCATTTTGTACGCAACATGTTCTCATCTCATAATCTTACATTAGACCCTGAGCTCCTCTTTTTGGATCAAAAGGTCAAGCACACCCTTGATCTACTAAGGTTATATGTATCTTTGGTTTTAACCATCCGAAGAAGTAAAAGAATGCGAAAGGAAACCAGGGTCTGATCAACAAAACTTGTACGGCAACAAAATTTGTTAAGATTCACGCATTAGATTGTTTTTGCAATTAATGAAAGTAGATTTTTTAAGGTCAAAGTTTGACCCCAACACTTATAAATAAATAAAATATATATATACGAGTATATTTGAGAAAATAAAATTCAAGATATATATATATACTCCATTATATCTCATTTGCCATCTAGAAAATTGATAAGTCAACGAGAAAAAAGATGAATCAACAAAGGAAGCCTTCTGCCCCTTTCTTGGTTATTTACAAGTCTTTAACTATTTATTTTAGGTGGTTGTGTCTGCGGCAGTTCTAATTTGATGGTTGGCCGTAACTAAAATCCCAACAAGAATCCGAATGCGGTCGTTTTTTTCGTTGATTCCATTTCCTTGTTTTATCAGTTTTACACCGCATTTTTCTTCCATTGTCCCCTGTTGCATGCCCCATGCATGCTTTGACAGGTCAAAGTCTAATAAAATAATAGAAAAAAACCCAACCCCAAAGACAAGTTACAAGGTGGTCAACTCACGCCACGCGCACACACTCACACCTCAGCCGGGCGTATGTAATTTACATACACACACGTTGCTCTCATCCCCTCTCAGATTCTATTTAAACCCTTTTGCTTCATTGCCATTGAGTTTCCAATGCCCCCACTTTATTGCTTTTAATAGAGAAAAGTCGAAATTTTGGACTTTGTTTTGTGTTTGTGTCAACTATATATTTTGGGGTTTAAGCCGTGAACTTGAAGCCAGCCAGCTCTATCTTGGTTTTCATAGCTTCATTTCCATTCATAGAATGAATAAAAACGATCAATATGAGAGGGTATTTAATCACTTTGATGAAAATGGAGATGGGAAGATATCACCGGCGGAGCTCCAACAGTGTGTGAAGGCGGTAGGAGGGGAGCTGTCCCTAGTAGAGGCGGAGGTGGCGGTGGAGGCCTTGGATACGGATGGGGATGGATTGTTGGGGTTGGAAGACTTCATTAGGTTTGTGGAAGAAGTTGGGGAGGAAGAGAAAGTGAATGATTTGAAAGAGGCTTTCAAGATGTATGAGATGGAGGGTTGTGGGTGTATTACACCAAAGAGTTTGAAGAGGATGCTTAGTAGATTAGGTGAGTCTAGGAGTATAGAGGAATGTAAATTGATGATTGATCAGTTTGATCTTAATGGTGATGGAGTCCTCAATTTTGATGAATTTAGAGTCATGATGCTGTGATGTATATTTCTTCTTCTTCTTCTTCTTCTCTTCCCTTTCTTTTTTCTTTCTTGATACTTGATAGTGATTCAGATTTATTTGCATTAATTATTAATTCGTTCTTGATATTCTGGCTTGGTTTCTAATTTCTATCCTTAGAAACATCTTGTTGAAAATGGGTTGATTAAGATAGAAGAAATCAACTAATGGAGCTAAATTGAGACTAAAAGAAAATTTCATTACTAGTGCCATAACCAAATTAAGTTGAAACTGAAAAACTCAACCACATAGATAAAATCCTTGATTAATTTGGTGAAAACTAGGTTGAAAGTGCTTAATAACTACAGCTAACCATGTTTTTTTCATTTGAAGAAGAGAAGATTCAAGCAAGTTTTTTAGCATGAGATTTGTGGAGATTTAACATCTAATTTGCAATATATTTTTCGTTTTAATTGAAAGTATCATAATTTTATTTTACAAAAAATATTTCATAAGTTTATATTTAAACTTTTATTTATATATCATAAAATAATCCTTCAAATATCCCGATATGAAATAAGAGTATCACAAGATCATATACCATCCAAACCAAAAGCTAATAAAGTTTTCTAAAATTTAACATTCGAGTATTCAGAGGGATATTCGATTGTAGACATTTAATCTCAAATTTGCACTTCAAGTTATAAGATGGATTTTGCTTTACATCTAAAAACAGTTGCAAATTTGCCATATTTAAATTTTCTCTGTTTGTTTGAACAATAAAAGACTGACTTTTGAACCAAATCTAACACCGTGCCTTGTATCAGACTCACATATACACACGTTATGTATTCTACCTTAGTCCTTGTATATATGTTTCGTGAGAAAATTTGAAAGTAAAGAATTAAGAAAGCTTTGGATTTCAATAGATGCTTGGCTCTTTTGCTGAATGACCGTAGTGTTAGGTTAATTTTTATGAAAACTGACCCATAGTATAGTAACGAATCACAAGATTTTATACCTAAAATAAACACGAAATTTAATTTAGTTAATTTATACAATCATTTTTAAAAGATTATTTTTAATAAATTCGATATTCAAATTTCAACACTTGTAATCCATTTTTTTAATCTTAAATCACCGTATCTTTCATTGAAAAAAAAGGTTATAGGCAAAATGAAAGAGAAATGACAAGGTCATAAAATTAAAGCCTAATATGACCAAGCTAAAAATGAGCTAATTTAATGAGCAGGATTTTGGCCTGTCCAAAAAACTACAAGGTGTGAGAGGAGATGACCCTCACCCTTTCTTCCTTTTTTGTGGAAAAATAGAGAAGTCTATGTCCTGTAAGACTTTTCCTTGGTCCCTTCCCACCCAGAAAAAAGCTTTTAATTATTGACCAGAAATTCTGATATAAACGTGATTCTCATCATGATAGAGGTCTTACAGGGGTCAATATGACTCAACCACCACAAAAATGAAGATGGTAGATAGTGTTTAACCTCAAAAATCCCCCAGGATTCCAATTTCCAAGTTCAATACTCCAAAACTGTGATCCAGTGAATGTGAACCATGCCTCTAACAAGCATCAGTATAAACTAATCACCTGGAAAGTGGCAACCTTTTGGTTATAGAATTTCTGTCATTCTTAATTGATTGATCTGTCTGTAGTAGCTGATCTTTGACTGAAGAGAGTCAAAGCAGCACAGGCTTCAATAAAGAAACATGAGGCTATGTTAAACAAACAGCTCCACCATTAGCTTCATAGCTTATAAATTATATGTAATCTTAGAGGATTTCAACATATTGAGTACTTCTATGATTTATTATTTCAGGAAATGTAGAGAATACAAACTACAAAGTAGAAACCTGCCTTGTTTGTCCAATTCAGTTTCTTAATTACATATTTACAGGATCCCACTACTCTTATCAAGAAGACAAGAGGCTACGAGCCAAGGACTGCAAAACATTTCGAAACAGCTGAAAAATTAGAACTAAAAGTGGCTATTTTGGATCCATTAATAGATTATTCACAGATTGGTTGTTGATGATGCATTTACCAAAGGTTTGCAAGAGCTTTCACAGATCAACATATTTTCCCCTTCTGGTGATTCTTCCACCAATCTCGATAACTTCTCAACAATCTCTCCGGCATTTGGTCTCGAAGAGGGATCTTCTTCTGTGCAAGCTCTTGCAAGATTTGCCAATGTGACAGCTGCATCAAATGAGTAATTCTCCCCTAATGCACTGTCCATCCATTCCCTTAGCGCATCTGCACTTGCTGACTGCAATATGGACCTGATTTTCTCTGAAAGCCAAACATTCCCTCCACCCTTCTTATCAGGTCTGCTTATTGGTGTTTGCCCGGATAAAATCTCAAGCAAAACTATCCCATAAGCAAAAATGTCAATACCTGGGGAAATCACGCCTTGATGAAGATATTCAGGAGCTAGATAACCCAGGCTCCAAGTGGCGGGGTTAGTTGAAAGATCAGGATACTTGATATCATCTTCAACACACCTTGCCATACCAAAGTTTCCTATCTTTGCGTTGAAATCTTCATCCAGGAAGATATTTCTGCTCTTGACATTTCTATGAACATAGCATGGATTCATAATCTGATGCAAATATTGTAATGCCACTGCTACATCAAGACTGATCCTCAGCCTCTGCTTCCATGTCAAAAAGCAATAACAGGAGGCTATGAACTCATTTTTCATTGCCAATCCACCATGTAGCCAGTCCTTCAAGGAGCCATTTTTAGCATATTCGAAGACTAAAAACGAACTGGAGCCCTCAGTCACACAGGTCCCCAACAGTCTAATTATGTTTGGGTGCTGATGATTTGCATCATTAAAGAGTTTAAGCTCAACCTTTGAAATAATTTCTGTTCTTGTGCCCCTTATCGCCAAGTTTTTACCATTGAGACGACCATGATGCACACTTCCTTCTATCTGATTACTCGGATTGAAATCCTCAGTAGCTTTTCTAAGCTCCTCTATGGTGTACATGTCCACCTGCGCCTTTCGGGGAGTAACACTGCCAATGATCTGACCATCTAGAGCATCCTGCTGGGATCCCTCAAAAGAGACTTTCTTCTCACTTGCAGTTCTTACACTTAAACTAAGCTGCTGCAGTTCCACATCTGCATCCTTGCTTAAATTTTGCTTCTTCTTCCTTTTCAATTGGATCAGCAATAAGGTTGCTGCAACAGCAATGATAGCTCCAACTACGATTCCACTTAAAGCAATATAAACTCCGACTTTCCACATCCTTGACTTCTTCTTATGAGGATTAAGTATTGGGATGCTGGTTTCAGGAAAACGCAGACTAGGCTCACTAGGTTTTGCTAGTGAACCAAGAAGAGGCTTACCATTGAGCGGAATCAAAAGAGATGTAAGGGGTACTAAACTTTCAGGTTCGAAGGCCCCTAAAGATCTGTTATTGGCAGATATTATAGCTTCTGAAGTTGTATTGAAGGCAATAGCCAAGTTAGAAATCGTATCACCTTGACTTACAGGGTAAGAAAGTACGAGCCTTGCTTTTGAAGTGACTTCAGATGCTGATGGACATGAGCATCTTAATGGTATCAGTATCCGAACTTTGTCATCAAGACCCCATGGTGAGACACCAGGATTCTTCTCTCGAATAGCTTTGCAAGTTGTCAAGCCTTCCAGTGACTCAGCAATATCATAAAAACTCTCCCCTTTGATTGTATTTTTTGTTAAATCGGCATGGAAGAAACCATTGTTGCATTTACAATCAATTGGCAACAACAAAGGCTGATCTCTTGGCAGAAACTCTGTTTGTGCAGAGAAGCCATTAGCTTCAGCAATTGCAAATTTGTTGAGGCCTAAATAAAAGCTCAGATTGGAAAGAGATGAGTAGCATGAATTAGTCCGAAGCACTGCAAACGTGCCACATTGATCCGCTGATCCATTTACACTGCAACGGTACCCGGATGCATCTGGAGATGTAGTTTCACAGCTCAGCAAGTTCCGTCCAAGTGAAGCAACAAGTAGCCAGATGAACAAGAATAAAGCTCTCAAGTAGAGCTTACTGATCAGAGATGCCATGTCAATAGGCAATCAGTTCAACATAACTGACCAATTAAAAAAAGAGCTCACTGCGAGAGAGTGAATATTTTGGATCCATACACAAAAGAAAAAAGGTTTAAAAATAAGTGCTTTTTTTGCTTTTTCTTCAAAGACTCTCAAAGACAGGATTCTTGAGGATGACAAAGATATTGTATATTTTTATCTGGTTCCAGCTGTTTGGTAACCACCTAGCCTTGGGCTTTGATTCGACTGATTAGGGGGTGGCTATCTATCCCCAAGTTTTCAGTTGCCGTTGATTGCAGAGCCACCACTCATATAGTTTATAGAACTTTGGGGCCTTCAAACCTGCTTTTATATGCTGAAAAATATGCATACAAGTCCATCATACATGTGCTTTGACAGGACACTTAATTTGTTCCTTATCTAGATACATGTGTAGCAATTGGATGATGCTAGCTCTGTGATATTCATTCTCCTATCCCATGAATGCCTCGGTAGATCATGGACACACAAACATTTTGTGCATATGGTCCTCAAGTTTGGAACAAAGTTGCTTAGAATTCACAGACCAGGAACGGGAATGCACAACATTACTTTGTCCTTGATTGTGGTACCATTGTTTGTCATCTTTCTTGGTTAATTTCTACAGAATCCATTTTGCCGGAGCAATATGAAATCAACATTAAGTGCCAATGTAAATTGTAAACTTGGATAGAGTTTTACTAGTAAACCTTTATTGATAGAAAATATGAGCAGCTAATGTGCCAAAATCAACCCCCGATTGAGTTTTTCTGCACTCTTAAATTGCTTCTGCTGCCCTTTTTCGCGAACAAAATCAAGATTGGAATCACTGCATTTTACATAAACATTAGCAGTAGCATCTATAAATTCTGTTTAACTACAATTTGGACCTTTATTGCATATTTTATGATAAAGTCATAGTACTATTGAGGGACTAGAACACAATAGAGAGGTTCGTATTGCAGAAATCAGTCTCATCAACGCCTGATGGAACCAGAAAAGAGAAATACATAAAGCATATGCACAAACACATGCATGCATTGGCTGATTTATAGACATTCCTGCCCTACCATAACAAAGAATTGGGTAAGGTCGCGTTTGGGGACCCTCCATTGACAAAAATTAGGCCCCAATTTTCTAACGTTTTCCTTCATGTAAATTATGATATGATGATCAAAATTCCTTGCTCTCATGAAGATTTTCTAGACAGAACATGTGAATTGCCATTGCCAACTCAGCTGCCTACGTGGGAACCAACTTGATGAGATTAGACAACTTGGTGAAATCCACATGCAATAAGCCAATTAGAGATGAATTTCAATGACTGAAAATTTAAAAAAAAAAAAAATAGAGATAAGGGAAGACTTATATCACTATCTATCAGAAAACACGGGTTCTGATAGGCAAATGTAATTTTCCTGTCGAAGTCTTAACAAAAACCTATTGTTATAAAAGAGGCAAAAGGGTATTCTTTCAAGCAACTTTGATGAGTAGAAATGATTTAGATTTTGAAACATAAAAGAAAGAACAGGAAAAAGGAAGATGATATCGATCTATGGAACATATGTCCATGCAACGAAAAGCTGGGGCATGAAAGGAAGGCTAGAGATTCATAGGTCAAATTTGCCATGAAAATCCTAAGCTGACAAGCTCCACTCTTTCCAAAAGTACCAGCCATGATCATCGTCATTGCACATCCTACACTGAAAATCTAGGTTGTCCATGGAAGTCAACTAGTTTTGGATCTCAACTCGAAAGAACAAAAGAATAAATACAGAAGGTTTTGAAGATTTTCTTATCCCAAAAGTGAGTATTGCATTTTAGTAGAATTTGGTTTTTCTGAGTTCACAGCTTTTCATTTTAAGCCCTGATATTGAAATGCTTGAAAGATTCAATTATCGATAAAACTACTTTTAGAAGACCTGATTTGCATGTGAAAACACGTGAGACAGTGCATATTTTAACATGGATCAAACAACAACAAACTTTGGACGATGGAACATGCCTTGGCTGACACCTCAAGGACTCATTTTTATCGAGGACAAATGGATGTCTCTCACGTGCACAGGAATGGACATGTGAAGCCATCTCGTTTCTGTTTGGAAGAACCTGGATCCAACAAGCTGATGAAAGTCCAAAATAAAAGATTACAGATCTAGGGGCCAATCTTACCTTCAGGTGTGCAAAAGAGAGAAAAGGGGCATGGATAGATTCAAGGATGGAACAGTATCCAGATCACAGGTTTCAGATCAATGACTCTGAATAGATTTGGTTTTTCTGAATCAGGTTTACTAAAAGTTGGATCTCTGACTAATAATTCATGAATAGAGGATAAGGAAAAGACAATAAACCCCAAGGGCACCAAGCAAGTATGTGGCAGACAACATTAGCACAGAAAGTTGCCCTAAAGCAAGCTAAATTTTACAGCTCATGCCTCTAGAATTCCGATTTCTTTTTTTTTTTTCCCACGTTTTGGCAAACAAGAAACAAGGTCTCATGAATTTTGACAATATATAGACACAACAGATGAAATAAATGACAAATTTTGTGGGAAAATTATATCCCTAAATATGAATGTTATAATTTAAAGTCAAAACATTAATAATTATACTTTGTAGGCCGGTTTGTAAATACATAGACCTCTCTAAAAAGGTCACATCATGAGATGATGTGAATATTAGTGTCATTTTATTGAATTTCAAATCTTATCATGTGAGACCAATGTAGTGTACAATCCATAAAAATTTTCTCATGAAAACCCATATGTTTATCTTGCCGGTAATAATGTTAACATTTCTCCTGATTTTCCAAAACACTCTTTCGCATAAGGGATATAACTGCAGCTGGCTCAGGAGCTCCAAATACTGAACTCCCAGCAACTATGCAATTTGCTCCTGCTGAAGCAGCCATTTCAATAGTTGAAGGCCCTAAACCACCATCAACCTGTAAAACGAAGCCACAATAGCTTCAACAGGTGGTCATTGCAGTAATGCAGGAAGAAGATGTTCCTAAGAATAGGTAGTCTTGAAGAAGTAATCATTGCAAATTTGAGTGAAGTTATAGAATATTACAAGGCAATAAGTTTGATTACCTCTATATCAAGTGATGGATACATCTTCCTTAGAACACGCACCTTCAAAGCAAGTGAAAAATGTCATTCAAATAAAATTTAGAAAGTCTGAAATGAGATTGAAGAACAATAAGAAATGATATGACACCTTATCCATCATTTCTGGCATGAACTTTTGCCCACCAAATCCAGGTTCTACAGTCATCACAAGAACCATTTCCACGGGATTTTCACTGTCAACCTAATAGATAAGATAATCACCCACCCAAGAGACACATTAATCACAAAATATTTTTTAAAAAAAGTACCACATAATAGTGATCAAAGAATTAGACAGAACTCCATTCAATTCCGAGAACCGACTAAAAATACAGATTTGAAAGCTCAAAAATCAGAGAAAAAGAAGGAATTCATACCAGAGGATAAACCTCCTCAATTGCTGTTCCAGGCTTTAATGCCACACCAGGCCTCATGCCTTTTGATTTAATTCTTTGGATAAGTTCTTGCCAATTTTCTGCAAAAGGTGACACGACATCTTTGCATAAGAAATCAAGGAAAAGAATAGATAAGATGGCAGGATGTAAAACAAAAATGAAAAAGGAAGACCACATCACATCCCACCTTTGGATACCTCAACATGAAAAGTGAAACCAGATGCACCAGCTTTACCCAAAGGTTCAACATAATCAATAGGATTAGTGACCATAAGGTGGCAATCCAGATATGCCCTGTGGGAGAAGAAGGACCCTTGATGTATTTATTGATGTAAACTTGCTAATATTGAAAAGCCAAAATGGTGCCAGGGCATAAAGAATGTTACTTTGTGTGCTTTCTTAAACTCTCAATAACTGGAGCACCAATGGTTAGATTCGGGACAAAGTGTCTGTATAAAAATATAACAACGAACAGGTAAGCATCTAGAAGAACTCAATAAGAGAAACAGAATGGACTAGGTCATAAAAATAAAATGCAAGGCTAAACAACTATAGCATACTGACATATAGCAAAAATCAATCCAATTTCAAAAGTTAATGTAACAATTAGGATTAAGCACAGAAAGTTTACTGAATTTAAACAATTAATGTCCATTTCCTTCCCATCAACAAAGAATCATCATTCTTTTCAATGTTTCTAAATAACTTTTCAAACTATTAACAACTAAGGATATTGAATCCTTCAATTTCCTAACATATAAGCATATCCTCAGCCTAAGTACAAAACTCATAAAAATTTTACTTGCCATTGATTTCGATTAAGGATAGAAATATAAGGCTTCAATCTAAGTTAATGACCATCAATAAAAAGAGTTTCTCCTTTATTAGCAAATTATAAAACAGCTAAAAAATTCAAAAAAATGATTAAAAAAAAAGTTGAGGAGATGGAGATGGAGAAAGAGAAAGAACCAAAATCCTAAAGGAGAGAACTTTATCAAAGCAATGAAACATACCCATCCTGCAGAACAAAACCCAGAAACCAAAAAAGGGTTAGAATTTGAAAATCTTTTTCATTTAATTAAGAATCAATAAAACAACAAAGTCTGAAACTTTTACCATGATATCCATGTGAAGCCAATCAGCTCCAAAGTCAAGCATGCGGTTTGCCTCCGATGCTAAGTTAGCAAAGTCCGATGAAAGCATGGATGGAGCAATTTTTGGTGTTACACCCATCTTTGGAATCCGACCCAATTTCTGTCTGTGCTTTTCCCGGGTTTACAGATGTTTTGTCTTGCTTTCTGAAGAGACGGTGGACCGGCCGTTAAGGTGGAAGTTCGATGTAGTTGAGATAGATTAGATGTCCAAAGGTCTAAACGGTAGCGTTTATTGGTCAAAGTTGTCGACGTTCTTACCTACCTTTATGTGCGCTTTACCTTAGGACAACCTAACCATGTTCAAAAATAGTGTCTTTGGTTCCAAAAAAAACATTGATAGCTCTCTTGACAGAATTTTCCTCCTTCTAGAAATAAAATGCACATTTATTTTTTTTCGAATCTGTAATTTTTAAGAATTTATAGTATACGTGTCACCTAGTTAATGTAAATATTAATTATAAAAAATTTTATATTTATTATAAATTTTATATTAAATTTACTATTAGTAATATAATAAATTAACATCTCATAAAAATTAATTTTAAATATATTTTAAGATTAAGTGTATTTATTTTTAATTTTTAAAATTAAATTTTTTATAAGATATTATTGTATAATTTATTAATAAAATAATTAAAATTAATTATCATGACTTTAATAAAGAAAAATTATTTGATGTGAAGTTTTTTAACTTTATAAATGATTAAATATGATACATATTTTATTTTTAATTAATTTTTATTTTTTAAATATACACTAATAAACATATATCATTATCTTAATTTCACTAATGATATTAAAAAATTGCACGTTTTTATTAATTATTGACTAAAATATTCGCTTTGTTATTGTTGTGTGGGTCAGTGGGCGAGAGGAAAGTGGATTTTCTGTTTAGGCCGAGAAAGAAAATATGAAGTTAATTTGTTAGACCAAGATTAGAGCCCAAATGTTCAAGGATATTGGGCTTTCATGTTTCCTTACTTTTTGTTTGGATAAGAGGAAAGTGGATTTGGGAATGTTAGCGTAAGAAGGAAAACAGATAATGGAAGATTAAGAACCAAAAATCAGATTACAAGAAAAGGAAAAATAATTAGATTATGTTTAGTAACAAGAGAGTGGGATTTGTTAAAACCACTGATCAAAGAACTGTACTGAATCACTCAAACAAATATCACATAGTTTAACCTAAAAAAAATTTAACGATTTGTATATTTATATAGTGTAAAATATTAAAATACATGTATTTATATTATATTTTATATAAAAATTATGTGTTATAATTCGTATTGATATAAAAATATAAAATATATTTTTTATTTATTAAATTTATATATAATTATTATTAAAATTTTGAATCGTGTCATATTTATATTATATTTTCATATTTTGTTGTAATATCAAATTTTAAATTATTAGATTTAAAATCAAGCAAAAAAAAATAAAAATAAAAACCCTTTTTCTCCATAATTTATGATTCAAAGCTGGATTGATCAATTCTCTAAATCCTTACCAAGATGTGATACTTTTTGTGAATGTGAGGCTCAAAATGCTAGACAGAAACGTTGGAGATGGTAGGACTTGGCCTTGGCATTGGCCGGCCAAGGGAAAAAGGATACGGACAAAAGAAATATATTCTTTGATTAGAAATTTTTTTAATGCCAATTGATTGACAAAACCTGTCTGGTTTTTGGCAATAATAGGCCATAGCCAACTTTGTGGGTTCCCATATTAATTCCACAGTTGCTTCTTAGCACTTCTTCCATGTAATATGTCTCTTCTAAGCTTATTATATCAAACTTTAATTAAATCATCTTTTTTTTTAAAGTGTTGTGATTATACATAACTGATTAACTTCTTGTGAACTAATTACAAAAATGGAGAGAAAAGTTGACATAATCATGCAATCTTTATTCTTCACCTCTATGCTTTATAGGTGGGGCTTTTCTCTAAATTAGATTTGCAAACAAAAAAAAAATTAATGTCCTAACTCTTGCTTGGCTACGAATATATAATTTTAATCCCTTTAAAGCAGTCAATTATTATCAATTTTTTGTACATTTAAAATTTTGGGATGGACCGGACCGCAAAATTTAATTCCATTAATTTATGTAATCATTTATAAAAAATTACATATAATAGATCTGAAGTTTAAATTTTAGTGTTTATAACTCTTTTTAGTCTCAAATTATAATTTTTTTTACAAAAAAAAATAAAATGGATTGTGTCATATGGTACAATTTGGGATAAATTCTATAAATAATATATAGGAAGAAAATATATATAATTTTAAACCTACCCAAAGCATATTTGTGTTAGAAGATAGCAAAGGTCTTGTGAACCAATAATGGGAAAGGAGAAACTTCAAAAATAATCTTACAATCACAACTATTTAATCTCAATTTCTCCCTTGACTATGCCTTTTAAATCACTTCAATCTTGATGATGATAAAGGTTAGCCTACTTGATGGGGTAAAAATACAATAACCTCAGTAAAAATTTATAGACTATATAAAGGCATTTTCATGTGGATTCATATGCTCATTTTTGTAAACATGAAAAGAACAATTTGACCATGTTATTCAAATGTCATAATTAGTAGGTAAATTGGAAAAGTAGGTAGCCACAATGTGTGTGGATAAGATGATAAGGTGAATCATGATATTTTTTGGATTATGACTTATGATATCAAATAATTCATCATGTTCGACATTTAAAGTCACACATTACGCATATATTATAATATTTTTTGCGCATACACACTTAGCACAAAAAATTAAAAAAAAAAAAACTATATAACAAGCAACAAAATCAAATACATCGACCTTTTGATCACAATTGTCAATAAAACCATTTGATAATATGTTTGATAGAAAATTTTTCATTAAAATGTATCATAGGTTTTTGTACTTTTTTATTTTTAGGAATTTAGTTCCTATATTATTATTTAAAAGAATTTAATCATTATAATATTATTTTTAAGAAATTTAATCCCTATAATATTATTTTTTAAGGAATTTAATCTATATTCATTGTTAACGATTGAATTGAAATCCTTAAAAAATAATATTATAAGAATTAAATTCTTTTAAATAATACTAAAATAATTAAATTCTTAAAATTTGAAGAGTACAAGAACCTATGTGACATTTTGACCAAAATTTTAGTACTGATTTCTAGTTCTTGTGTGTAAAAAATGTGGAATTCTGTTAGCTTGATGATATAAAACAAGGGGAATCTGAGAATGATATTTCCATTTCTGGTTTATTCTTTTTAGTTTCTTTTGATATCAAATGCAAGGCCAAACATCAATCATATGAAAAAGAGACTTTTTTTTTTTTTTTCTTGAAACATGACAAGCAAACAAACTGTTGGGTGGCTTGGATATGAAACATAAATGCAGATTTTTACAAAATTTTCTTTTCATAAGCAGACAAGATTCAATATAGATTAATTGTATTTTGCCCATTTAGATCATATAGATATGACTGATCAGCAACACTTGCTCAAAAAAGGGCCCATAGAGTTCAGAAAAAGATACAAACCAAACTTCTTAGTAGAAGGAACTGAAAATCAGGCCCCAATAATCCAGCTTTCAGTTTGTTTTGTCTACCAAAATCCCTAAATAATTCAGTTTACCACCTGTTTTTGCCCATGAAAAACTCCATCTGTTATCTGTGATACCAATTTTCCATCATTTTCAATGGAAAATATGGGGATTAGCAAGCAATCCCATTTCTGCTGGACTCCATTCAAACCAGAATTTAAGGGTAATCTTCATCTTCATATGCCGCTGTACTTCTCCCTGTTATTCTCAAAAAATTGATTGCTTATCAACCTTAATACCCCGACAGACATCTTAGCTTCAGCTTCAAGACTCACTAGATTTTTTGCAAACTAAGCTTTATCTAAGTTTAATTCTGTTATTGGACAATTTTATTTTGATATGACAATTCGTATATTTATTTCATATAAAATATTAAAATTCAATTAATTTTTTATAGAATATTAAAATTTGTATATTCGTATCGTATTTTACATAAAAATTATTAAATAACTTTTAATATACCTATTTTTAATTTGTATCAATAACTTTATAATGGTAAAAGAGAATAACTGCTTTATTGTGTAATTCATCAGGTTGGGAAATTTTCAAAACTTTTGTGCTTTTATTTTGGCATTAAAATCATATATTTAATAACAATCAAACATTAAATTTATGTTTAACTTTGCCATTTGTGATATGTATATAAATAAAGACTTTCACCAAACTCAAACCTAAATCCAACAAAGAACATCAATGGCAATGCAAATATATTCTTGCTAGCTGGCCAAATGCATGAATGACAAAATTTGAATCCCTTTTTTTTATATATATATATTCTTCTTCTTGTCATGCACAAGAAACAACCATGAATTAGCATTTTAGAAAGTAGAAAAAAGTGTGAGGTTCAAAGCAATGGAATGGATTCAAAGCAATGTATACTATATATTGACTTGAAATCACTAGGAAACTTGTTTAATGTGTAACATATATATATATATATATATATATATACTACAAAAAATGTTTTGTTTAAGATTTATAATAATTTTCAAATTTATTTTGTTTATTTAGATAAGATTTTTGGGTTGTTTTTTTGAAAGAACAAATAGTTTTAATTGATAGAGAATTGTCTTCTTTTGAATCCAAAACAAATATCAAGGTAAGGTGGAACCAAATTTATGTGTTTTTTAAACAAAATATAGTAAACAACAGAAACCCATTTACAATTTTTAAATGAATCATCCTTCACAAAAAGCAAAGTTGAGGACTATAATTTGGAATAGCTGAAATATTATTGAAGTTGACGTTTGAAGGTTGTGGATTCGTTTATGCGAGTAATACCTTTCTTAGCCAAATATATAATAGGGTATGTGAATTTAAGGGAAGATAAAAAAACTTTTAAAAAAATCAAGTTGTGAAAAAAAAATGATTAAACATATGATTTGAGAAAGATGAACTATCCATACATGTTTGTTTAGAATAATATTATACTATAGGCTATGAAATTCTATAGTAGCTATGAAATTCAAGGCTTGGAATTTTGCCCAAAAATCAATAAAATAACAAACAAAATGAAAATCCCAAGTAACTTAGCACACACATTTGGAAAAAGGGTATGCCAATATATATATATATATATATATGAAAAGGCCCAAATTAAGGTGATTAGGTGACCTAAGACCTTCTGATTATATTGAATTAGTCATCAAAAGGTTAACAATTGCCAACTTTTCCTTCCCTATATTCATACCATACCTTTCATTCTTTAATCATATTAAATAGTGTGGACCAAGGCCTCTTTTAATCTTCCCCTTTTGCAACTGAATTTTGAATTGATTTATTATATTTAAATATTCCTTCAAGTTTATCATGCATCACTCATTAAATTAACTTGAGTAATATATTATGATTTTGTTTTGATTCATACTTTTGATTTTTGCTTTTTTTTTTAATAAAATTAATAATTAATAATAAAAAATAAAATATCACATGAAAGATCTGATTAGATTATGAATGATTGAGATAGTATTTTAAAAAGATTTTTACATTTCATTTTAAAATTATTTTCTTAATTATCACTTAAACAGTAATTAAGTATTCTAAACATTGGAGATCAGAGTAGAAAAAAAAAAAAAAAGGCCTTTTACACAATTCACAAGAGTGACATTGAAGTGGGTCCCAAAATTACCATAATGGTAAAAGAATTCTTTAAAAGAGTTAGACATGATATTAGTGAATCGGTATAATTTAAAATATTAAATTTTTTAATATTTGTATAATAATTTTTATATAAATATGTATAATAATTTATGTTGAAATAAAAATATAAAATATATTTTTTATTTATTAAATTTATATAAAATTATTGTTATATTTTAAATAATTTTATTTTTATATATATTTTATATTATATTCCTATCATAACATCATATTATATTTTAAATGTCTAAAACTAACCCACCGTTAAATGCTAATAATAATAATATAAATTTTGAAAAAAATTGCAAAAATATCTTTCATTCATGCACTGCTTTGCTAATTGTAGTCACTGTTCTAACTCCCCTTTCAATTCAAGGCCTAACTCTTTCTCTCTCTCTCTCTCTCTCTCTCTCAAAGGAGGCATTTTCCACTTCTTCAACATAACGCCAAAAAACGCACTACTGACTTTCCTTCTCTTTCCCATTTTCTTTTACTTCTGCCTTTTGGTTGCAGACTCCATAGACGAAAAAGGAAGAAGAAAGTTTCTTTTTTTATTTTTTTGCTTTGTTGTGTGGCTGATGTTGGGGTTCTAAAGGGTTGGAGATAGAGAAAAAGAAAAGAAAAGGGAGTGATGGGTTCATGTGTATCAGTGCAGAAGAACTCTCAAGAGTCAACCATGAGACTTGGATTTTCTTTTGGGTCTAAAACAGACAATCTTATCATTCCACCTTCACCTGTTAAGGAGAAAGGTGCTATTGCCAGTGGTGACTCTACTCTCAAATCTCGTTCTCCCTCTATTTTCAAAGATTTAGGTAAGTGGGTTTCTTTTTGGTTTTATTTACGTTGTTTTGGAGATAAAAAAAGAACTTCTTGGAGTTACTTGGTATGAGGTAAAGGCAATCTTTTTGGTTTTTTTTTCTTAAATCTTGTTCTCATTAATCTTCAATGGAGTGCAAAGTTCTCTTTTATTTATTTTTTTCTTTACCCTTTATTTCTGTTTAGAGATGATGTTTTGCTTTGATGATATGAGATCTGAAATGGGTGTATGGTTTGTCAAAGTTACTTTTTTTTAACTATCGACATGTTGATCTTTGTATCAAGCAGTTTATTTTTTTTTCATAGAAAAAATAAATTTTTTAGTTTGATGAACGATGATATTCCCATCTCCATTATTGATTTTTATGAATATTTTTCAACGTCTGCCATGAGTGATATGCCTAGTGAAATTGGTTTTTTACTCTGTTGATTGTGACATATACATGGTGGCTTTTTTCTTTTTGTTTTTTGTTTTTTTTCTCAATGTTATGGTTTCTTGGCTTGATCCAGTATGGCTTTTTTTGGGGTATATTTCAGAGCATTTTCACTATTATTTTAGTGCAATCTCTTCTATCATTCTTAGCTTAAATTTAGGATTCCCTTCTCCTTCTTAGATGATTTAGACTCTTCTTTGACTTCCCCCTTCCCCTCCATGGTAGTAGATTTAATTTGTTTATTAGTATTTATTTTGGATTACAGTTTAGTTTCCTTTGTTTTTGGAACAAAAAAGAAATTTTTTTTTTTGTTAACATAACACTGTTTAATTAAATGCTTACTACTAAATGCAATTTTCCCACTCTTCCAATTGAAGATGAGAAGTGTACAAAAAAGTAGCTATTCTTTGGTTTTCCTCTTGCCTTGCAAGAGAAGTCATTCACCATTTTGGAACTTCGAGGCGTATAGGAAAATTGTTAGTTCATATGAAAACATTCTTAATGACGAAATTTAATGTAAGACAATGAAGCTAATTTTTCCTAATGTAGCAGTATTGAAGTTGAGAATCTAATTTCAGACTTATTGGATGCCCTTGCCTAATGCCTTACCATGCAATGTGGAATATATAGACATGTCGCTGTATCAGCAATTAACAATCTTCTTCCTGTATCCTAAATGCTTGTTTTTAGAATGTCTGATATATGAAGGTATGCACCTTTGTGGACAATTTCTTTTCTTTTTTTTTTCTTTCATATTAGTGCAGTACATCTTGTGGTAGATTTATCAGCCCTTGGTGGAAAGCTGGTTGATGGATGGACCACTCTTAAATGTAGGGTGGGGCAAACAGTTTTAAGCAAGTTTTTTTTTTATGGATATTACTGTATTAAGATGGGTATTAAATCCCACAAGAAAAACAAATTGTGGATTATGTTGTTGTGGCCCTTACAACATGTAGAATTTATGGTTAATTCAATACACTTGGCTATGCATCACGGGACTGCTGGTGGTGATGTTATATCTGTAGAATATCAAAGAGATGACATCTTTGTCAACCTTGAAACATTTTTCTTCTGTATCAGGTTGCTTTGTACATCATATACTGTCACTGTTGATTTTTCTCTGGGGGATGTAATGTTTGCTGCTTTAATAATTCAGAGTGATACGTTAATCCTTTTTATTCTTCTTTTATTTTTCTGGTGGAGGTGGGTGGGTTGATAAATTGCATAAATAGCTCCATTAAAATCGACATTTAGTTATGTTTTGGGGTAGGACATCGGTAGAAATGAACCATTTTTATGTGGTATGTTTTTTAACATCAAATTCTGATCATACTGAGAACTTGGATGCTGCAGTTTCCAAATTGTGTTTTGACTTGACTGCTTTTCCTAGATGTTAGATCTTTTATATTTTGAGATTGAAATTCAATATTTCTATAATTGTATAATAGTAATGCTCAACATCATGTGATGTAATAGTTACTACTTAATTTTAAGATATGTATGCTATGATGTGTGTTAATGTAGTTGAGCTCATATCTAGATATGCTCTATGACAAGTATGTCAATGCTCAACAATGATTTTCTTTTTGTAGGCAGTAAAGAGGAAACCTTTTTTGATTCCCGAGCATATCTAGATTCTGATTGTGAGGATGATTTCTTCAGTGTCAACGGTGGTAAGGATATTAGAACTGTTTGAATTAATTCATCTAGCAAGCTTATATGATTGCCATATCTCTTGATTTCTTTTATGCTATTTCCTACTGCACTCATAGTTTTTTGATTTCTTTTATGCTATTTCTACTTCACTCATAGTTTTTCATCTTTTCGATTAATTCAGTTTTTATGGATGTGCAAGGGCCATGGATAAAGTTTAATGATTTCAATTAGGTTGTTAAGTTGTGATAGTTTGGACAATGTTGCCTTGGGTGTTTTATGAGTAAAAGATCGACGCGTCTGTTTAATCCTGCTGGAATATGATTGCTACCTCCATTGCCATTTTCTGTGTTTTTTTTCCTTTTCAGTAATCATTTTCTAGTTAAGCATGCATATACTTTTGATCTTTTATTGATGCCCCATCCAAATGTTGCACATCTTTGTGCAGATTTTACTCCCTCTCGTGGTAATACCCCTGTTCATCATAAATTCTCCATGGGGTCACCTAGAGTTAACAAGGTCTCTGAAGAAGGATCTCCTGGATCAGTTTCTGAAATATCCCCAGGAAAGAAGAAGAAGCTGGCTGAACTATTCCGTGAGAGCATTAGAGAAGACCAAGATGTTAATGAGCTAAATACCTCAAGCAACCAGGACAATGCCAATGGAAAGATGGAAGTTAAATCAACAATCCAAGACGTACTACCTCCAAAATCTGCAGAAATGCCCCCTTATGTCTCTGGAGCTAACTCCCTGTGCAGTAGTGAAAGGACAGCAAATGGAGATAACCTTATGTTTAAGGAGAAACCTTTTCGGTCTGTTCAATGTTGCCTTCCTAGCTTGGTTTCGTGCAGTAGTTTTAGTGAGAGGAAGAAGAAGATGAGCCCTGCAATAGCTGTAAATGATAAGCCTTAAATTCGATCCATTTACCAGCAAGTAGGTTGAAGAAGCCTGGATTGTGGCTCCCAGAGATCATGCGCCCAAGATAACTTCAAATTTTTGTCATATTTAATGAAGCCTTGGGGTCATATTTACATGCAATGTAAAAAGCAGCCCAGTAAATGTTTGATGCAGAACTGCTATTAGGATTTTCCGTCTCAATCAACCTGGAGGTGGAAATTTTCTTTTCAACAGGTGTTCTGTAATAAAAAGCCAAAACAATCAAAGGAAAACCCGTAAATGACCCTTGTAATGAATATATATTATATATGTTAAGCAACTGAGGCCTTATGTGCAGCTCAGTTCTTTTAAGTAATCCATGCTGTTTAAATCTTAATCGTGTTTTACATTTTCAGCTGGAAAAATAGTAAGTGCTCGTATGATATATAAGTTACCTGGTTTTTAGGACCATTTTGTGTCCTCTTAGTCTGATGATCCAATGAGATTATGCATTTACCATAGGTGGTTAAAATCTTTGGCAGTATAATCTGCTAATTGGCTGTTTGCTGCGATCATGGGTTGCTACTTATTTAACAACATGCACTGTGTCATTGATCTATGAGAGAAACCATGAATCTGTTATTGGTTATGTATTAGAGTTGATTGAGCATATAAATGTTTTCATCATTTTTAACCTTTGAGACTTCTTTTGTGAAACAAAAGAATGCGATTTAATGGACCGAAGTGAAAAATATTCGGCCATTTTTAACATATGAGATTCTTAGGACAAACGTAAGGCCTGATGAACTGAAGCAAACAATATTTTGCAGATTGATCATTGATGTTTGACTTGATAATATGTCATAGATCGATGTGAATCGTGATGCATTTAATTAATATGCCCACAATGCCCTTGGGACCAATCTCTGTGGTCAGTGTTTTTACTGGGTTTAATGGTTCTCTTGAATTCTTAAAACATTTGGTTTTGGTAAACAATTTTTCCGTGAGAGGATTATGGTGGCACCTGTATAAGTCAGGGTTCTGGGGGAGTTTATGAGATGGGTTAAACTCCTCGAGGCTAACAACTTGGAGAGCCACTTTGGAAGCCGACATCGTTAGGCCCAAATAGTAAAATGTAAAATGTCAAACCTACGGAGATAAAAAAGCCCATCCAACAAAACCCAAAAGGCAGAAAATCCTGACCTGGCAGGCTAATGGATTCCTACCACGAAAAATTATGTATATGCTTTTGCAGCTTTAAACTTTCCCATGTTACAGAAGCATGGGCCATAGCTAATGAAATGAATCTGAACTTTTACTGATTTTAAAACTTGAAGAAAGAATTCAGCAATAGCATGGCATACTCTTGAAACAGGTACTAAGGTACAGCTGCTAAAAACAAAGGTAAGAAAAAGAAAAAGAAACTGACTGAAGTAATTGGTCTCTTTTGTACCCAAATGTGGTCCATACTCCATCCTATATCCTTAATCGGCTAATATGGTCACATTGTTGTAATTTACCTAGGGTAGCCCTGGACCTCCCATAAATGTGTGTCAGTTTAGAATTTTTCGCTTACTGAATTTATTTCTTAGTCAGCCTAGACAATGATCCCAGAGCAGCTTGGAAGGATTAATACTTCAGAGTTCAGACTTCAGTAATAGTTTGGAGGAATCACTGAACTGGATTTTAAATCCAATTATGGGGCGACAATGTGAAACGTACAAAGCCCATCTGGAAAAGGATGGATGCCTGTGGGCTCCTGCTTATCCACATGCAGCCCATTGCATAGTTTCTGACACTGTTTGATGGTTTACCAGTGGTGATCTTTTTCCAATCTGATTGGAGTTCCTTTCACATTGGTTCATGTTCAAAATGAAAACTGCTTCATGGGTAACGATCCTGGTTAGAATTCTGGGAAATTTCAGCATTAAAGACATTCCATTATCTCCTTTTTATTTATATTCCTTATATTTAATATCATACAGAAGTCAGAAACCAATGCTTACGTTACAAAGTAGATAAGGAATGTGAAAGTAGACGATCTCAGGAATGGGAAGTTGACTCAAGAAGTCAAAGATTAACTTTCCCAGTGAACACTTCTTAAAACAGTTTGAATTTGCCTGATTATTTCCCACCATGTAAGGTGGAACATGACAGGAGCCAGCACATGTTATAATGGGACCCCACATTTTCCTTTTGTCATGATAGGGTTCACAACAGCTAAAGCCTCGATCGCGCCTGCTATTCCATAGTATAAACTACAATCAGTTTCAGGATTAGCAGTGACATAGAGTTTCTATGATGATGTTTCATGGATCACCATATCCAGTTTGTTGATGATAAGAAGCAATAAGAAACGCTCCATTTGGGTCCCACTTTCCATTCACGTCTCCTGGAAATAACGTGAAACACCCCCCCCAATTGTAGGTCAATAAAGCTTAGTTGTCAGTTAAGCCAAAGCAAAGACAGATAAAGTAATACTAATCGTTTTTCCACTGCTCGTGCCTCTTTATCTTCTTTCTTTCTTTCTTTCAATTTTTCTATATATAGCCATTGGTTTTAGCCTCCATATATATATATATATATATATATATCCTTCCTGGACACAGACAAATCAAAACGTGCAAGTTATGGCTCCTCCTGGCTTGTTAAGTTTGGCTGTGTTCTTATGTCTCCTGGTTTTCCTAGTCGAGCCTCATAGCGCATATGGCTCGAGCCGTGGTTCGTTTGGAAGACACAACGGTGCTGCCGCTTCGGCAGTCAATGGAATATGCGCCACCTCAGTGACTATCTATGGTTACAAATGTCAGGAACATGAAGTAAGAGCATCAAACAACAAACGTTTGACACAAACCTTTTGGTGTTACTTCGAACATGGATTTGACAGAGAAGTGGCTAATGAAATTAATTGGTTATTTGCATTAATTAATTTTCAGGTGAAAACCCAAGATGGATACATCCTTAACATGCAAAGAATTCCACAGGGACGTGTCGTTGGAGGTAGTGCTGGTGGGAACAAGAAGCAGCCAATACTGATACAACATGGTGTCCTTGTGGTAAGTCAGTCAGTGCCTACCTAAATATCTTTCAGGAAATACTGACCATTCGATTATTTTATGTGCTTATAAAAATCTTCATATTAGTGCACACATTACACAAATTTAACATTACGAAGTCTTTTGGGTGTGAACTTGTCTTGATGTTCTGAAAATTTTATGACCACATTAAAGTTAAAGTAACTTTTCAAGTTTTCATTATTCCTTTCAACCAAAGCCTTGTCTGAGGAGTTAGGAACATGTGCCGTGCACTCAATTTGTCGACCGATCGAGAACCATCCTTATTAAAGCAACTTTTACCTGGTAATTGCTATGAAAGTTGAGCACTTAAAAGAAAAGAATAGGCTTGATTTACGCATGTCTGACTTTGTTCTGGCTAATAACATGCACCGTGTGGGGTATAGGCGGGTTGAAAAGTCCAGTGGACCCAAAATTCAGCATTTCTATCTGAAGCCTTTATGAAACTTTGCATGGCCTAATATCAAAAACTTTTGGGGGCTGAAGTTTTCGTCTGTTTATGTGCTAGAGATAGCATCAAAAGATAACTGCTTAATTTATGCTATGATCCTAAATGTTCAAAATTAATTTGCATCCGTTTTTTTGGGTTCAGGATGGAATGACATGGCTCCTGAATTCACCAGAACAAAATCTGCCAATGATTTTGGCTGATAAAGGTTTTGATGTGTGGATTGCTAACACTAGAGGGACTAGATTCAGCAGAAAGCACGTTTCCCTAGACCCTGGCCAGCTGGTTTACTTCTTTCCCTTCTTAGTTTTTACATATACTGATGCAATTTGATCCGTATATAAAAACTATGGTCAAAAATAGGAGTAGAAAGGGAATTTTACTTCACACTCCACACTCCACACTGGAAACTTGAATGTGAACTAGTGGGTAATGCAGCATTTGGATGTTGATCACGCATCATCAGTGATTAACAGATTGTTGAAACTGATAATATGGCAGGAGTTCTGGAACTGGTCATGGGATGAACTGGTGAGTTATGATCTACCAGCTGTTTTTGACTTTGTGTTCAGCCAGACAGGGCAGAAGATTCATTACATTGGTCATTCCCTGGTGAGAAACCATTTAACAAACTAATTATTAATATCTTCTGGAGTCAGGGATTGAAACTTTTGATATTCCAATTCAGTTCATTTGGTCGAACTCTGACTTTCCTAGAGTCATTAGCATGCTAAAATTTGTACCCCAATGATCACTTGGGCAGGCACAATGTTGAAACCTCATTGTAATTTGTCTATTCTGGTTGATAGGGAACTCTTATAGGTTTGGCATCCTTCTCAGAGGGCCATCAGGCGGACAAGCTGAAATCCGCAGCATTTTTAAGCCCAATTGCTTACTTAAGCCACATGAATACTGCACTTGGTATGGTTTCTGCCAAAGCCTTTGTTGGTGAGGTCTGTAAGCAACATTTTCCTCATCATCAATAACAGTTAATTAAACTTAACAGAATATCAATCGCTTAAAGGGTTTCATTGGTTTTGGCAACAGATCACTAAATTGTTTGGAGTAGCAGAATTCAATCCAAAAGGGTGAGAATCAAGAACAGAAAACCTGGTTTTAGACAATATTAGAGAGTGAACCTCATTCTAGCTATACTATTGTTATATTTAATGGATGGTCGTTCCAGTGGTTCATCTAATTATGTTTCTTTGTCATGACAGACAGAAAGTATCAATCTTTCTCAAGTCTTTGTGCAATTATCCCGGAGTTGACTGCTATGACCTATTAAGTTCACTTACTGGTACTAGATCCATACTCAAGTTCTTGATTCTTACTGCTTGTAATAGACTAAAACAGTAGCTTCCTCATCCTGCCAATTATAATTTTCACTATATGACTGCAATTATTGTACACAATTAGTCCTTAGAAGATGCTGATTTCTTTTTGGTATTGTAATTCAAGGTAAAAATTGCTGTCTCAATTCTTCCACAGTTGAGCTTTTCATAAAGAACGAACCCCAACCCACATCAACCAAAAACATGGTGCACTTAGCTCAAAGTAAGTCTATGAAACCCAACTCCATCTTCTTGTAGCACTTCCTTGGAATTTATCATGATGTTAGATATGTTTTCTGCATTAGGCTGTGTTTTTGAAGAAAAAAATTGAAGAAAAATAACTAGTCTTACAAATCATCATATATGCGAAAAATGATTTGTGGTGCCCTATTCACTTGTAAATGACTAACACTAGAGGCTTCCACAAAAAAAAAAAAAAATGCAGCTGTTCGAGATGGGGTTATTGCGAAATACAACTATGGTAGACCAGACTATAATCTGATGCATTACGGAGAATCCAAACCACCTATTTACAACATCTCCAACATTCCTCATGACCTTCCTATCTTCATTAGCTATGGAGGGAAAGATGCTCTCTCTGATGTTCGAGATGTTCAGCTATTGCTTGATAGTTTGAAGTTCCATGATGTAGACAAGCTCATGATTCAATATATCAAGGATTATGCTCATGCGGATTTCATTATGGGAATAAATGCCAATGATATTGTGTATAATCAAATTGTTCAGTTCTTTAAAAATCAGAAATGATCCTCAAAGAGTCCAATCAGTTTATGTGATAGATCTTGTTTTTTACTATCAAATAAATCATTTAACACGACAGAATCTGTTCAAAGCCAGCTGATTGAGATCATGTAGACAACTATCCTGGGTAACAATCTGTTTGGTAACCTGGAAAAGCAGTTTTTATCATTTCTACTTGTATTTGAAATATGCCATTCTAAATAGTAAACTGATCTGTCTGGACTATTTGGTAGGTAGCATGACCAAAATAAGAAGCCAGAAAAAGTTCTTTTTTATCAGCCGTATTAATGAATGATATTCCAAATATTGACCATATGTGGTAAAGATAACAGGCAGGTTTTCAGCTTCCTTTACTTGTATGTCTGCCCTTGTTTATCTGATATCTCTGTTTAGTATATTTGTGCTTCCAGAAAGCCCCCAGCTGAAAATGATCACCATGATAGCTTTGTTTAAACGCCAAGTTTCTGTGACCTCTAACCAACTAGATTTTGCTTTGCGGGCAATCCAAAAACATCGACAACACTTATCAAATTCCATTAACATTGCCCTTCTTTTGTTTTAGAATTACTGGCATCCCCAACCAGCATTGACTTATTGAAGGGATTGTGTTAAATTGTGCTTCCAAGGGCAATATGGTATATTTGTCTATCATGTGAAAGTATCATGATTTATAAATAGTGTGGATCAAAAATTCATGGCATGATGAGGAAGCGTTAGTTCTGATAGAGACTGTCAACAACATTTAAAGGTTTCTTTATATATATATATATATATAGATACACCAAAGCTGTCATAGACTCATAGCAACATTTCAACAAGGCCAAGAGGGGACTGAAGAAATGAGATTAATGGAGGGTATGTCCAGAATTTTCTTTATGCTCTTTCTGCTAGCATTGATAGCAAAACAAGCCTCTGCAGCTCAACATGTGGTTGGAGGTAGCCAAGGTTGGGATGAATCTGTGGACCTTAACTCATGGGTTTCGGGCCAAACATTCAAGGTCGGAGACCAACTCGGTATGTTAATTTCTTTTCCTCTTAAGTCAATCCTGTTATCTGCATTTTTTAGCAAACACATTTCATTGCATGAAGATGGCTGAAAAACTTAAATTTTTCCAAAAGTTTTCAAGTACTCTTCAGGGCTACACAGCGTAGTTGAGCTTGGAAGCGAGACTGCCTACAAGAACTGCGACCTGGGAACAGCATTGGACTCCAAAAACACTGGCAATGATGTTGTGAAACTGAACAAGGTTGGGACTCGTTACTTTGCTTGTGGAACATTAGGCCATTGTGACCAGGGCATGAAGGTGAAGATTACAACAGTAGCCGGGAATGCACCTTCTGCTCCCGCTTCAGCTTCAACAACTTCCAGGGCTTCTACCATTCAATCTTTTTCCAGCTTTCTCCTACCTGCTATAGTATTATCTGTTTGGAAGATTTGAAGCTTGCAAATTTTTACTGGCCTGGAGTAATTATTTTGTCTGGAGATTTGGGACTTTAAATTATACAAGTCAATATTGAATATCTTTTGTAAGTATCATGTCATATTTATGGTGCAATTGAGAGGATTGAATAAATTTGACCCTGATCCAGGAGACATAAAAACCTGGCAGGATTTTTTTTTTATGAAATTACTTGTTCAAAAGAAATTAGACATAATAAGATTCAATATCAAACATGACATAAAAGTTGAACTGAACTCATATATGATGAGACCTCAACCTGACAGAATTTTCTGTGAGCATCAAATCACGAGTTTCCAAAGATGTTATTATTTCCAGGATTATTTCTTCTGTCATAAAGCAGCTGATGGCAGAAACAGTCTGAGTTTGTTGGCTCATGCATATGTAAGCATCCAGCAGCCTGGCAGCCACCTAAGAACCTCAATTTTTTTTCCCCAAATTTGAAAAAAGTTGATGCCATATCCAATATAGAAATTGACTTACAAGTCAAATGTTGATCTTATATTAATCATGCATCTCAAGAAATTTGGTTCCTTCTTACCTACAGTGAATTGCATGTGGATTTGTTTAGTTTGTTTTGTCCTGATTAATAATATTCTTAATCCCAGATCAATCTTTATTTTTTTTTTAACCATCAAGGTTCAAATTCAATGAGTCAATTTCAATATCATTGAACTAATAAAACGGATCATTTATAATCAACAACAATAATGTAATTGTCTTAATAAATTTTAAATTTTTAATCCAAATAATCGAGATTTAATTTTTCAAATTTAGATATAAAAAAACAAATAAATTATTTCTCTTTTTTGACCTCAAAATTGTATAAGCCTTAATAATGATCTCAAATTGGAATAATTTTTCCCTTTTTGCTTAATAAATTATCATTGATTAATGTTTATCAACAAATTTACAGATAATAAAGAGATTTACAATTAATTATAGTAATTCATAGCTCATATAAATAATTAAAAAAAATATGATCATAAGAGGTTGAATTTTTTAATCATGTTATGAAATGCATACAGTAAAAACTACAATCAAAATTTTCTTAAATAAAATTACACAAAAGCCAGTTGATTAACCAATATAGAAGCTGAGCTCATAACAAAATAATAGGCCTACTTGCACTAGATTTCTCTGATTCTCTCCGCTAGACTATCTGATTCAAGTTTCAACCGTTGAGTTGAAATTTCAAGTGTTTTCCCTTCTTTTGTTCTTTCGAATTTTTTTTTTTACAGTTTCGATTTCTTTTACCAATTATTTTTAACGATGCCGGAGGAGACTACGTCTATAGATTACGTTATGGAGAAGGCATCGGGGCCTCACTTCTCTGGTCTCCGTACTCCGGTGGCGACCTCTGCCTCTTCCTCCAACTCTGCCGATTCCAACGTTCCTCGTCAGCCCTTCGTCATTAGTATTCCTCACTTCACTTCTCTTTAAAACAAACAAAGAAAGAAAAAAATGCGTTTTCTGCTGAATTTCGCCTTTTATGCTTTAGAAAACTCAGTAAAGTTTTTGTTTTTGTGAATGAGTAATGGTTGTTTGTCTCTAATTTTGCTTCATTTCTTAAAATTAAATAAAAAGGAGTCTTTTTATTTTTATAACGATCACCAAATGTGATCTTTTTTTGGTATTAAGCAGGGGTCTCTGGAGGTACAGCTTCTGGTAAAACGACAGTCTGTGACATGATCATCCAACAGCTTCACGATCACCGCGTTGTTCTTGTCAATCAGGTTCAAATTCAAGTTAACTTGTTACTGTTATTACTAGGGTTATAAATGATATATCAGATTCGGGCTTGGATAAAACTTGAATTCGATTTGATTATTAGAGTTGAGTTCGACGAGCGTTCGAGCTTTCTAATGTTCAGCTTGAATAGCTAAGCTTTTATATTTTAATAAATATTTTATTTTTTAATTAAAATTATTATTTTACTCATATATATATAAGAGTTTGAGCTCCAGCTTGAGTTGGAATACAAATAACCGAGCTTGAAGCAGAGCGTAGGAATCGAACTCTTTTTTTTTATTTGATAAACGAGCTTAGTCAAATGACCTTGACTTTTATCTCTTAATCGAGCTCATGCTTTTATTTAAAACTTGATCGAGCTTTAGCTGAGTTTCAAGCAGCGAATTTCGAGTCGAGCTTGAGCTTGAGTTTTTCACTATATCGAATCGACTTAGCTTGATTACATCCCTAGTTATTACCTGAAATTCATCAAACTGTCAGCTTACATTTTCTTTTCTACGGATGCAGGATTCATTTTACCATGGTTTAACTACTGAAGAGTTAAAACGGGTTCACGAGTATAATTTTGATCATTCTGATATATTAATTTGGTGATGTTTGCTGATTTTGTTGTCTTATGTTATATTGAATGGTATTGTTTTGATTGTGCATTGGTTTTTTTTGGTGTTCGTATAGATGCTTTTGATACCGAGCAGCTTCTGGATTGTATTCAGAAGCTTAAAAGTGGGCACTCTGTTCAGGTCCCAATTTATGATTTTAAGCATCATCGCCAATCTTCAGATGGTTTTTGACAGGTAGTTAGTTTGTTCATTAATGATTCGGGAAGAAGCTAGGTGTATTCAATTAAGAACTTATAATAGTTGTTTTGGGTGTTTGTTTCAAGCTTAGAGTAATGCTTACACTTGCATTTTACGTTTTGTTTCTCCTTTTGGTTATTGAGTTCTTTATCTCTTTGCAAAAAATCTAAATTCATTGCTGATAATTCAATTGTTGTAATTTGGCGAACTTACTTGGATTTGTACCATACATAATCCAGGTGAATGCTTCTGATGTGATAATTTTGGAAGGAATTCTTGTTTTCCATGACCAGCATGTCAGGAAGCTCATGAATATGAAGATTTTTGTTGACTCAGGTTTGACCTCTTTTATCTAATTCCTTAGCATCATAGCATCCTCCAATGATTGGTGTAGACATTTCTCACTTATAATTTGGTGGAGATGATACATTCTTTTTGTTTACTTAAGATCTATTATCATGCATAGCTGTCAAGGTTAAACAACCCATAGCCATTGCTAACCGCTCAAAACAAAATCATATGTATCAATAACAGGAAATATAAGATTGATAGAAACAAAATTAAAATTAAATGCATATCAAGAAAAAGATGGCTGGTATCCATACTGATCTTGAAACTCATGTATAAAACAAAACTCAAAGTCAACTTGTGTATTAATTACTAACTACAGACCGTTTTAAGTTGCAAATAGCCTGCAGCATGCCAGCAAGCAGATGAGGAATTCTTAGCAATGGTAGTTTTACGAAAGCCAATGCAGTCAATTCAAGGAAATTTTAAATTTGTGTTCTTAGAACCACAGGGACTGTCACCAACAAATTACTCAAAGAAAATCATGGCTTCTGCGTGTGGGTTAAGGTTGCATTGTCTATGGTGCATTGTCTATGGTGCATCTGTTGTTTTTTTTCTCTGAGCATGTTTTCTTCTTTCATGCTCTCATGGGTTCGAATGGTTCTTTATTTTATTTGGCAATTTATTGTAGATGGTGATGTGAGGCTTGCTCGTAGAATAAGACGAGATACAGTTGAGAGGGGTAGGGATTTAAATTCTGTTCTTGAACAAGTAAGCCTATTTATACCATAATTTTCTTTGTAATTTAATTTAATGCTTGAAAAATTAGTCCTGAACAAGCATAAATCTCTGGGGTTAAATTTATGCTTACCATGATATGCAACATTGTTTAATTTACTTGTTTGGTAATTGGTGTCATGGTGTGTCAGTTTTATCGAAACACTACAATGAAAATCCAGAAGAAAAACAGGGGTGAAGCCTTGGGAAAGATGATGCTACTTGGCTAACCAGACAGCCTCACATTTAATTTTCTCAAACATTTTGATAATTACATTTCAATATTGTGTTATTTCTGCAGTATGCAAAATTTGTCAAGCCTGCATTTGATGATTTTGTTCTGCCATCAAAGAAGCATGCTGATGTCATCATCCCTCGAGGAGGTGATAATCATGTCGCCATTGATTTGATTGTGCAACATATCCGCACTAAGCTAGGTCAGCATGATCTCTGCAAAATATATCCTAATGTGTATGTAATTCAGTCAACATTTCAGGAATGTCTATCTTATTTCTGTTAAAACTTGTTTCATCATGTAGAGTAACAAATATCTGTTATTAGCTGCCATTGCTAATAACGAGCAAGCATAGAACTCTTCATCTGTGTTTATTGATGTTCAGCTCTTTCATGTTCCATTTACCCTAACATATTTAGGTCAATTATCAGTGTGCCATGTTGACAGAAAGTTGCCACATTTATTGTAGCTAGGTATTGAAGATTGGCAATGTCAGAATAGTTTTTATTCTGGTAGATAAAATAAAAGATTAAAATAAGAAATTTCTGTACAAAACATGTTGAGTGCATCTCCCTTAAGTATAGTTTTTCTAATTAGATATGTGATACTGCTTGTATACTTAAACATATTCCCAACAATTTTCAGTTTAATGTGTAACTCATTTGTAGCTTTTATGTCTATGGTTTTTTTTTTTTTTAAATTATTTCATATGTAAGGCTTATGGTGCAGATTAGAGGAATGCATACTCTGATTAGAGACTGGGAGATTTCTAAGCATGATTTTGTCTTCTATTCAGATTGGCTTATTCGGCTGGTACCTTCTGCTTTATATCTTATGTATAAACTGTGTTTTGTTTTCTGTCAGTGCTTTTTAAATGAAAAATATAACTGAGTTTGTTGAATTTGATTTAGGTGGTGGAGCATGGTCTTGGACATTTGCCGTTCACTGAGAAGCAAGTAGTAACACCTACCGGTATGTTTAATTAAATAACAGTGTCACTTTTTCTCATTAATGGAAACTCCGAGTTCTCTTTCTGGGAATGTGCAATTGGGAGATGTCCAACTAGAAAACGATGAATTTCTGTTCATCTTCAGATGTCTTATCATGGAAACAATTAATATTCTGCTTACCTTTGAAACTTGGTGCTATTTCTTTTGAGCATCAGTATATACTGGGGTTGGTTTTTGCAAAAAGTTGTGTGGTGTTTCAATTGTTTGAAGGAGAGCTTTGATCAGGTATTGGTTTGGTCAGTTTCTGTTATTTGATAGCGGGTCTTATTTAGTCAAAATGGGAGTATCAGGTAATCTTCTTTTACATATGATAAAGTTATGATGAGTCTTAGTTCAAGTTTTTCTCCTATTATCTTGATCTGGATGTTTGATAAATGCTGCATCGATGTTGAAATTTCTGTTTAATTATGTAGTTTACGATTTTCTATGTTTTTCTTTTTGTTTTTTTTTTTTTAGAGTGGTGAGAGCATGAAAAACGCACTACGTGCTTGTTGCAAAGGAATAAAAATTGGAAAATTTTTTATTCACCGTGATGGAGATAATGGGAAACAGGTTTGTAATTTGTTGGGATCTTTATGCTGTTAGGTATCACATATAATTAATCTTAACCTTTAATCTGCTTTCTTGAATATTTTTAGCTCATATATGAGAGGCTTCCCAGGGATATTTCAGAACGGCATGTCCTTCTGGATCCAGATCTTGCTACAGGTAAGCTACATTCCTCACACGTGCTGTCACTTACTATTGCAAGAATAGGCTAAGTAAAAGAAAGCTATCCTGAATCTTTTCCACTTTTTCTTCTTGGTTAATGAATCAGCTTGAGTGGAAAGAATTAGTCCAGAGAAATCATAAATTAGCAATTCCTCTGGCTATCAAACTAAAGAATATTGCCATCAGTTTCAGATTGTTTCCCAGATCACATCTGTTGTCAATCAGGTGGTGGTCCCTGGAAATGCATATAGAGTTATTTGTATTCTTCAATTATTGAATGATTTATGCTTTCCTATGGGAAACCATCTTGATGACTTTCCTTGTAGGGAACTCAGCTAACCACGCCATTGAACTACTCGTACAAGAGTTCCAGAATCTCACATTATATTCCTTAACCTCATCTCTGTGAGTTCATGTTGTTGGCTGCAGATGCATCTACTCCTATTACCTTGCAACCCTTCCTTCCGCCTTTCTTTTCCCTCTCTTCCTATGTACTGATCCTGATCCTCATTTTCTATTCCTCAGGCGCCTGAAGGAATCCATTGTGTTTGCAAACGGTTCCCATTGTTGAAAATCGTTACTTCAGAAATAGATGTTGCACTAAATGAGGAATTACGTGTCATACCAGGCATGGGTGAGTTTGGCGATCGTTACTTTGGCACTGATGACTGATCCACCATCTTTGGCAAGTTGCCATTGTAACCAGTATCAAATGGACTATATAGATATGCGTGATCAGCTTACCCCTTATATAGAAGCAACCAGCTAGGATCATCGGACAAAAGTCCAGAGATGATTCTGAGATCATTTATTTTGGTTTCATGTTACCGGAATTGCTCCATTTTGAGCTTGCGGATGGAAGAATATTTGAACAAAGTGAAATCGTAGAAGTTAGGTAAAAACCATAAAACATATGAATACCAATTATAGGCAGTTGATTTAACACAATTCCTGGTAATTGTTGTTCTTTGAAGCAGTTAAATTTGATGGGACATTGCATATCGATATTCATGGTTGTGGCTGTGATTTTCCCTAACATTGCGTTCTAAAAGTAGGTACAAATATTTGTGTAAAATTGGTTGTGGCAATGGGTGATCTTATTATACCGTTTGATAACACTCAACTAATTTTGGCCAATATCAAATTTATTCTTTATTGATGAAACCATTGATTTAGCCCTATTGTCATACAAAGCATTGCTGATTTTGGTCGATAAATTTCCTCATTTTCAAACAATGAGTAGAAAAAGGCTTCAAGATATGTGGCTATAAGCTGCATGAGTCGTTACCTTATTTGAAGCATGTTCATTGATGTGATCTTCTTAGCCGAGCTAAGTTTAACAAGACAAACAGCATTAGCCTTTCTTTCATATCATCAAGGAACTTGAAGTAGACACGCCTCCAAGATTTCTTCACCATTAAAGGGAAGCACACTCCCCAAAATCCCACAACAAATCCTGGTCCCATGCTGATATAGAACCACACCATTTCGTGGTCATCTCCGTTTTCATTGTCCTTGTTCCTAACATCAGGAGAAGTTGATGATTCATCATCACCATTGCACCTGGTTGGCAGTGGTGGCCCACAAAGTCCACTGTTACCTTCATAAATGGATGGATCGTTGAGGGTTTGGAACTGGTTGGCTGACGGAATTTTACCAGACAGGTTGTTGTACGAAAGGTTCAAGTGATTTAAGGAAGTTAAGGAGACCATGCTTGGTGGGATCATGCCAGAAAACTGATTTCTTGAGAGGTCGAGAGTCTCAAGCCATTTCAAGCGACCAATACCTGATGGTATCTTTCCTGTCAAATGGTTCATTGACAAGTTCAAGGTGCCCAATCTTAAAAGATTTGTAAGCTCTTCAGGAAAATCTCCAGATAAGTTATTGCTTGAAAGGTCTATGCTGTTCACAAGAAACAGATTGGTGTCATAAAAGAGATCTCTTCCCTTTGCCACAACCCATAATTGTGCCTCATATCTCGTATCATTAATAATGCTGGAAAATCCACTCATATTGCCAATACAGCGAGGAATCGATCCTGACAAATTGTTGTCTCCCAAGTTCAGTATATGGAGAAAGGAAAGATTGCATAGCTGTATTGGAATATCCCCAGTGAACAGGTTTGATCGTAAATTTAGAATCAGCAAAGATGGCATAGTTTCTCCGATCCATGTTGGAATCTCTCCAGAAAGCCTGTTGTTTCCAAGATCAAGATTTTCCATGACTGTGCAATTCCGCAGGGTAGGTGAGAGTTCCCCAGAAAGATTGTTTGTGCTCAGCCTCAAGTATCTGAGTTCAGTCAAAGAACCCAAAGAAGGAGGTATATTCCCAGATAAACTATTGTTGGACATATCAATAAGATACAAGGCTGACATGTTATTCCAGATATCCGGAAATTTTCCAGTCAACTGATTGTCTGAGATAACAAAAGTCAGCAAAGAATTCAGATTTCCAATGGATGAGGGAATAGAACCACTTAAGGAGTTGAAAGAGAGATCAATATCAGCCAACATGGGCATTCTTGCCACCAAAATCATGAGGAATTGGTCCAGAAAACATATTATGGTCAAGATGAAATGAACTCAAATTCGATGATAAAACTAGCAGAGGGCCTGTGAAGTTATTATAGTTCAAAAAAACTATACCTTGAGGCCTAAACTTTATGGAGCTTGGCACTGCACCAGTTAACTGATTGTAACTGAAGTCCAGCACGTCGAAAACCAAATCTAGCTTCCAAAACCACTCCGGGATGCTGCCTAAGATCCCAGCATTCCACACGCCTACATACTTCAGCTCGTTCTGATTTCTTAGCCACGCAGGAAATTCAGGGCCTACAAGGCATGATTTGAGGTTTATATATCTTAATTTGAAAGGAGGAACCCAATTCGAAGTCACATTGAACATCAAGGTGATGTTCCTAGAGTTTTGAACAATTGATAACTCCTTTAAGCTTGTGAGATTGGAAAAGTGAGCTTCTGTTAAAACGCCCTCCCATTGATTACCTTTGATTTCTAATGAGACTAATGATGAGAGTTGTCCTATGGTTGTTGGGATTGTTCCTTTCATTCCATTGTCGGAGAGATCGAAAAACTCTAGTGAAGACAAATTCCCTATGGATTCTGGAATGGAACCGACAAAGTAGTTGTGCACGAGAAGAAGATTTTTTAAATTCCACAAGTGTCCCAAAGAATCAGGAAGAAAGCCACCCAATTCATTGTAACCCAACTGCAATGACTCTAAGCTACGATTGTTGCATTGAGACAAGCCACTGGTAAATTCTCCAATATCACCGCTAATCATATTGTAAGAGAGATCAAGCACACGCAAATTGCAAAGGTTTCCCAAATTTCTTCTTGACAACTTGCCTTCAATGAATGAATTTTCAGACAGGTCAAGGTTTTGAAGAAAGTTCATGTCTGCAAATCCATCTGGAATTTCGCCTATAAGACTGTTAGAGCCGAGATCAAGATACTGAAGACCACTGATGTTAAAAAGCCAAGTAGGTATTGAGGAGTTGAAACCATTGTTTGAGAGATCAAGGACGGCAAGGGATGAAAGGTTAACGAGGGGAAGTGAGAGAGGAAGAATGGAAAGTCCACAAGCTGGTAAGTGCAGCTCCTCTAATGAAGGAAACATGTTGACAGCTTCAAGCCAGTATGTGCTGGTCATACTAAGATCAACACTTCCCAAATTTAGGTGTTTCAAATTAGAAAGGGTTGATAACCAATGTAAGTCATTCTTGTTTGAGTCAGTAAAACAAGAATTGAGATCAAGATAGCGCAAGCTTGTAAGGTTTCCCAAAAATGAAGGAAGAGATCCACCAAAGGATGCACCCGAGAGATTGAGGTATCTCAAAGTCTTGAGTGATCCAAAAAAGTTTGGAATTGAGACTCCTCCAAAGTAGTTCATACTAAGGTCTAAGTACTTCAAGTATTTCAAATCAATCAAAGAAGGATGTATCTCACCGCCTAACGCATAAGCTGTTGCATCTGATACATCAGGATTACTGGAATACAGGTTGGGAAGTTTGAGCTTGGTGACATGTCCAAGCTTGTCACTGCACCGTACACCAGCCCAGCTACAGCAATCTTCACCTTTCCAAGAAGAGAGCCGCCCTGAGGGATCGGTGAGACCTTCTTTGAAGTTGAGAAGAGCTTTTCTTTCCATTGGAATGCAGCTAACATTTTGACTCACACATGAACCAATTTAACAGTTTCGAGGTAAAGGAACTCAGAAGAGAGGATCAAAATAAGAGAAAAACACCAGATAGAAGATCTGGTATTCGCCATGTCTTTTGCAGGTAAAGAAAATGAATAGATGCGCTGTTGAGCTCATGCTGTTTATATAGGGGAAAAAATAAACGAATATTTGAGTTGGCTCAAGTCAATGTCTTTGTGCTGAACCATTTGAGAAGCCCATAGCTTTCTCAGTCCAGCTGTCTCATACAAGTAGGTAAGATTTGTTCTGTCCAATCATTCTTAACGTAACAGGAACTTCCATTTATTCTCTTTCCTTTTTAGGGCAAATAACCATATAAAATATTGTCAAACTTTCCATCCCACTTGTTCTTTTCTTTTTTGCTTTTTGGGTGTTTTGCCTTCTAAGTCTGGAAAGAAATCCAACTTGTTTTCAAACCAGAGAAAATGAATATTGCAGTCCAGTCAAATTTGACGGCAGTGGGTTCAATGCTGAAGTCGCCATTACTGAAGCCGAATGAAGGCTTCCTTTAATTTTATATTACATGCGTATCTCAACCAAAGATTTAAATAGAGGTTGAATAGTGGTATAACGGTCATTATTTCACAATTATGTTATTATTTATCACTGTTATTAAAAGAAAAAGAAAAAAATTTAAATATCATTTATAGCAAGCAAATCACGATTGCAAATTGTGGCATACCGTTTAATAGCGATAATAGCTGCTATTATTTGCTACTTATTTTTCATTCAAAAATTTAAAAAATATATTTTATTTGACTCTAATTAAAAATTTAAAATAAAAAAGCAAGAAAAATGATAAACATCAATTTACAAATTCAAGAAAAATTTTTTTTATAAAACTTAGACTTTCAAAAATATCAATTCTCTCAAATTCAACTTCAATTAAGATTAAGCATATACAATTTAAGGTAAGCAATTAATTCGACACTCAAATTATTTTTTTTTTAATTTTAAAATTTATCGTAATTTTATGTGTTTGGGATTGGATTGAGAGCAAGAGTTGTTGAAACTTAAAATAAAAAACAAGAGATGAGAGCAAGATTTGAGGTTAAAGAAGACAAGCAGATAGCATACACCAAAAAAAAAAAAAAGAGCTGAGAGATAGGGATGAGGATAAAGGTTTAGAGAAAAATTTATTGAATGTAAGATGAGGGGATGAGAAGTTATGGGATCTGTATAATTTAGTCAAGAGATAAAGGAAATAGACTTTAGGCTATTGTTGTTGAGGATTAACCTCAACATGAAGGCTAACAAGTTTGATTACTGTAGACCCATAAAAAGCAATTCTTTTTTTTCATAAATAGCAATGTTCTTGTTTAATTTATGGATATTTAATCACTTATTAGTTAATTTATGTATAATATAATTCAGTAATAATTTGATGAGTACGATAATTAAATAATTAAATATATTATTCGTTATGATTATTTATTTTTCACATATTTATTTATCTTTTGTTATTTACTAATTATCGTATGAGTAATATTTTAAACATGAATATTTTATTATAAATAATTTTTTAAAATAAATAAAACATATGATATGATATAAATTATTTTAAAAATCATAAATTAAGAGTTTTTATGATTAATAATTAAAATTATTAATAATTTAAAAAAATTTACAATCGTAATCGCTGTAATGATCATGAAAACTTTTATTATATTCGTAACTATGATAAATATGATGCAATAAAAAATATGACTGCTATCGCAATTTAAATATATGATCTCATCTTGTTCATCGTCCTTCCACAGGAAACAGAACCTGTGGACCTGTGGTTTCCAAAATTTCCTATGGAAAAGTTTCCAACTTCCATCTTCCAAGTAAGGAAAGTGTGAATTCTTGGCATTTAGGGTGGGGGGAACAGGGTTGTACCCTTCAGTATTTAATTTCTTGCAAATCCAACAAAGGCAGCTGATTGAAAGGCTGAAATCGACACTCACCCCAACACCAGTTGTTCCAATAAGATTGATCGTCTTTCTTAAACTTTCTTAAATACTACATTACTAGAAATACAAAGATGATCAAACAAATTCATTTCTGTAAGAAATTTGTAGACTATTAATACAAAGTTAATACCCCAAAATAGTAATATTTAACCTGTTCCTGTTTTTGGAAATTAATTAACCCATTTATAATTTTTTTATTTTTTTATTACAACTAGATTCAACTTGAAACTTTCAATTTTGAAACTAATTTTATTATTATTGCACTAACTGTTCATTGATAATTCATTTGTAAATTTAATAAAAGGTAATTTAATTATTAATTTAAAGATATAATTAATAGACAATGCCTTTTTTAATTTTAATTACTAGAAAATAAATAAAGCATATAAACTATACAAAGCTTCCCTTGAAAAAAATTATTAAAAAATAATTAAAAATATCTTAAGTGTTACACATTTCTAAGCAGGGATGGATCTAGGATTTCTAATAAGTGGGGGCAACTATTTTAACTTAATTTTTTAAAATTTTTATTGAAAAACATATTAATATGAAGAATTCCTAACAAATTAACATGTATAACAATTTTTTCTATAAAACACAATTTTGTATGTCATAAATATAATATTTGCATAACTAAGATTAACTGTTATTGACGAATATAGCTTAAACATTATAATATTATAATAAATCATTTTTTGACGTATGCATGTGTAGACACATACATATATAAATATGTATATATATTTTATTAATACAATTTTACTTAAACAATTTTTAAATATAAATATAATATGTGAAAAAAATAAATATCAATATTTTCAATTTTATCATCTATTTTCATTTCTTACACATTATAATTTGAAGAATAACAAATGTTTATTTTCTTATATACAATGAAAACAATATTTTTTTACGTTCAATGGAAAACAAAAATGAAGATATAAATCCATGTTAGTTAAAAATTATTTTTTAATTTTTATTCTTATTAATTCACTCTGAATGAATTTTAAAAGTTATTTATTTATTCTTCTTCAAAATTAATGTACATATATGTTATAATGAAATTGTTTATCACTCAAAATATAAATATTCAATTACTAGATAAACAATAAAAAAATTTTTACTTGATCCTCAATTTAATGAGGGTAAATATGATAAAAAAAATTTTGATAGGGCAAAACTTAAAATTTCTAAACTTTATGAGACTTTTCTATGACAAATTCAAAGAACTTTAGTGTGTCAGTGGGGCGGCTGCCCCGACAACCCCATGTGTAATCCGGTCCTTTTGCTAAGTCAAGTCTAGGTTTTGTTTCAAAAAGTCAAAAACATTTTAAAAAAATTATAAAACTATTTCTAAAATTATTTCAATCATTCAAACAAGAAATGCTGTCTGCCAAAAACAAAAAAACAAAACCTTGGGCTCATAGGGGGGTTTGAGCTTCATATTCTAAGGCTTGATTGGGCCCAAGAGAAAAAGGACAGTTGGGCTATGAACCCGGTTCTAGGATGGATAGCCCGACCCGGTGAAACCATTGAGATATTTGTCGGTGCAGGGTAAATGACGTGGTGTTCTCCATTCTTGCCAAGGACCACCGGAAAAGATCTCAACACCGGCCACGGCGGACAGCACAGATGTCACCGTACACCCTCCCAAATCCCCACCTTATCCAATCATCACCTGCCGCGTGTCCCCCGCACAGTTCCTACCGCCCCTTCTCCTTCTCACTCCATCCTCCCTCCAACAACGACCGCTGCCGCCCTCCATGTGCTAACTTGCGCCTTACAGTGCCCTCACTTCCTATCATACGCATCCTTGTGACACCCCCAATCTATTATGATATATAAAAGTTCTCACTTCCTAAAAATCTACTATGATATTTATTCATATTTATTCATTATATTTATTTTTATTCATATTTATTTTCTATATTAATTATATTTATTTTATCTTTAAATTGATATAAATTGATTTGCTTTTATAAAAATTTTAAAATATTTCAATGCATTAATTATATTTATTTTCTTTTTAATTTTCAATAAACCCACTTTTTATTTCCAAATAAAATATCTTAAATTATAAATTAAAACTAAATCAATAATACATTATAATTAAAGAATTTATTAATGATTCAAAAAATAATAAATATTATAATTATGGTTATTAAATTTTTTTAATGATTCAAAAAATTTTTATTGAAATTTAATCAAAATTATAAAAAATTTAATAATCACTATAATAATGGTTAATAGTTGATTTCTTAATAAATTATTTAATATATTCATATTTGATTAAATATGATATCCAACTAAATAATGTATGTTATTCATATATAAATATATATAAATTATATAATAATTTTATATATTTATATAAGATTAATGATTCATTATAATGTTGGATTTTATGCATACGGGTTGTAATCAATAAGCAATGCATCCCATTTCATACAAATATATAAAAATAAAAAAATTTTGTAAAAAAAATAAAAAATTCAATGTGGATAATCTATTTTTTTTTTACATATAAATTGTTTTGAACAATTTTTACATATTCTGCATTTAATTATTTTGATTTGACTTCATATATATATTTTATTAATTTAAAAGATATTTATTTGGCTAAATTAGGTTATTTATTTTCTCATAAATATCCAATGTTTTTGCCTTTTATAAATGTATTATAATTAAATTATTTTATATTATTTTCAACCAAATTCAATTCTTAATTTTAAATATCAAACGTGTATACTATCAATAAGAAATATGTTTTGAAAGCATTTACTTTTTAATAACCATGATTTTAATATTTAATTAAAAATAATTTATATATTTATTAACCTAAATTAATATATAAGCCATATAATGCTAAAAATTCAAACCTAAAATAAAATCAAATTAGTTTGAAACATATTTTCATATTTCTTTCTATATAAGTATTAATTACAATTGATATAATTTATTATTTTACAAAAATTTTTCAAAATATTAAGTGCAGACTTTTCAAAGTAAAAAGATATATTACATAAATAATTAATATTCTATTATAATTTTTTTTTCATAAATTACTCTTAATTTATAAAAATCTCTCAAATTCTTATTATAAATAGAGAAGCCTATATCTAAGAGTATTAGGAGGTTACTCAATTTATTAATTTTTAGTAAATAACATATGGTTTCAATCCCACAAAAAAACGCAAATTCAATTTAAATTACTTTGAACTTTCGAGAATACAATGTAAGAATGGACACCACTTAACCAAAGGTTTGTTGTTGTTATTATGAGTAAGTGGTATAAAATTCAAAGATTTGGAATCAATCAGTATTTAATTTTGTATAAATATCACTATTAGATGAGATATAATACAAATAATTTTTTTATATTACATAGGGATATGTTGATTTACAATAATTTTATTTTTTATTATTTTACATTGCAAATTTTTATTTTTATATAAAATTTATTGATTTATTTTATTTTGTATAAATATCACTATTAGATGAGATATAATATAAATAATTTTTTCAT